AAATCAAATATATAAAATTTAAAAAAAAAAATAAAACAAAATGGCTTCTTATTTAAACTTTATAAAAAAAAAAAAAGCATTTAAAAATTATAACGAAAAAAGCGGGGTTCGAATTTTTATATGTATGTACAAAATAACACAATTTAATATTCTTTTTAATTTATTTTTTTATCATTTCAATGCCTTAAAATTAATATATATGTATATACATATATATAAATAGAAAATTAAAAATATAAGTGATTTTTAAAAGATTTCTGCAATTAATTTTATTTTATTTATATTTTTTATTAATTTTTTTAATATTTTCTCATTTCATATACTAAATATGACTTATTTTCTATTGCATATTAATATTATATACAAAATTTGTAAGTTATTCAAAAATATCTGACACCAAATAATTTATTTTTTTTCAGAGAAAATTTTTCCAAAAATTATACAAATTATAAAATGCTGGAATAACTAAAAATCTCAAGTCAGATATTTAGATTTAAATAGGGCTTTAAAATCAATAATTAATTTTGCCCTATTTTCTTGGTAAAACTTCAATTTCGTAAAAAATTGGAAATAATTAATTTTATAAGATCGTATACTTCAAATTTAATTTGTATTTTATTGCTGTAACTAAAACATTTATTTTTTTTTTAATTTATTCAATATTACAAAACTATTTGGTCTTTGTTATCAATACAATAAAAAACTTATTTTTGCAACCCAAAATACCAAAAGATTTAAAATTTTCTATTGAAGACAAAATTTTTGTATTGATATGCAATAATAAATAAGTCCAAACATTCATATTTTGTAATACGAATCATTTGAAGTGATGAATTTTGGTATAGAAGTTCAAATATCAAAATTAATTTTATTCAGAATTCTTAATTTCATTAGGCAATTCTTAAATAATATTCTATCACCTCAAATAATTCGTCTAGGAAAATATGGATGAAATCAAAATTAAATACTTTTTTTTTTTAAAAAATCAAAAATAATCTTAATTATTAAATATTTAATTTCTTACAATTTTTTAAACAAACCACAGAATACAATTAACTTTATATAACATTTTATATATATATGCAATTAAATATTTTGTATTTATTTTTATTTAAATTAATTAAATTTTTAATTTTAATTTGCTTCAAAGAAAAATTTTTTTTTAATTAACAAATTAAATATAAATAAAACTAAAAATTAACAATGAAATTAAAAAAAAAAATTGAAATACCTAAAGTTTGTAATTTTTTTTTTTTTGGTAAATAAGAAAAAACAAAAAAAATAGTCGACTAAATTTATTGGGCGAAACGCTCAGTCAACTACTAATGATTTTAAATTTATAAAAGAAAAACAAAAAAAAAAGCATATATATTTTAATTTTATTTTTTCTTCTTCTTCAACTTCTTCAATTCTATTTGATATTTTGATTTTTATTATTAAATTTTTGTGCATTAATATTTTAATTATCTGTTTTTCAAATATATTTCATTAATTTTGATAATTTTTGCTATATTAATTTCTAATTCTTTTCTTATTTCTTTTTAATTATTGTCTATCAAGTTGTCTGAGATTATCGCTTTTAAATTTATGAAATTTAAAACAAAAAACAATTAGAATTTTGCTTTGTTTTCGAAAATATTTATTGAAAGAAACAAATTTAATAAAAAAAAAATTATTTATGCACCATATTTTTTTATTTAATCAAATAATAGATAAAATATCGTATTAGAATAATTTAAAAAGTTTTAATTCTTTTTATTTATTAATATTTTGTTTTGTTTTAATATTTTTTGCCAACAAATTAAAAGCTTTGCAATAATTTTCAGTTTTTAATTTTTTTTCTTGTTTTTCTTATATTTTGCAAAATGTAATATATTAAAGTTAATTAAAGTTAATAATATCATAAAAGGAAGTTCAAAATTATTAAAAGCAAATTCAAATAAACTGAAATATTTCTTTAAAATTTTTTTTTTAAGTCACATAATATTGAATGATTAAATTTGAAACTATAAATTAATATTTTTAAATGGAATTTATAAATACTTAATTTTTCCTAAAATTAATTTATTTTATTTTTTTTGTATATATAAATAATATAATTAATATGCATATAATATTCGAGCCTTGCTTTATTTGTTGTGATTAAAATTAATTATTCTTTTTCTTTTAATTTTCTTAAATTTAATTTTTCAGAAATTATTTTTGATTTTTAACCTTTTCCCAAAATAATAATGTACGAAAAAGAAAAACTTTTCTAACAACATAATCTTTAATCACCCTATCTGTACCCATTTTATTTAAATATTTCATTTGAAAGCACAAATTGAGCTAAGAATTGAGTAGCTTACTAAAATTAAAGGGGTTTTTTTTTACATATAATCATACATGTACTACAATTATCTATACTAATCATCAATTGGGAATGATTGAAGCACAATGAGTCAAAAGAATTGGAAGGGGTTAATAACTGTAGATGTCTTGTCATTTCTGAGGATAACAATAACAAAACTGTAACCATAAAAAAAGCAAAACATTAATGCGATATAACACAAATGCAATTACCCACATTTTTATATTCAAATTATCAAAAACTAAAAAAAAAAAATTTTCGTAGATAAGTGAAATAGACAGAGATTTTTGGAATATTTTGAAGACAATATATAAATATTTTGTATATAAGTACATTTTTAACATGTACAACTGTTATATTAACAAAAAACTGTTTATATTTACATTTCTGTTATGATATAATTTAATTGGTTTTAGTTTTAATATTTGTTTCTTTCTTTATATTTGTTTGCCATTCATTAGTTCTCTATAGTTTTGAAATATTTAATTGAAATTTCAATTAAAAAGAATTTACACATGATAGAGAAACATGATGAACATATACACATGATAGAGAAAATTGAACGGCATAACAGAATGCTTAATAAATAGAATATAGGTTTTTTTGTTACACAGGAGATATTTTACCCGCCTTAATCAAATAAAATTAATAATTTTTGCAATTAAATTTTTTCTGATTACTTCTTTGTACATGCAATCGATTTTAATTAAAACTTTTTCGTATTTAAAATTATATACAAATTAATATAATCATTTAAATAATATTATAACAGTGACAAATATTTTTCTTTTAAATCAACAGTAAGTATGTATGGTTGACATTTTCTATATAATTTACATAACCTTTATGTTAAACAAAATAGAACTTCATTTTCTGATTCTTTTTTCTGTTTATTTGTTTTTGCATTTTTTCTAATTTTAATCAAAACTATCTTAAATTGATAGTACCTTTTACTAATTTTTTATGATTTGTTGGTTCGCTATAAGCTTTTTAATATATAAAATATAAAAATTTTATTTTATATGTTATAATTTCATATGTAAATAAGCATTTTTTAAATATTGTAGTCTTAGCTTAAGTTAATCTTAAATATAATTTTCTATAATTCTATACATTTCAAATTTACATATATTTCTATACATTTTTATTGCAAATTTGTTTAATGCTTTTTTTGAGTTATTTAAAAAATATTTCTTTTGAATGAATAATTTTTTTCGCAAAGTAGTATAAAATTATCTTTGATATTAAAATGTAATAAAAAAATTAGTTAGAAAATGAGAATATAAATTTTTGTAAGCTCATTTTCAAGCCATGGTAATGACTTTTTTTTCCAAAAATTTCAAAGCAATTCTGATTATCTAATAGCTACTTAATAAATATTAATTGATTCAATATTAAGTTCATTAAATTCTTAAAATATGTAAACATGTACTTATTAGCTACACAAAAAATTAGGTAGTTTTCTAAAAATTTTTGAACCAAATAATCAAGTTTGTTATTCGATCAAATTTTTTTCAATCTTCAAATGATTTTCTTACTGCTGAACTGAAATTAAACTCCTGTTTCTTAAATTATAAAATATTTTAGTTGCAATGATCTCTTTAAATGTCCAATATTAGTTAAATATTATGTACTTAAATAAATTGTTTACAATCCTAAAATTAGAAAAAAAAAATATTTTTAACATATTTTTTACACAAACTTTTTAGAAATGCATTTTAAACCAAACTTTACCAAATTACCTGAAACAAAAATTATTTAATAATTATAAAATCATATATTTCTTCCATACCGTTTCATGAAAAACTTAATCATTTCGGTTACGACCTTCATTACAATTCGATAGATGATGAATCTGTAAAATAAGAAATTTAAATCAGCAAATTTCAAGACAATAAATATAGTTTTGTTGTTATAAATTTTATTTAAATATTTAATTTAGTTTTTTAATATATTTTTCAGTATTATGTGAATCTTTTGATAAAATATTTAAAAATTTAGAATTCGTTTATTTTATTTAATGTATTTTTAATAAAATTTTAATTTTATGTGCAAAGAAAATTTTGAATATCCATTTTATTTTAATTTTAAAGTTTGCATTTTATATTGTTAATCAAAATACATATAAATAATTGCTTAATTTTCCAGCTTGAATTGCATTCTAAATTGTAGTATTTTAACTAAATTAATATTCAGCACTTAATTAAATATTGGCAAAAATACTGCAATTTTTAATTCATTTTTTTGATTCTATAAAGTCCCCAATTAAATTGATTATTAAATAATACATACATTGAAAATAAAAATAAAAAAAAAAAATCTATTCAATATGTAACAAAAATTATAATATTATAAATTGTAAAAATAATGATAAAACTAAATTTATAAATTAAAAACATGCACTTTATATAAGTTAAAAAAATAAAGATAAATTATTAACCAAAAATTACCATAATAAAAAAAATGTGATTTGTACCAAAATTCAAGAAAAACTATTTCAAACAATTACGAAATATTACATATTAATTACAACAGATTTTATCAAAGAAAAATGACATAAAAAATTATTTTTTAAAAATATTTAAAAATAAAGTCCAACTTAACGACTCAATTAAAAAAAAAAATATTTTTCTCTATATGTAATATATAGGCTCAACCCATCGATCCTGATTTAACGGCAAAATTATTAGGCCGTGGAGTTGCAGTATCACCAATAGTAACTGTTGAGCCACGGCGTAGAAAATTCCATAAAGCAATAACGCTTAGTATGCCAGCACCAAAAGCGCACAGTCAAGGAATGATTAATCAATATTCTGGCAATGCGCCAACATTAAGACTTTTATGCTCAATAACAGGTAAATTTTTCCTTTATTAATTTAAAAATTATTTTCATTTTTTTTTTCCCTCTGTTTTTTTTTTTACAATTATAATTATTTTAATAATGTATTGTTGTAAAAATAAAATTTATTACCTAAAAAAGAAAAGCAAAACAGAAATATGTATGATTATTATATTTTTTTTATAATAGTAAATTATAGTGCAAATATAAATGCAATTTATTATTATTAATAAATATCAATTATATTAATTAAGATTGGCACGTATATGTTTTGAAAAATAGTACTTTCTGTATAATTACTACAATATAATTACTACAAATAGTTGCATTAAAAACGCTAAATTATCTTATTCTACTAAATATATTTTAAATAATTAAAAATATGTGATTTAATTTCGTTCAAAAAAATATTGAACAACTTAATATTGCTTAAAAAATTATATTTTCATTTTGATTCAATTTAATTATTTAATTAAATAATTTTCCGTTTAAATTTAATAAGATAATATTTTTAATATGTCTCTTTTTGGCAATCGAAACTATTGTGGACAAAATACATATTCATTCATATGCAAAATTTAAGGGAATTTAATTAAAATTTAAACATGTATATGTGAAAATTACTATAAAATATTAAATACCACAATTTCTTACTTGAATATTTGATTAGTATGAGCGAAGAAATCATGAATTTGAATGTTTCAAATTATCCGAATTTTCCAAAAAGAATATTTATTTCCAATTCAATTCCAATGTATTTAGGGTGTCAATCTTAAAATTTATAAATATAAAAACAATAATAAATAAATATAATATGGCAATAGAAAAAAATTTATAATTTTTCAATTTTATGTTTTTTAAAATATTCTTGTTTTTTTTTTTTGGGATTTTATAATATTATGATTATATATTTTACAATATGCAAACGAAATATAGAAATCATTATTTTATTAATAACCTAATTTACATTTATTAAAGTATATATACGTGTATATAATTTATATATACATATATATTGATATTTTTATAATTAAATATTTAAATGTCAAGATACATTTTTAAATATTCATTTCTATTAATTTATAATTACCTATATATTTATTATACAATAATGAAAAGAACATAAAAAGAAAAATAAACATTTCTCGTTATTTTTTCTAACAACACTTTATAATAAATGAAGTTTTTCTTTGAGTTTTGTGTGAACATTTTTTATTTTAATTTGTTTTATTTATTTTTTTTTTGTTTGTTTTAATTTAATAAAACATTTTATTTTATATGGAAAATGCAGTGTAGAAGTTGCCTTTTTATATAACATGTCTGCTATTTATTTATTTTTATTTATTAATTTTGTTTAGTTTTGTTATATTTTTTATAATTTTTGTATTTTTCATTTAGTGATCTTTTGATATTAAAATTTCGGTTTTTCTTTTTTTCTTTCATAATTTTATTTTATTAATGACAAAGAAAAAACATTTAATTTATTAATAATTTGAATCATAAATTTTTAATCGTAACAAATTCATTATCCGTTTAATAGTAATTATATATATTTAGTTAATTAACAACAAAATTAAATAAATATTTATATAAATGTTTAAACAAATCATTTTTCAAAAAAAAACACCATTATTTTATCAAATATTATGAAAAACAGACAATATTATTAATACTTAGTTAGAAAATATTTGTTACAATTAAAATTTTAGACAAAAACAAATAAAATACATACTTCTTCAAAAAAAAAATAATAAAAAGTGCCATATACCATAATTAATTATTTGAAAATTTTGAATCGAATGCGGTAATTAATTATTAATTCTACACAAGAAAATATATTAGTATATATAATTTTGTAATTATCATAATGTAATATATATAAATATAGAATTGAATATCTGATACATTTACACTATACATTTACATTAAATACTATATTATTGATATAGTTACAATAGAAATATAGTCCATGTAATGTAATTACAATATAAATATCATTTTATACATATACATAATTTTAGAACATTGAAACATTTAATTTACATAAAAAAAAACATTATTATAAATAACAATAGTTTAGTACACAAATATATTTCAAATAAACAAAACATAAAACAGAAAAAAAACTGCATAACATCAATTATATACTTGTTATGATAAAGTATGAATTATTTAATTTATTTCTTAGATTTTTATAGTATATTTTGTTTTTTTTTTTTTTTCAATTAGAAATTAGTAGTTTTTCCCATTGAAAACATTAAACACAATATTAATTTTCTTAAATATATTCCAAAACAATAAAAATGAAGGAATAGTATATAATAGTATATAATTAGTGGAATTAAGTAGAAATTCATTTTGTCAATAAAATTATAATTATTTTCTATATATATATACAAAAGTAATACAATTTAGAAAATTAGATATTTATACAACATATATATATAGCCTTAGACTTGTCTTTTATATTTTGTTTCTTCAAAAAATAAATATATTTTATTAAAAATAATTATTTATTATTTATTTTTTGGAATTATCTTCTAATACTTGTTTTCTATTATCAACATGTATTTAATAATACATCAATTCAGTTGAATTCAAATATAATATTCAATAACTTACTATTGAGAGATAATCTACTGATATATTTTATCAAATATTGAATATAATAATAAACAAAATTTTGTAAGATATTCCCTTTTACTAAATATTTATTCAATAATTCTTATTATTGATAGAAATTTTATTGTGTTTTCTTTACGTAAAATTAAATTTATAAATAATAAAGTATTTTAAGATTATTAAATGTTAAAGTAAATCATTATTGAATAAAAAAATTTTAAAACTTTTCAAATATAGTATAATATCCGTATTACAAAAATAAACAAATTTAAAAAAATTCTAATATTTAGTTGATCTAACGATTTTACATATCTCAATATAAAATTAAAATATAAAACAGATTTAAGAATTTTTCCAAGTTTTCTTTTATAATGAAAAATATAAAATTTATATAATATAATTTATACAATTTATGAAAAGTTTTATATTATTTTCATTATTAGCTTTTTGTGTTTTATAATTATATAAAAACATTCAACTTAATTTATTAATATAAATTTAGACAACATTAATATTCAATAAAAAATTTTTAAACAACAAATTCATAACGCAATACAAAATAATTGACACAATTTAAATATAAATACTTATCAAAATAAACTTGACATATTACAAATTTAATATTGTTCTTAAAATAAATTTGCAATTAAAAACTGTTTTAATTTCGTTGAAAAACAAAAAAATATGCTACTTTTTCAAAAATATACTATTTTTTCAAAAATATACTATTTTATCAAGCAAAATTGAATGGTCTCGAAATATCAAAATTTAAATTTTAATGGTAATGAAATAAAATGTCTTAATTGAAATTTAGTATTAAATGGAAAATGGCTTACATATTTTTCTATAATTTTAATTACATTTGTCTATTTGAAACACCTTCTATTTGAAATTCTTATATGATAATAATATTATGGAATACAATCAAATTTTAATCTAATAAAAAAAGTGGCAGATTAAATAGCTCTTTAAAAAAATTAATTTATTTCGCATACGAAATCATGATTTTCAAAGAAATTCAATTACTTTACAATTTTATACAAATTCTAATAACAAAACCAAAATTTTATCCATATTTATTTACATATTATGCATAATTTGAAACAAAAATCTTCTTTATTATTATTATACTTGAATTTTTCATTCTTTTATTAAAATTTATAATTTTTTGCTTTATTACTTTTTTTTTAATTTCAACTTACATTTATTTTGATTTCTTCTTATTATTGTTTTATAAAATTTTTAATTTTCGAAACAAAGTAAATATAATATAATTTGTGTGTTTTTTGTTGGAAATCTTATTCTTAAGAAATAAAAGTAGTATTTATTAAAATGGATCACAATGGCTCTGAATAAAAAAACAAACAAAAACAAAGAAAAAAAAAAAAAGAAATATTAAAAATTACTTAAATTATAAAATTACATTATGTAATAACACAAACACTACTTAAAAAATTAAAATTAATTTACATTATGTACTTGAATTCTTTGATAAGCATAAATGAATTTCATATTAAAATTATTTGAAACTAAAAAAAAATATTTCTTATAGAAAAATCAGAAATTTTGACTTGTCAGTTTCATAATCAATAAAATTCACAACTTACATATACAAGAATTTTAAATTAAATTATTTACAATAATTTTTATTAGTAAAATTGATTTTGTATAGCAACAATTTTGAATTCTTAAAAAAGTAAAATGAAATTTCAGTTCGAACTAAAAACTTCAGTAACTGACAAATTTATCATAATTTTAAATATAGAAATTTTAAAATTCTCTTTATCTTTTGAGATAAAATACACTCTTTCCCAGGTCCATTTGATATTTTAGTATTTTAATTTAAATTAAAGTTGTTCCACCTTAATAAATATAATATGTATAACTAACTACTATAATTTTTTTCCAAATATTAACAATAATTATATTTATTTTGTTAAATATAAAATATTATTCATAAAACTATTACAAATTCATTCATTCAATTATTATTATTTAATTTTTTGTTCATAATTTTTTATAAAAAAAAAAAGTTAAATTAAAAAGGTATATCATATAAAATACATATATAATAAAAATATTATGTATTATTACTATTATTATTATTTTTTATATTAATGCGTATATGCCTTATGCGCACGCATTCTCTATTCTAAACGTACAATGAAGGTGTGTTTCGGAAAAGATCTCTAAAAGGTAACTAACAAAATAAAAAAAAAAATAAAAAAAAAACATACAAAAAAAATTTAAGTTTAAATTTAAAAAAAAAAAAAAATTAAAATAATTAAAAAATTTATGGAGTTTTTATTAAAACATTTTTTTTTATTAATTTTATATATATATATATATTATACATAAATTGTTTATTAAAAAAAAAAAACACAAAATTTATTATTTTTACTCCCCCCCCCCCCCCCCCCAAAATGTTTTACTCCCAAATAATTTAAATGCGCAAAATCATTTTTTTTTAATAAGTATATAAAAGTTGATAGGACTAACTTTACATTAATATATTAAAAAAATTTACCCTTATTCTATTATATTCTTTATTATATGATAAAATTTGAATTTTTAAAGCTTCTGAGCCATCTTGTTCTTATAAAACCTAAAAAAAAAATATATACTTATATTTTGTTATCTTTTCCATTTTTTGTTTTTTTTTTTTCTTAAATTAATAAATTTTTGTAATTATTTTATAAAAAGATATTAATTTAATTCTTTATTTGAATTTTATTATATATTTGAATTAAAAAAATTTATTATATATTTGTTTTTGGTAAAAATTTCATTCACTAAATTTCAAATAAAAATTATAATGTTAATTATTTATTAATAGCGATTATTAATTTTAATTTCAATATTTATTATTAAACTTGAAATATTTAGATTTTTATGTAAACAAAAATATAGTTAAAAATTTAAAAATCTTCAAATTATAATTATTAATTTTGTTAATTATTTTGATCTTCAATTGTATTTACAAATTTTATTTCAAACTTCTAGCATTAATTAGCATAAATACAGCGTGTTAAAAATTCTCGTTATTCATTACTGCGTCTTTTAGAACATGGTCGAACCTAAAAGAAACAAAAAAAACGAAACAATAAAATAGTTCCAATACAATTTCATTTATATCAATTCTTTTTTAGAAAATTAAAAATGTGAATTACGATGGTATTTTTTGCAAGCTAGGAATAATAAATACTATCTATTATCTAATATTGCACAAAATTTTTTACTATTCTAATAGTATATTACAATAATATGTCAATAATTATTCAATATTATAGTGCAATAAATTCATTAATAATAAAATTGAATTATCTTCTAAATAATTCCCAAACAAACAAAAAAAATTTACATATATGTAGACTAGTGTTGTTTTGAAATTTAATTGTTTATATTGAAATTAATCTGCAGTTGCATTTTTTAGTATTAATTTTGTTATTAAAATTAATAATCACAAATGTTTACTTTAAATTTAATTATAAATATAAAATTTGTTTTTATAAACCTTTGAAGTACTTTTTTTATTCTTTAGAAAAAAATGATAATTTCACTTAAAATAAAAAATTACAAAAATATTTTTAATTTTTTTTTTTTTCAAATTATTTTGTCGGCACGCAATATACATACATATAAAATATTCGGCACGCTTTAAAAAGAATTTTTATATTTTTTTTTTATTGTTCATAAAAAAAAACTCAAGCTGTTCAGTTATAATAATTTTTAAATTTTAGTTATAATACAAAATTGAAAAAAGAATGAAATTTTTCCCTTTTTTATGAAATTGGATTTTATATAATTTACAATAATAAATATATATAATATTATATAAAATCTTATTTTCAATTAAATTTGTTAGTTTATTAATTCTTGTTCTATTTATTTTAGTTAAAATTTTATTTAAAAAAAAATATTTAAAACTACAACACAAAAAATAAACGGCGCCTTCTATTTCTTTAAATTTTAAAATAGCAAATTTGTTTGTTATTTATTATCTTATTTTTCTTTCTTTATTTTAAACTAAGTTAACGAATTTTTTTTCTATTTTAAAACGTTACTACATTTTTGAAAATAAAATGCTTTAATTTAAATTGAAAAAAAATACAAAAAACACTATTCAATATTATAAAATATTATAAAACATAAAGTTTATGTTACCTTAAAAATAATAAATAATTTGCAAAAATAAATTAAAATAAACATAAATGTAACATAAATTTTATATAAAATTATTATTTAAAATTTGAAATACAAAAAGAAACAAAACAAAATTAGCTATTAACAAAGACCATAATGTTTTAATTATAAATATTAAAATATTTTATGTATTTCTGTCCTAAAATTATAACAAAAAATTGATATTTGTTTTAAAAATTAAACTAAAATACAATTATCATTATAATAAAATATCATTATGCAACAGAACAGTAATATCTATTATAAAAATGCATAATAATGAGTTAAAAGTTAAATATTTATAATTTTGAACCTTTTTTGCAATAGAATATCATAAAGGAGTAATATAAATATATGTATTTATGTACGTAGCTAGGTAAGTAGGTTAAACCTACACACTAGTTTCATTATAATATCAGAGTAAAATGCCGATTCGAGTCAATGAATAACATCCAATAACAGTACAAATTTTACATAGTAATTTTAAACAGCTTCTATAACCTAAAAAAAAACAAAATTTTAAATTTTTTTATAATTATAGTCAACATTCTATATTATGTGCATTTATACCAAATCTTATTCTTTACCTCGTTTGATGCTTGCATTATATTCTAGATTTTTCGTACATATGTATATACATACGAACATCTACGACACCATACCAAAAGTAATGTAATGCTTCAAAATTTTTTGATTACAAAAGTTTTGATTATCACTTTTTCTCTATTTACTCGTTGAATACAAAATTCAATAAATTTAGGTAAAAATTGTTTTTTCATTAAAATATCCACGAGATTTCCACATATTTAAACAAAACTTTAATTTGATGACAATTTCATGTTTTAAAATTTATAAGAACACAACAAATTTCAGCTACCTTATCTACGACTTGCCTATTGCTCCAATATTATTGATAACAGACATATGAATTGTCAATTGAAATTGGCTGAACTTCAACTTATCCCAAGTCAGCTGAAAACGCTTCTTGATTCAAATGCAGTCGACTACATTAATGGTAATAGCTGAATAAATTCCAAAATTATATTTTTTCCGTATGTATTATTTACTGGCTAGGCTCTGCAAATAAAGTTATTCTGAAAACGAATCATAACACTTGTTGTAAATGATCTACAATCTTTTGTTAATCTTTCCAACATTAAATATAGCAATAAGAACAGAAACACACATGTTATATTTCGTGCAGTTAGTTTAAAACTAGATAAAGATAAAACTTCAAATTTCTTTCACATATTTTCTATTTTTGAATCAGCTGCTTCTTAAAACAAACGAAGTGACAGCAGATTTAATCTTTAGTTGTTGTTTCACTATAAAAAATTTTGAAGTACTGTTTTGCATTTTGATCATGTTTCATTCAGCGTTATTAGAAAAACGAGTTATAGTTGGAAGATTGTTAAGTGCATTTTTGCATTTTTATTATGTTTCCAGCTTGATGCCCTAAACACAATGACGCAGTATTTAAAGCTGTATATTTTGACAACTATAAAAAATATGTATGTTGGTTATTAAATGGAATAGCACATAACTGAAAGCGCGACCGCAAACTGCAACTTCAAAATTAGTTCATGTTCTATTTTTGCAGTTGCTGTCTGTCATATTTTGCTGATTTTGACAGTATCATTTATGATTTATTGATGTTATTTTATGTTTTTGCTGCAAATTAATTGCGTTTTATAACGCGTTAAAGATAACATTTTTCCAGCTATCAAATTCTTCAGTTTTGAAGTTCTCAGAGTTCATTGCATAATAATTGTACGTGTATCTATGCGCTTCCACATTCTGTATAACAGGCTTCCAGAATGATTTCTGTATAACAGGCTTCCAGAATGATTTCTGTATAACAGCCTGTAGACGTGTTCGAGGCGGACATTTAAATGATGTAATTTTTTAGACACAATTATAATTAACCTTCAATTTTAACATGTTAATACATACATATATTTTAAAGCGAAATCAATGCGCGTCTTTTGAAGAACTTTATATTATTAATACTTAAGAATCCGAAATTTCGATTTTCTATTGTTTGAAAGGCTTCTTAATTGTTAAAGTTTTACATATTTTATTATTTTAATATAAACTCATAATATTATAATTAATAATAATATATCTTAAAAAATTTAATTTTTTTTTTGTTGTTTCATTATCAATTTTATTTTAAAACCCTTCTTTTTTTCTAATTTCCGTATCTATTTCTACATATACTATAAAAATATAATCATTTATTTATAAAATTAAAATAAAAAAAATACAATATAGAAAATAAAAACATTAATAATTCTTTTTCAAATTAATTGAAAAAATTAGAAGAAAATTTTCATATTAAAATTTTTTTTTTTAAAATTGGAATTTAAAATTTAAAATAAAAGGAAACAAATAAAAACATCAAAATGTTGAATTAAACATAAATATTTAAAATGTAATAAGTTAGTTGCCCAAAAAAGGGAACTTTTCTGAAACCGTTGCTAGAAACTTCTTTTTCATGAACCTTCTTTAATATTTAAATTAAATTTTATTTTTTAATTTTTATTAATTTTTGTTTTGTTTTAATTTTCAAATATCTACACATACATATAATTATATTTTCTAGAATCCTTTCTCCCCTAATATTTAATTTTTTATATATTTATATTATATATATTTTAATTGTATCTTTTATATTATTATTACTTATTTGTACCTATATATATACATATATATTATATTTAATCATAATTTGTTTTCTTTTTTTGATTTTTAACATCAATGTTATTCAAATTATTATTTAAAATAAATTAATTACTATTACATTTAATTATATTATATATTTTATTCTTTTATATAATATAGTATATACAATTTTTTAATAAAATATTCATTTTCTAAGCATTATTATTAATTTTATTTTTATTAGATTAATACATAAAGAGTGAAAAATAGAAAAAAAAAACCTACAATATTTCGAATAATTTTAATCATACATAAATATAAATATAGTTAAGTAAATATTATCACAAAAAAAAAAAGAAACAAAAGTAGTGTTCTATATGATAACATTGATTTTATTGGAATATTATATACATTATAAAATACCTACATATTAATTTTATTTTTAATTGGCAATTAAATAATAGCTAACATAAATATGATATAGATTTTCATAAACACAATAAATCACAAAATATAGTCAGAAGAAGACTTTTTTGAATTTTATTTTTCCAATAAATTTTGTTCATAAATATTTCTGACTAATCAACAAAATAGTAAAATTTATTATAACTAGCCCAGATAAATAGTCGATTGCACTCTGTATTGTGTTTATGAAAATCTTTAATATTTTAAAACTTTTTTTTCTACCATTTTTTTAAATTAATCGTATCGTATATATGTATGTTGTTTTATTAATACAAAAAAAAAAATTTCTAAAAATTTAGTGTAATATAACCATTCAAATATAAAATTTATATAAGAGTTTACGATTAAAAATAAATTTAAATTATATTATAAAATGATTATTTAAAAAAAAATAAATAAAATAATATTTTTTCTAAAACTACTGAATTTAGAAAAAACGAATTACTAAATAATTAATTTATTACTATAAATTCAAAAATCTTATTGTATTTTTGTAAATTACATTATATGTAATAAATTTTACAATATTTATAATATGACGAATTTATTACATATTTCTAGTTTTTTTTTGTTTTTATGAAATCGTAAACTAACTTTATAAAAAATATATATATATTATGCTTTATTCAATTTAAGAAAAATCTCTTATATACATATAGTTGTTGCTTTAATATAGGGTATATTTTTGTATTATTGTCTTAAATCATAAATAGCTTAAAAGAATACCCAAATATATTTTTGTTTTCTTTAATTCCTTATTTGACATATTCGTTTATTAAAATAACAAAAAACTTAATAATAATTGCAATATTTGCAATATATACATATATATATATATATATATTGGTACATTATACAAGATTATATTCTATATAATATATAATTATATTAATTATAAAAATACTGTTTTGAAATTAAAATATTTAAATATCATGAAAAATTAAAATTATTAAGATGAAACAAAAAAATTTGCTAAATGCTTTTCTAAAAAAAACTATATTTTTTAATAGATGCTTCTTGAAATATATGATTTTACCACCATTTTAAATATTTTTTCAAAAATTTGGATAAAATTTATTTAACATTGATAAATTAAAAAATAAATCTTGGATGAATCACTCAATTGATCACATTTATTGATTTTGTTTTCAATTTAAAGTGGAAACATTTAAATCGCAGGTTGTTTACCCAAGAATCAAATTAACCGAAAATTTTCATTTAATACATAACGGCCTCATTATTTGATTTTTATAGTAAACTAAAGCAAATGAATTGTTACTTAAGTAGCTAAAGTTGCAAGTTCTACAAAAAGGAAGAATGTGGAAATTGGAAAATTCAAAATTGCAAATAAAACTTTATAGTTTCGTTCATCGCAAATATACTGAATTCAAAAACCTCAACTTTGTACTAGAACTTTCCGAGTTGCACTACTGTACACACTGTTTATCAAAATTTTAAGAATTATTACAAATACAAGCTATATACTTACATTGACTTTGGTTTATAAAAATAAAATTTTGAATATTCAGCAATTACACTTAAACATTGTTGAGAAAGCTAATTATTAATGTTAGATTTCCATTAAAATCCATTAAATCCTGCATGTTGTCTCTAAAAATATATAAATAATTCATATTTAAATATTTTAATTATATGTATACGCAAACCTATATATATATATTTTTTTTTTAATATTTTAATTTAAAAAAAATAAAAATAAAGAGAACAAAATATAGAATTTTATTATCCTTTCCAAGCACCTGAAAAAAAAGGTTGATAGTAATGGTTTCGAAATAAAAAAATATAAATGTAATTTTTACTGAAAAAGAAAAAAGCAAAAAATAAGGTTAACTTTAATCTTTAAATTATTTAAAATATTTATTAAAATTCTTTTTTGTATAATTTAATAATTAATAATATCGTAAATTTTTGCATATTATAAAAATTAATAATAAATTTAAAGACAAAAATAAAAAATTTTAATATTTATGAAGAAAACATTGCCTTCTCTATATACTTTCAATTATTTATTTATTGTTTTTTTTTTAACAAAAAGTACTTTATTATCTTTTTTGATACTCCATGTAATTAATTATGCATATTATTATTAAATAGTTAATATTTTTTTAAAATTTAATATGTATTTATTATTTTCAACTTAATAATTATTAAGTATTATTATATAATATTTCATATAGGTACCTACATTTTATTATTATATCAAAATGCTTGTATATTACAATAATCAATTTTTATAGTTTGCTATTTAGTATGGCTTGTTTTTCATTAATATTATTGAAATTTGAGTTAAACATTTTTGATAGAAATTTTATCATATATCTGTAAAAAATTAGTATAAGCATAATTTTTTAAGCTTTGAATATGTATTAAGCATTTATTTATTTTTATACATTCATATTTTTTCTGTTTTTTATTGCTCAATAAATATTTTTATTTGAAAATTGATATTTTATTTAATAATTTTTTAATTTTGCAATATATTTTTCTCAATTTATTTTATTTTTGTTTCAATATTTTATATATTTACATTGACATTCAGGAATGTTATTATTTATTTGTTTAATTTTTATTTATATTTTACAAAATTGCTTAAATTCATTTAATCTATTTATGGAATATTCCAAAAAAAAAATTTTATACCTATGTTTTCTTTTGTTGAATTTGAGTTATTCGTTAAAATATTTTTAAGAAACATAAGAGAAAAACTTTAATATTATATTTTATATTTTAATATAAATATTTAATATTTCATATTTTTTAATTTAAATATAAAAAAAAAACACATTTGAAAAAATTTCAAAAAAAAAATCATAAAAATTAAAAAATACCTTTCCATATGTAATGTTTAGGTGGTCCGTCTAGAGCACAATGGGAAGATGTAACCGGTTCAACTCCATTAACATTTGTAAATGACTGTGTTTCATTTACAACTACTGTTTCAGCAAGATTTTGGTTAATGGATTGCCGTAATATTTCGGAAGCAACGAAAATGGCAACTGAATTGTACAGGTAAGTTATAAATTATAAAAATTTTATAGAACATGATTTTAAAAGCTTGGTAAAAGATACAAGCATATCCAAGATTTCCTTGATACCAGAATTCTGAACAATTCTCCTTATATTACTTCACAATTTCGCTTAGGTACATTATATACGTCACATATGATTATGTGGTAATTGTTGTAATCCAATTATGATTCTAATTCCTCAACATGTTTTCAAATATTCCACTCTAATAAGTTATAATATTTTTATGCCCAAAACTTGATTTTTTCCCGATTAATAAAGCTAAATTTTATTGGTAAAATATAATAGACTTCGGATATGTTTATGTTTGTCGTTCTTATTTTTACCAATTTATATTCTTTTAGAACTACACACTACACTGCAAACTACACTACATTTTGGAGCAAACGTTAAAATCAAAAAACAGAAAATATTTTATTGTAGAATACCACATATACAATGGTGGTATTTACAAGAGTTGCTTGACTACAATTTTTTAATATTTTCGTTTACACATTGTCAAAATATTTTAAAAATTTAAAATAAATGCGAATGAACTCAAAGTTGTTTTTTACACAAAATTTTTTTTACCTAAAACAATTTTTTTTATTTTGTATTTGCTGTATATTTGTGTGTGATAACCATATAAAATTTTTAGTGCATATCATGCATGCCGTGCATACAGAAAATACATTTTTTTTATAGAAGAGAAGGTGTGAAACATATAAAAGAAGTGCTGTGCTGACACTTAATTCAGACACGTGTAAACAGGGCCAATAACTGCAGTAAAGTGTAATATACATGCAAATAATTATGCTACAAATTTATTATGTGATATAATTTTCTTAGAATTATTATAAACTTAAACGGATTGTTTTGCACAGTACGCTGTACAAGTACAATAAAAAAACACTAAAATATTTCAACTTTCGGGGATATTGTGTGCTCAAATAAGGAGAAATTATTGCTACCAGTAATTTCAGCAAGTAATTTTACATATTGAACCAGTAAAAAAAAATGTTAAGTTTTTTTTTGAAAACAACTAAATTGTCTTTTCAAAGTTTCTTTGAAAAATAAATTGGCTAAGCGGCAATGTCATTTATTAGTGCTCTGTATAAACTATCATAATTAATGAATTTGGCAACAGATTTTTGACAGCAAAATATGTTTCATTAGCTGTTTTTGCTATTTTCTGACATATTTAAATAAAAATATGACAATAATAAATTTGAAGTAATGTATTAAGCTAATGAAGAAATGCGCATTTAGTTTAACAATTAACAGCGTGCATTAACCGTAAAATTAGATTCAAAAAATTATGGTGCAAGTTTCAGAATTTTTCATGCAATCACAAATTTTTCGTTTCAATAAACTGTGTTGTACTTAAATAATACTAAAATATTTTATGCTGATATTTACATTATTTGAAATTAAAGTTATATCTAAGTTTTTTATAAAACCAATAATTGATAAAATCTTAAAAAAATTTCATTTCCAATGTTCCAGGGAAGCAATTCATGTACCATTTATGGCCAAATTTGTAGTGTTTGCAAAACGTATTGAACCTAACGAAGCACGTTTACGTGTATTTTGTATGACTGATGATAAAGAAGATAAAACTCTTGAGCAACAAGAATGTTTTACAGAAGTAGCAAAATCACGTGATGTTGAAGTACTTGAATCTAAGCCCCAATATATTGAAATGGCTGGTAATTTAGTTCCAGTTACAAAATCAGGAGATCAGTTACAATTAACTTTTAAAGCATTTCGTGAAAACCGTCTACCCTTTAATGTTCGTATTAAAGATCAACATGCTGATACTGTTGGTCGTACACTATTTATGCGTGAACCAAAAGTTGCTAAAGGAGAACCACCTCAACAACCAATTTGTATATTAAATATAGTATTACCAGATACAATAATACCAGAACAAATTCAAGCCTTACCGGAAACTCATATTACTAAATCAAATATAATGAGTAGTTATAGTACTAGATATTCAACGGTTGTTATTGACGATCAAAATTATATGGGTGATATGCGTATAGTTGATGTGTCTAATCTATTAGGGGAAGATTGGATGCGTCTTGCACCAGAATTAGGTTTTACTGAAAATGAAATTGATGTTATAAAAGGTCAAAATCAAACAAGTACTGCACAACAAGCCCTCTCAATGATTAGAATATTTAAAGTGAAAAAACCGACTGATCGTATTACATTAGAAAATGGTCTTAAAACAATAGGAAGGGAAGATATTATTACAAAATGTAAAACAGTTTGTAGAAAACGTATTAGCATTGAGAATGGTTATGATGAATCAGATCTTATGAAAGATTCTGAATCTATAGAAGATTTAGTGCGACAAGAGAGTAAGTATACATACCCATTTTGTCTCATTAATTTTTTTATTATAATGATTTATCAATTTAAATATAGATAATAGATTACAACAAATGCGAGAAAGAGAAGAACTTAAATATTCTGCTGAAGAAAAAGAAGTTGAAGAGTCTGAATCAGATGATGAAATTGGTAAACGTACAGTTGCTGAGCGGCGACAGAAAATTGAAAAACGTTTATCATTAGAACGCGCGATTCCAGCATCAACACAAAAACGTGAAATAGTACAAGAAATTACTGAAATTAAAAGAAAAAGTCTTATTGAAGATAAAAAAGCCATTCATGAAGAAGAAATTATGTTACAAATGCCAACTGATAATATTATAAAATCAAATGTTGTACCAGATCAAATAATAAAATTGAAAACTGGTAAAATTGAAACACCTGATGTATCAAAAACTGATTTTGATAAAGAATTACAGGACAAATTTAAGAAAACTATAAAATTAGATGACGAATTCCAAGACAAAGATGACGATGACAATGGTGAAGATGATGATGATGACATCGATCATGCAAAAGAATTTAAAGAAGATTATATACAAGAAACCTCTAAAATTGTATATGATTCTACTATAACTGAAAAATCACGTTTAATTGAAACTACGACAACAAAAACTACAACTACAAAAAAAACAAAAGGTAGTTTAGATGATGAGATTGAAACTACCAAAGAAACTATTAAAGAAACAATTAAAACTGATATTAAACCTATTGTTACTACAACAACAACTACTACTACTACTGCTGCCACTGAAGAACCATCTGATATTAAGGAATCAGAATTTCAATCACGTATAATATCTGGGATACGTGAACAAACACATGATAAACAACAAATTGATAAAGGTAACCGTTTATCAAAACATGAAGCTGAAGAATATATTGAATCAACGGAATCAAGAAAGGAAATAACAAAAATTCAAGTAATTGATACCGAAGATCCAGATTTAGAGAAACGACTTACAAAACAAAAAGAGAAAATTGAAAAGAGTGAAACGAAAATTGATGCTACTCAACATCAACTAATACATAAGGATAGTGAAGATTCTATAAAGCCAAAATCATATCCTGCCAAACCACGTGAATCATTAACCGAAGAAGAATTTTATAAATCGATTGAAGCAACAATTACAAAGAAAATGAGTGAAGGATTAATTGAAATTTCTGACGATATTTTAAGTAAAGGTAAGATGATTTTTTCTACTACGTTTTATAAAACAAATTAAATTAAATAATAATTGAAACAAGCTCAAAAAACTTATCTTGTTCTAAATAATAAAACATTTCGAAGAAAAAAATTTTGTAATTTGCTAAAAGTAATTGTAATTCAATTTGATCTTCGAAAATTCATGATTTTTTAATATTTCCAAAACTATCAACAATTTAATAAATAATTTAGGCTAATTTTGTAAAATACTTATTTCCTAAGTTTTTGTATTTTTTGTATAAAACATTATATTTTTATAACAGCATCAAATGTTGAAATACCAGAATCTCAAACTCCACCACCAACTCCAAGCGAATATCTTCATCAAACTCAAGCACAAACGCAAAATCATGAAACATCGATTAGTTCAAAGAGATCAAGTCCTGAATCAGTACCCGGTAAGTAATAATTACTTTTTGGTCTAGTTTATTATATTTTTTTCTTTGTTAATTTATATATATATAAAAATATAGTGCTCGTGATAAAGTTATTTATATTAATATATATACAATATTTAAAAATAAAACTGTATACACGTAAATATTATATTCAAATTTTAAATGTTTTATTATTTTCTTTTTTAAAACAAGGAAAGAAAATTAATTAGTATTTTTTAATTTAAATTTGATATTAATTATTTATATATACGTATATATATATATACATTTTTTTATATTTATACATTTGTAATTATATTATAATTATATAATTATGGATATGTGTAATTTTTGATAGAGTAAATTATAAAAATTGCTTTTTTGTAACTTAAATATCATCAATTTACTATATTATTATATACATAATTAAAAAAAAATTTGTTTATTATAGAAAATACAGTGTATATTTATACATTATTACATATATGAATAATAATATATAATTAATAATTTAAATTGTTCATTATATAATAATCATAATAATTAGTAATAATTAGTTACGGAATAATTATTACTTTACTGTTTGTTTCTAAATAATTACACTTTTCCAATAAGACTAAATTGCTTGTATTAAAGGAATTGAAATAAGTTTTCAAAATTTTAAAATACTTAATCTCAAGATTGAGATGTTTAAGAAATGAATCAACAAATTAAATTTCAATGTGTATAATTAAGTATGTTTCTAAGTATATTCTTAAAAATATATAATTTCTGAACATAGTCTTTAATATATTTAAAAAAAAAATCAATTATTTAATTTGTTTTTTAAATATAATTTATATTAATAAATTATAATACGAGAAAATAATTCCTCCTTTAACATATTTCTATAAAAGAATTTAACTGATAGCTAAATATCTATTCCCAAATTTAATTCGATTTGGAAAGCTGAATTAGAATATGCATTAACGTATTGTTTCAATCGAAAAATTATTTTCATATCTAAATACACTATTTTTGATCTACATTTACACTACGAATTATTAAAAAACTAACTCCTAAAACAAACACATATACATACATAGCTTTTATGTATCCCCTTTTTCTAATATAAATTAGAATCCTCAGAAATATAAAATTTTTTAAAACTTTAAATTATTATATGTAAAATTCACATTAAAAAGGATAATGAAATCACAATGCCTAAAGATTTTCTGCTATATTATTTTCATTTTATTAAAATTTTGAATAAATAAAGAAACTAATGAGGAGGATTTTAATATTAAAATAAAATACGACTAGTATTCATATAATACGACTATTTTGTTAATTTGTTTCAAAAAAATATTAATGAATAAATATTTACACTATTATATTATTATTATATACGTATATTTATTTTAATTAAACAATATGTATAAATATATATACATATATATATATATATATATATATATATATATATATATATAATTTTATTATATTTTTAATTTTTTTTTTTCAAAATTCAATTTTTAAAATAAATTGCTTTCGTAAAAACACGCGTATTTTATTATGACTTTAGTTTTCTATTTTTTATGTTCTTATTATTTCTTATATAAATAACTGTATTATTATATATAAAATATATTATTTTAGATAATAATTAAAATAGTATTTATAAAAAATATAAAATGTTTAACATATATTTTAATAAATATTTTTTTATTTATTATTTAAAAATTTTAAGTTTACAAAATATTTTTATAATTTCGATTTTCCTATTTAGAAATTTTGTTTTTAATCATTTTTCTTTTTCTTTTCTTTTATTTTATAATTTTTAATATATTATAAATGTAAACCAAAACAAAAATTATTTTATAATTAAATTTAAATTATATTTCATAATTATATAAAAAAAGAAAAAGTGAATGCATTAATTTAGTTTTTTTTTATATAATTTATAAATCCATTAATCCATTAAAAGTTTCGCAAATATTCTATATTCTTATATTAAATATTTATAATATTAATCCAAATTAATATTAAATATATTTTATTTAATATATAGTGAAATGTATAGTGAAACAAAAGAGAGAAAAACAAGAACATTTTTAAAGTTTCATTCAAGATTTCATCATATTTCTGTTTTGGTTTGAACAAAAGTTTATTCAATTTTGTTCTATCATAAATATCCTTACAATTATATACTACAATATATAAATTATACTTTTATACATAAAATACTACAAGAACGTCTCATTTTCAGAATTTTTTATTCACGAAATCAATCATTCATTATTCAAGATGTTATTAATAATTTATTTACATTTCATTTTTTTTTAATTTAAATATTTAAGCAAAATATACAATAATATATACATGATGTGTTGTCATTTAAATTTTCTTTATTAAAAGTTGACTTATTTTATGTAAGATATTTTATTTAATTTAAAAGGATCGTAATTATGTGTTTTGTAACATTTTATTATTCTTTTTAAAAGTTACATAATTTTGATTCTCATTTCCACTCTCCTTGCCATTTAAATGTTCTGTCATTCATTAGAAAAATATAACGAAGCATTTTAAAATAATTTTATTTTTCATAACATAATTGATTTAACAATTATAATTTTAAGTTTTTATTTTTATTATTTAATTATTTTCTTTTTTAAATTTAAAATTGTAAAAACAACTGAGAAAAATTATTTCAAGTCTCATTTAATTTTGTATGTTTTGTATGTTGAACAATTAATTCTACTTTTTAAAGAAATAATGCATTATCACAATTATTTCTACATTAATTAAAAATTAGGCATAAAATTATCACAAATGCAAAATAACTTTGTAAGAGTGTGTTTTATAATTCAATAAGCAATTAAATTTTATAATTCTTAGTATTTTTGATGAAAATACTAAATTTGAAACTTTTTATAAGTTAAAATTATCGAATGAAAGTTATGTGCGACAAGCTTATGTCGAATGGAAACAAAATCAAAATTATGAATAAAGAAAAATTATAATGAAGTTATGATTATATTATATTTTTGATGTCTTTAAGTAGCAACATTTTGCTTCTGGCAAATCCAAGCAGTTCACCTAAGCCTAGCGATTTACCTAAGTTATTCGTTTCGCGGGTCATAAAATTAATTTGTAAACTTTTTTTCTTTAAAACTAAAATGTCATTTTGCTACTAGACAAGTTTCCCATATTGCAAAAACTTCAATGTATATATTCCGAAAAATAATTTAAAGGGGTTGCAGTTTCGAAAGCACTCAAATTTATTAAAAATATTTAAGCTCTAAATAAGACATTTTTCTTTTCTAATATTCATCTGAAATTATTTTACAAAATTTTTTTGTCAACATTTTATTAACAGAATATTTTTTGCAAATATTTTCTCATTTTAAAAATAAATGCATTTCCGAACAAAGAAAATTTTTCTCAGTAAATAGAAACAAAATAAAATATTTAAATATATTCGCATGAATTTTTGTACTTATACTATTGGAGTTAAATATTACGTCATCAGTATAGATTTATAGTTTCAAATAAATTTTGATAAAAATTAATAATTTTGAGGCAGATAATATTAAATATTAAAATATTTAATCCTATAACGATTATATTTAATACTACAAATAAATAGAACATTAGCTTATAGTTAACTTAAATGTTTCTTAAATTTTATTCTGAATAATATTTCTCATATATAAATAGACAAATTTTCTAAATATAACTTAATATAATATATTTGTAAGTAAAGTATTACATGTATTATATTATTATGTATTAATTTTGAAATCATATAATATTTTATATTTAAAAATAAAAAAAAAACTTAATTAAGTTTAAATATAAATAAAAAATAAACTTAAGACAAATAGGAAGGAAACTATAAAAATTTATATGTATACAACGTAAAGTTCATTGGATGGCCTTTAAAGAGATTATGTATACATACATATGTACGTATACAGTTTATTTAAAATAATATATTATTTACTAATGAATAGTTTAAATGTATGTGAAATAAATTTTGTAGGTCATATTCAACTTTTTATTCATGTATAATACTTAAACAAAAACATGTCCAATATACGAAAGTATAACATTAGTCATGGTGTTTCACTTAAAATTTTGATTAACTTTCCGATTATTGTTCTAAAAGTACTAAGAAAATTTTTGTGTACTAAGAAAAAAAATAATTTCACATATTTTTATGTTTAACCATCCAATATTCTTATTGATTATTTCTTCCAAATTATTGAAAACACATTTAAATGCTGTTATACCCAAGTATTCCTAAAAATATTATATTTCTTGGTTAAAATTCAACAACTTTAATTAAAATTTTTAAAATTATTCTAATTACATACTTACATTTTCATTCAAATTTTACAGAAAATCTATTTAATTTATATAGCAGAGAACATATAGATGTCATCATTATATTTTAGGTCAGACAACCATTACTGGTGCTCAGAATTATTTTCATCTAATAATTTTCTAGTTAAATTTGAAAAAATTAAATTCCAATTCAGTAAGAAATATTCTTATTTTCCAATCTTAAAAAGAAATCTCAACTTTCTGTCACTTATGAATTTTATCTTTTAATAGTTTTTGTTTGGAAGTAACTCAATTTATCGAGACTCGAAAAAATTTTCTGAATAGAATTTTCAAATGTACAATATATTTTCAGTTCTGAAAATAATATTGAGATCTGTAAATTGAAATATATTTTAAATTAAATAAAATTTAAAATTGATTATGAAAAATTTTTAATAATTAATAATCAAATAAATTGTTTGCAATTATTTTTTTAAGTTTGTACATTTTAAAAGATGTTGTATGTCAATAAATTAAAATTTGTATAATTTCTTAAATTTTAATAGCTCGCCAATATTTACAAAAATTGTAATAGCTTAAAAATGAAAATTTCAAAAATAATCTAAAGATGATTTTATACCTATTTTACATATTATATGTATCTATATTGAAATTATATTATATATAAAACATAAGTTTCTATAAATTTATAACTATAATCCATATTATATTGTAATAGATTTCGTTATACCATTGAAATCAACTTTGACCATGAAAATAAATAATAATAATTAAAGGAAGTAAAAAATACAATAAAAAACGAATAGATTTTAGTAGTATTTATTTGTGTAGGCTTTTCTTTCGTCTTATTTTATATGTCTATAGGGTTCAGTTTGTATAGAACTCTTACAAATTATATGCCTATATAAATTTCATATAATTTTCTTATTTGTGTAGCATTTAGTTGTAATTTCTTTCTTTCTAAGATATAAAACCAAAATATTGTATTTATATATATTAAGAAAGCAAAAATCTATTTAATTTTACCAGTTTTTTTCAAAATTTATTTGACAAGACTTCATACATGTAAATTTGAGAAGTCTTTTTTTATTATTGTTTTTTAAGTAATTTTTACAACAAATCTTCAATGAATTCAATGCGAAATAAAAAATAGAGAATTAAACACCATGAATATTTTTTTTTTTTTGTTGTAAAGAAAACGAGCAGAAAGAACAAAAACGTAATCCAATTTGCTTCAAATTTCATATTCTTTTCAACTATATATATTTGAATTTATTTCTATATATAAGTATACAATTAAAATCTATTTATACATGGTCTAGGTTTTTCTATTATATGAAAAAATTCAATATTTAGTTCACTAATTGCCTTATTTGTAATAAAAAAAAAAAAAACAATAAAAATATTACGTATAACAGTTATTTTTTTATTCATTTTAGTGTTTATTCTTGTTAAACCAAAATTATTACGTTTTTATATTTCTAATAAGTACTCCAATAGTTTCGGTACAAAATTAAGATTTTAAATTAAAAATTTTTTTTTTTTGTTTCAAACAAAATTGTAAAATATTTTATAAAAAATTGTTTTTGTCTCTTATTTTTGGTTTTTAGTATTTATTTTAATAAATATTCAAGTATATTTTTATTTAAAATTAAATTATAATTATAGAATTTTTAATGAAAAAGAAAACGAAACAAAAAATATTAGTTTGAAAATAAAAAACTCTTATATTTTACATTTAATATTTATTTTTTTTTTTTTTTTTCAAATCAAGGAGAAAAAATCAAATTAGAAACAATAAAATTTCTAATAAAATTTCTAAAAAAGTTCAAAAAGAACACCCCCCGATAATTTATGGAAATTTAAAATGAATTTGTCTTGTGTGTTTTTTGTGTTTAAGTTTTTTTTTTAACTTATAATTTAAATTAGAAAAATTTTTTTAAATTTTTAATACTAAAAAATATTAATTTCATTAATAGTAAATATTTTTGTTATTATTTATTTTTTAAAAATACTTAAAATACAAAAAAAAATAAAATAAATTATTTCTCTGTTTTTTTAATAAAAAATAAATAATAAAAAAATTTATATAGGTGCTGATATTAAAATTTGCTATTAAAAACAAAATTTTTAACATCATAAAAATACGTGAAAAAATTTTTAAATTTAAAATTAATATTATAAATTAATTATATTGTGCCATAAATAATCAAAAATACATAGAGTATTAATATTAAAAAATATATTTTTAAAGTATATTTTGAGAATAATTTTAATTTTTAATAAAATTTACAAATTAAAGGTAAAAGAAAAAAAATCAAATTATTTTATTATTACAAAAAAAAAAAAAAAAACAAAAAATTTCGTGCTCTTCGTGCAGTATAAAATTTTTATTATTTTTGAATTTTACATTTAAATAAAATATACAAAAGTAGTGGTAAGTTTAAAAATATAAACGGCATTTTTTTTAATTAAAATTAAAATAATATTAAATTTTTTTTTATATATACATATTTAGATTTTATATATTAAAAATAAAAATTTTACATATTTATTAATTAAAAAATTTAATCAATTAAATTGATTTCAATTTAATATACAAATGAAATGATAAAAGTATTTCAAACATTTAATTATAATTTTTGATTATTTTTTTTTTTTCGAAATAATGAAAACTTTGTTTTTCTCTTTTCATTTTAAAATTATATTTTTTTTGGGATAAAATTACTATATCGTTGGAAAAACAACAAAATTATATAAACAAAAAAATTTTTAAATAGTGAAAATTTTAATTGCAATATTTTTGCAAATTTATACAATAGAAAAACGAAATGAATAAATTATTAAATTGAACGTTATCCCTTATTTCTTTGCTAAAATGAACCACATTGATTTTATATTTATTTTACTTTTATATGTATGTTATATGTATATTTTCAAAATTTGTATCTGTATATATAAATTTAAAAAAATTACATATTAAAATATTTATAATAATAATCGATAAATATTTTCTTTAAGAATTTAAAATGATGGGATTGAAAATATTTATTAGTTATCCATGTTTTATTCTTATTAAGTAGTTATCCTCTTATCGCAAATCAGGATCTTATAACTGATGACTCCTAAATAATATAACCCACCTTCTATATATGTTTAAGTTTTAATAAATTAATTATAATGTATAATATTTTAATGTATAAGAAATATTTAATATTATAAATTTTATGATATAATTATACATTATTTATAAAATATTCAATTTTTGTTATTGTTACAAAATCCTTATACTCTTTAAAATTATATTAGAAATGTAAAATCTATATTACATCAAATCCCATAATATTTTAAACCCAACCCTATAAAACTGCCTGTATGTTTATCTGTACATTGAATGTGTAGTTTTAAGAACTTCAATTTATTCTGTTCTGTTATAACAAAGTTACATAAGAAAATTTAAAATATTTTAGAAAAAATTATTGACAAATTAACGAATATTACATTGACCAATGAATTATTTAATAAATCTTTGTGAAATCACCAAAATTACATTTTTAATGAATGAAATTTTGAGTTTAAATTATAATAAGTATATCCACTTAATTTTATTGTGTGTACTGTACTAAAACCAATTACATATTTCGGATTAGCACTGGTTTCCAAAAAAAAAAAAAAAAAAGAAAATATAAATTACTGCAAAAATACTCCTGTCGTTTAAAATATAATTATAAAGATATTTAATTTTTACATTGACAATTCAATTGTCAAAAATGACAATTTCAAAGTGCACACATCAGAATTAAAATTTTTTGCATATCACATATTAAAAATTAACTAATAAATAGTATAACAGTTTTCACGCTACTTATACACATATGCATATACGTATATTTATTAATATAGGAGAGCAAGTATTATAACAGTTAAGTTTTTTTGTTTTTTTTTTTTTTTTTTAAACAGGCTTTTAAAAATTGTTAATTAATGAATTGTTAAAATAGAAATAGTAGTAATACGCTATAAGTTGCAAAACATAATATAATTAAACTTATTAAAGTATTATATAATATAATGTAATAATATATTATATAATACAAAAAACAATATTTTAATTATACATATATTTTATGATTTTCGATAAACTTTGATACACACTCTATTATACCTATTCTTAATTAAAATATTTTGATTCTAAATAAAAAAAAACATTGACTACATATATAACAATAATAACATTTAAAATTATGATTAATGATGATTGTGGTTTGCATGTGTTTATTAAAATTTCGTTTCTCTTTTGTTATTTTGTTTATATTCTTGTTGAATGATTTCAAAAAAAAAAATATTATAGTTTCACAATAGAATTCATATAATTTTTTGATATTATTGTTATTATTATTATTAAATATGTACTTAAACATTTTATTATTATATTATTAAATATTTTTAATTAAAAAATAAAAAAAAAAACCAGTTTATGTAGAAATGATAAATATTTTTGTATCGTATATTGAAATTTTTAGTATATTTTCAAACCATATTGTTGAAATTACGATATTATATAAAAATTACATTTCATTGATATATTGATACTATACCGTAATTTACTTGTATCGCATAGCCGTATATTATGCGTATACTGAAAAATCGATATCAAGCTAAATTACTACGTTTTATTCAAATATTTAATTGAGTAACAATATTAATTTAGTAAATACTATTAAAATACTTATTTATGCATTTATCTATTTTAGAATTTCAAAATCAAAAAAGAAAAACAGAGTAAAATTATAATTTGGGGAATTATTTGAACTTTTGATCGTGACTTGAATTAATTTTGAATGAATTAAGGAATTTCAATTTAGTATTTTAATTACTATAATTATATATATATATATATGGCAACTATAAAAATACAGTATATGATAAACTGTTCGTTTATATTTGAAAGCAACATCAGCGACATCATAATTTATACATTGTGGTTGATTTTAGCACTTTTAAAAGTATTGAAAAGAAATAAAATAATTTCATATAAAAATAATTACATATTTTTTAAAATTATTTTTACTTATTTTCAATTGAATTAAAGTTTGCGAAGTTAATTTAAAAATTTTGAATAAAAAAAAATATAGTTTATTTTATATTTATATATTATATAGATATTTTAATATCTTAAAATTATTAACTTTAGTTTAACAATATTAAAAATAAAGAAATAAATTATTAAGAATTTTAAATTAATGATAAAGTAATTTATTTTTATATTTAACGTTTATATTTGAGTGTACGAATATTTTTTTTTTTTTTTTAAATTAGTTTTAATTGTACTTATATTTAATTCACTTTGAAATAGTAATATAAAAATAACATGATTTGATTAAATTTTTATTTAAATAATTTTTTTTTTCTAAATCTAATTTAAAAAAAAAATTTCAAATACAATTTTATAAAATATTTTTATTTAAAATAAAATTACATAGTAATGTCAAAATAACTGTCAAACTTGTTATTTTGTCAAATAACTGTCAATATAATCTTGTTATTTTTTGGAGAAAAAAAAACTACACAAACAACACACAAAATTTTGTAAAAAAGAATGTTGTGTGAATTGTGTTTGATTAAAAATAATAAGGGGCAATTAGATTAAATCACTAAGAAAATTTAAAAACAGTATAACAAAATAAAAAATAAGAGGTAATTTTAAGTTTTTCTAATTTTACGGTATTGACGTAAAATTAAATATCTTTTCTATTTTAGATTTTCAAATGCATTTTATTACATTATTGCAATAAAATTACAATTACTTGTTAAAAATTTATAAATAATTGTTAGAAATATATTAAATAATAATTTTAATTATTTATAATGTGAACATTTCAAAAAAAATTTATTCAGAAATAATTAATTAACCTTTATTGTATACCTTCAATTCAATATCTTTTATATTGAATAATTTATAAAAAATTCAAATATTTCGAATATTAAACAATTTTTAATTACAATTATTTTATTCATTCTTAAATCTCAAATTATTTGTGATTTCATTTGTACTATTGTACTGGAAAACACTGAAAAAGTGTTATAAATTTTTTACTTCCAAATTTTTGTAAATACTTTTAGAAAAAATATAAAATTGTTGTGTTTGTGTGAGTGTATGGTTTCTTCACCTTAATTCTAATAATAAAAATAATAAAAAAATATAGTTATTAATATTTTTTTTTTTAATAATTAATAGCGAAATACAAAAAATTTAAATAAAAAACTTTTTATTTAATGTATTAAATTTTCATAGATTTATCTATTCTATTAAGAAGGAAAAAGAAAAATTGAGTTGAAAAATTAATTTGTCTTAAACTAAATATTTCCAAAACTAATTTTTATTTTTATCTAAAATTTACAAAAAAAATGGTCTTTTCTTTAAAAAATTAAAAAATTAAAGCATATAAAAAAATTCAATAAATAAAAATTACTTTAATTTCTTTTTATTATTGTTTTTCAATAACTTTTTTTTAATTTTCCTTTAATTCAAAATCATTATATCATAAAAAAAACAATAAAAAACCATTCGCATCAAATCCAAATAAAATACAAAATCCTCTTTTTTAATGTATCAAAAATATAATATATGTAAAATGTTTTATATGTATTTATATATTAAATAAATTAAAATTATTTATTTTATTTACTTATTTTCATTTAATTTCTTCAGTTTTAAATTTATAATAAAATATTGGTTTTTTTTCCTTATATTTTTTCTTTTTAATTTTGATTTTATCAATTTTATTTATTTATATATTATATTACCTATATTTTAAATAAATTCTTCTATATATTTAATTTTCAATGCATATTATTTTTATGCATACAATTTTCATTTAATAAAAAAATAAATGGAAAGAAATCAATTGGAAAAAAAAAACATATTATTTTAAAAAATAATATACAATTAATATAATTTTTATATTATTATATACTATATATTTTAATGATATATAATTATATGCTTTTTATCACTTATTTAAGAAATTGGCTTCAAATATTAATTCTTTTTTTTTTTACTAATAAATAATTTTATTTTATATTAATTTTTTTTTTGTTTTGTATTATATATTTGTTTAGTTTAATGTATCGATTTGAAAAAAAAATTTATATTTAGACACAAATTTTTTTCTATATATAATCTTAAAGCAAATATTCATAAAGAAAAATAAAAAAACATGAACAAATAAATAAATATATAAATAAATATATTAACATTGACATTACATATTATAAAATATAAAAAATTTTATTATAATTTAAATCATAAAAGAGATTTTTGCATTATTTTATTTAAAAAATATTTTAAAATAATTTTTTTATACATTATACTCAATATAATTGAACAATATTAATATATGAAAAATATAAATAAATAAATACAATATAATTAGTAATGACAATGGGCGCTAACCAAAATGCAACTTTTTAAAGTTAACACTGTTTTCTTAAGTAAGAATCTACTTTTATTTTTCATTTTAATAAGAGTAACAAAAAAGCTATCCGTATAAATGTCAATAATTTTAAAAAATAAAATAAGGAAACATAAAACTTATATAAATTTTTTTTTTTAAGAAATTCCCAATATGGTTTTGTTTCTTCAAACTTGGCGGATAAACAACAGTCCCTTTTAAAGCAATTCTTCTTTTTTTCTAATAAAATTTTTTTTTTTTGTTTTTATAAAAAAACTCACTTTTTCAATTGGATTTTTGCCTTTTTTTCTCAAATTATTGACCGAACACCTATCACCTTCAAAAAGTGAAGTGAATAAATAATGTTTAAATTTTATACATGTAAATTATATACAAAAATACATGATAAAATAGCGAGATACTCAATATTTCATTCTTACATCATTATCGTAATTATATTGTTATTAAATATTAATTCTATAATTATAATAATTTTTAATTAATAATATATAATATTGAAATTATAAATAATTTCAAATTGAAAAAAAGAACAAAATAATGTAAAAGTTTATTAATTTTTTTTTTTATGTTTTTCACTTAATTTTAAATATAACATACATTTATATTTTTATTTTAAATTATTGGGCAGTGTTGAAATAATATCAAAAATTTTTCATAGATTTTGTTTGTTAAGAATTGAAAAGCGTTCTATGTTTCCAATGCGAGCACAATCTATGAAAAATGGTTTGATAGTGTAATCCCTGCTTAACTTATACAATATTTTTGTTAGTAGAAGTATAAATCAAAATAATTTATTATTTATATTTATGATTTTGATTTTGATTTAATTTATTTTTATTTTAGAATCAAAAACACTTTCATAAAATTTATATTATTGTAGAATAATATTAAATATAGAAAAAATTATTCATTAAAATTACAATATTTGAATATGTGAACAAACGCAACAACATATTATTATCCTATTTCATTTAACTGGCTTTTTTTTTAATGCCGTATGATATATGAAGTCGTGGATTTTTTTTTTTTTTTTTTGAATTATATAAATTAATTAAACAATTATTTATAAAAGTAATTTTATTTTCATTTTGTTGTAAAAGTACACTCAAATATTTAATTATAAGTTTTAATTTGCTATAAATTTAGATAAAGTATAATAATAATTATAATAATATTAATAATAATCATAATAATTTAATTTATAACTTTGCAAACTATTCTTGTTTTTTGTTTTGTTACTTATAAAATAATTGTGTTATTTTGTGTTTTAAAATTTTTTTTTTTAAATTATTTTATTTCATATAATTACCATTGAATAAGAAAATACATAATTAGCTTATAATAATTACAGGTAAAATTTTTAAAATTAATGTATGAGTTGAAAAATTATAATTTATTTAATTATTCTATTATATTAATAATTTTAATATTGATAAATTGATTTGTTTACAAAAACACCGTCAATAATCTATGTAATATAATATTAAATTAAATTTATTTATGTATACTTAAATGCAAGAAAGACAATACAATTTTTGATCCGAATAAATTATGACATATCAGTCTCAAATTGAAATTTAAATGTCAATTATGGCATTTGAATATCATAATCAATGTTATAAGTTTTCTTTAAAATTCAATTAATATTTAAAAAAAAAATTTAATATTTTGTATTAGAAATTTTATGATTAATATTTATAAAATAAAATTTATATCCATACATTTAAAAATTTACCTGTAATTAATTAAGTTATGTAAAACTGTTAATAGTTTTAAAAATTAAAATGCAAAAATCAACTTTAAAATGTAAGTATATTACTCGTATATAATATGTTATTGTTGTCATATTTATCAAGAATGTTAGAATTGTCATTCCGTATAATAAAAGTAATTAAACATATACGAAATTTTATAAAACTTTTAACAAATAATATTAGATAAACATATACATATATATGTTTATATTGTACCTTGTAATAATAACAAAAATATCCAAATTACTTTTTCCACGACATCATATATTATGCAATATGTAGTTTATATATGCTTAGTATTATGCAAAAGGCTTCTATCAAATCAACTTGCTTCACTATATAAATTTTATATTGAAATCTTATAAAAATTTTATTGAGCTATTTGAAATAAAAAATTTATAAGTAAAATAAATTTAACAAAAAAATTAACATCTTATTCGCTTTATATATTCATATATAAATATTATATACAGCTAATTTCATGCATATATGTTTAAACGTTATATTTTCAATATTAAATAATCTGCGTCCTTTTAAAAAGTATCAAATCTCTGTTTTTGTGTTCATACTTTATAATTACTAATTCAAAAGCATAGCACAAAAATTAATTGCATAGCACAATATAATAATCATATATTAAAAAAAAACACTTATTTATTTTTGTATTTAAATAATTAAATTAAAAATATATATATATTTTTTTTTTCTAATTTAAATTTATTAATGATATTGAATTCTTATACTTGTTATATTTTATTACTTTTGTATCTCCTATTATTTTCATGCTGCAAATACTCTCTTCGAAAATAATATGATAATGTTTATTTGATACTTTCATAAATTAACGTCTCGAATATACTACATATTTATCATATTTTTATGTATATCTATATGCATATGTGTATATTACTCAAAAAAAAAATTAATATTACAAATTTTTGCTTTGACTGCTACTTTCTAATATTCTTCTGTCAACTATTCGAAAATAAAAAAAATATATATATAACTAATTACAAAACTGACATATATAACAAAATAAATGAAATGTGGCAACATATCTTTGGAAATTTCTATGTTTACTTAAAATATTAAATAGTAGAGGATTCAGTACAACATGATAAATTAATTGATGATTACACAAATGATATTGAACAAATGGATATTGAAAGTGCTGAACATTATTTAAATGATAGTAAAAAAGAAATTCGTTTAGCTACAGCTGAAGATTTTGAATCTGAAAGTGTTCAATCAATGACAGGAACAACTGATGAAAATAAAATAATTTTAGAACGCAAACAAAAGTTAAGTGAAAGTCAAGAAAGAAAAGATTTAACATTAACTTTTAGTGGAATTGATAGTAATATTACATCAGATTCTGGTACAATGCGTCATTGTGGTACATCACCGTTTGATACAACACCAAAAGAAAAAGAAAGTGATATACCATCACTTAAGTTAATAATTGGTAGAAAAGAGGTTAAAACTAAAGATGCTACTGCAGTTTCTGAAAGTTTATTAACTTTATATGGTCATCAAGATGTTGAAATTTCAATAACATCTGAATCAAAAATATGTTTAACAACCGATGATCATTCATCTGGTCGTAAAAGTACTAAACATACAACGGAATATATTACTAAAACAACAGATATTAAAAATGATACAAAACGTGTACGAATACAAAGAACATCAGAAGCTGTTAGTGGTGGTGAGAAGCCAACTGAAGTTAATTTTTCAAAATTAAAATCAATTCATATTTATCAAAGTACAGATTCAATAAGTGAATCACCTAATTCTGACCAAAGTTTTTCGCAGCCTAATATTAGTGATACTGGTATATCGATAACTAGAGGTTTCACTGAAACTGCTACAAGTCCACTAACGAAAAGTTATTCAGAAGAACCAACTAGTGGTAAAAGATACAAGGGTATTGTAACTGATACAGGTTTGGATGTTGAAATTGAAGAGCTAGAGATGACAGATGCTGGACTAAGTCCAATTCAGCAAGATGATATTACGACAAATATATCAACTACATTTCCAACAGATGATGACCAAATAAATGATCGAACCTATTCAATCAATCAGGGAACCAGCCCTGTTGATTTTGATGACACAATTGATACATCTGAAGCGGGTACTTTAACTGATCGCGTTGAATTTAAAGATGCCTCATTAAGTCCATTAGATGCCGATAGTAGTGTCAAAACACCAATAAGTGGAATGACTGACGATGAAATATTAATAAAACGACATGGTTCTGGTGATGTTAAAGAAAAAATTCGTTTGATTGAAGAGAATGCTAAGCTGTCACAAAAAATTATGAGTCCTAGTAGAAAAATTGTACAAAAAGAATCACAAAATATTGAAGAAATACCCAGAGATGTAACTGATTCTGCAGAAATAATTGACGAGTTTATAAAATATGAGAAAGTTTCCACTTTGCAAACAAAATTAAGCCATAAAGATATTGATGAAGAAAGATGTGATAAAAAGAAAGAAGATTCTATCCTTCATGCAATTCCATTTACAGCTAAGAGTATTGCCCAGCCTGATCGTCCATTTAAACTAGATGAAGTTGAGAAGCAAATTGTGGTTCAACCAACAGAAGAAGAAATTCATTCGAAAAAAGTTACTTCACTAGTATCCACTATTGCTGATTCAAAAGATGCTGCTAAACTATCTGATGAATTAAGGCAAATTGATGAAGCAGTATGTGAAAAAGTTTGCATAAAACGTAAAGTCTCAATGCTTAAAGAACAGTTTGAACAAGGAAAAATAGACAAAAAACTTTCCGAAGTAACGAGTTCTGAAGATTTTATTTCGAAAGCAGAGCTATTACCTGATAATAAACAGAAATTTGATGAAGAAACTTCAGATCAAATTGATAAAACTATTACCTTTATAAGGCAGGAACAACACTTTAGTTCAATTAATAAAGCACTACGAGAACCAATTTCATCGGTTATAAAACGAGATTCTTCATCTATAAGCTCAGAAACCGTTGAAGCAGAAAAATCGGTAGTATCGAAAGATGAAACACAAAAGTTAAAAGAAAATATAATAGAAAAAAAGGAAATAAAATTTCCAGACAACAAAACAACATTAAGTGATGAATTTGCTGTTCCCAAAAAAGTTTCGGAATTAAAAGAAAAGTTTGAAAGACAGAGCTCAATGCAAGATAAGCTAAGTGAATTATTATTAACCGGAGACAATAAAATTAAGGCTGTGAAAGATTCTGACAAAGAAGAGAAAAATACATCTAAAGCGTTAAGCCTCTCAACGAAGATGGACTCTGAGGAGCTTGGCTCGCTGGAACAAATTTCAATTGACTACACTGATTCGCTTAGTAAAGTAGCTGAATTTATCAAACAAGAACAAAAGTTTTCTGCGCAAATTGAGCCACCAATTAAAGTAGAACCGGAAGTAGTTATCAGTTGTGAATCTGATGCTAGTCCTGAAAAAAAGTCTGATTTAATATCGAAAGTGGGAAAATATACCGATAATTTAAATATTGTAACTCCAACTACAATTGACGTTGATAATACGCAAAAACCCTCTGTAGCATCTCAATTATACGCTGTTCCATTTAAAGTTCGAGCTGAACAAAAAATTGAAAGATCAATTGACGTTGAAGATATAGAAAATCAAGTAATTTCAACTGATGAGCTTGAGCAAAAAAAGGTTAAAAAAATTGATAAAATAGAAACTGTGATAAAACAAGAATATCGTCTAAAAGATGAAAAACCGTTGACATTAGCGAATGATTTTGCATCTGAAGAAGTATGTGTGAAACATACGATTACTGCCTTAGCAGAACCCAGCCAGGAACTGATAGTAAATCAAACAGACAATGACATTTTAGAAAACTTAAAGTATCGTGAAAGTAATGAAATGGCCGCTAAGGGTCATGGCGACTCATTGAAACAAATAACGAATTTTATAAAAGCGGAACAAATTTTAAGTTCTGTGCTCAAAGAAACTGAAAAGGACAGTAAAACTACACATACAAATTTACAATTATATGCCACTCCTTTCGAGACAAAATCGAGACCGCAACTTGAACGTGAAGTGGATATAGCTACACTTGAAAGTCTAATAGTTTTAGATAATCCGACTTCTGAAGATTTGAAAGAAAGAGAATCAGTTATGAAAAAGGTGGCTGAAAATAAGTACGAAATGGGTTTAGAACCAGATACTGGGATTATTTTAGAAGAAACGTGCATTAAGCGAACTGTCCCAATGCTTGCCAACGAAGAAGAAGAAAAGGAAAAAAAATTATTAACAATGGAAGAAGATGAAGATGAAATTCAGGAAAAAATTATTGAGGAAAAAAAATCAGAACCCAGAGAAGACGAATTCAAACAATCAATAGAAAATGTTAAAAGTTTTATATTGGCCGAACAAAAATTTAGCACGATTCAAAAAGAAAGTGAAGAAACAAAAATAGAAAAACCTGAATTGTCAAAATTACACACAATTCCTTTCGAAATAAAACAAAAAACACAACAAGTGCGCGAAGTAGATATTTCTGAATTGGAAAATTTAATTATTTCACCAGAAGATTTGGATTTAAATTTGACAACAGACATCTCGAAAATTGAAAAAAAGGAAATTGCTCAACAAGATACTAATTACATTCCTGAACAATTATGTATGAAGCGTACTGTTTCATCTTTAGCAGTACAAAATCAGAAAGCACTACAGGAATCTTCGACCACTGAATGTGATGAAGATTATTTTTCTCAAGAGGCTAGAGAAGCCACAAAAACAAGCCCATGTGTCAAAGATTTAAATTATCCATTAAAAACAGGAACAGATGTCATAACTTCTGGACAAAAATTTAGTTCTTCTATTGATTTAAAAAATCAAATTAGTAAAATAAAAACAGAATCCGATGACAAATTATCCGAGTTTAAAGCAACTAAAGACCCACAACACATTTCTACTGAACTTTCTTTAGGAAATATATCTGATTTCATAAAAAGGGAACAAATCTTCAGCTCAGATTTACAAAGTAAAGTAAAACTTAACAAAAAAGTTGATATTAGAGAAGAGTTGATATTACCCGATACTTTAAAAGCTTCAACTATTTTTGCAGAATCTTTGCAAGAAATTGCTCAATTTATTGAAACTGAAAAAGACTATTGTTCATTGCAGAAAACAATTTTGTCCGACATATATTCAGCAAAGCATGAATTTCTAACTGAGTCAAATATTGAAGAAACTGATCATGAGGGTTTAGAAACTCTAATTAAAGAAGAAATCTCAAGCACAATACCAATATTTGAGAAATGCCATCCTCGGAAACAAGAACCAACGTCGGCAATTCCATTTAAGCCAACTCATAAACCTGATATTGCCAAAAATTTAAACGTTTCTGAAATAGAAAAATGTATTGTTGAAACGAAAGACATTCAAACGGCTCAAATTTTAAAAAAAGATTCCTCACCACTTAAACAAGATGAAAAGCAAGAGTTAACTTATAGTGATCGAGGCGATACTAGTAACGAAAGTAGTATTAAAGAAGTAATTTTAATAAAGCAAACAATAACGCCTTTAGAGGAAGATAAAACGTCTTCAAGTAGCCCAAGTTTGCCAAGCGAAATACAGACGACTGTTGAATTTCATGATTTAAAATTAATAACTGACGTCGAAGCTGTACCCAAAGAAGAGATAAATACTATGGAAGATATACCGATAATCAATCCAGATCCTTTAGTACAAAATTTACCTTTGGAAGATGTTTTTAAAAAACATGGAATGAAAAAATCAATATCTCAGATTTTAATGGATCAACAAAGTGAAGAAAATAAATTTCTTCCAGCAAAAGAACCATCTTTTGCTACAGAAGAATTATCCGATAAATTAGAAAAAGATTTTCAAAAGGACTTGTTCAAGACTATTGAAACAACTTCAACAAGTCAGCATGGGAAAAACTTCGAAAATGATTTTGAAAAAACAATATCAAGTTTACCTGATAAAACAGTAACATTAACGTCTACCTCAACTTCAACACTGTCAAGAGTCCGAGTTTCTAGTAACATTCGGCAGGAGGAGATAATAACTTGGAAGCCCAAGAATAAAACTCTAACTGAATCCGATATCACTAGTGATCCTGAAACAATGCCTACTATCGCACCGTTTAAAAAGAAATATGAAACACATATAACAACAATAACACAACGTGAGTTCCCATCATTTGATGAATTGTTAAAAGACTCAATTGGTGAAACTAAAGAACATCTTCCCGATTCTTTATTATATAAAGATAGCACAGTAAAAATGAATGATCAAAATATTGCAGTTAGCGTTGTTGATGAAAAAGTAAAATCAAATGAAAGTATTAGAAAATTGGAAAAAGTTAATTCCGACGACACATTAGATGATACTAATGGTAAAAAAGTCTATCAGACTACTGATCCAAAAATAAAACAATCCCTAAATATAGCCGAAGGTAGTGCAGAGATATTGAACAAAGCCCCTCAATCGCTAACCGGCGAACTTTCTTCAAGTAAAAATTTAATAGAAATTTCAAAGACCGATTTTAAAGAAAAAAAAAGTATTAAGACTGATTCCACACTAACTATTTCGAAAGATATTAACAAATACAACTTAATCGATGATAAAGTTGATTTGGCTTGTATTAGAGACGATAATATGTACAAAAGAGATATAGAAAAACCGTCGCTTGTTTCGAAAACTGATATTAATTATTCGGTCACTGAGCCTTCAATAATTCCAGCAAATGATGTGTATATGCCTATAGCAGATGTGGTTCATTCTAATAAAAAGGATTTAGAAAGTATAACTGAAAAAACTTCCGAATTTATTGACAAATCAATAGGTACTACCGTAAACCTTGAAAAAACAAAGCATATTCTGGGTGATCCTATATATATTGGACAGACTGATCATACGCTTACCTCCCCTATTGCAGACAGTTTAGGAAAAGCTTTACATGTTCTGACAGATCCTATGTCAGTTGTTAATGAGAAATTATACTTACCTGTTGACTCAGATATTAGAATCGAAAAGAAAATAATAGAAAAAACCTCTGCTACTGAAAAACCTTTGTTAGTTCACACTGTTGAAGAAAGTCTGGAAACAGCTTTACAGGTATTATCTGCACCAGTAACCTTAATAAAGAAAGACTCTCATGGTTTTAAAGAAAAAGAAGATTTTTCGTTGCTTTCTCAAAGAAAAATACAAGAAAACCCAGCGGAGACTGCACCAATTATTAAAAAACACCCTGAGTCTGTTGCTAAAACTTTGGAGAAATCTATGCATGTTTTAACTGATCCCGTATTTTTAGATGAGAAAACTGACCGCATTTTGTCTTATTATAATCGGGAAGAAATTGACAGACGACTAGGTCTTGAAACAAAAACACAAGAAAAGCCCATAGAAAAAAATTTAGGTGGAAAACCTCTCCAGCATATTGTCAAAGGTCTTGAGGAAGCATTACATGTTTTAACAGATCCTGCATCTGTAGACTACACAATGACTCACATTGCAACCTCCCAAAGCCTTAAAGAAGAAATTGACATTTCACACACTGTAGAATTAGATGATCATAAATATCCTCTCGATGACTTTAAAGAAGAATTAGACAAGCAACATAAACCTGTATCTTCTGATAAAAGGGAAGAAAAAGGGGTAACAGAAAAACCAGCTTTAACTGAAAAACAAACAAAGCCTGACAAAGACTTGATGGCTCCTCTCGATGACCTTAAAGAAACTTTAGACGAACCAAAGAAACCCGTAGTATTCGTTAAAAAAGAAGATAAAGCAGTACTACATACACTTTCTGTAATTGAGAAACCATTAAAGTCAGCCATACACAGCCAAGACAAAGATTTACCCAGGTCTCCTGAAAAGGTGCACCCTATAGAATTAGGTGATCATAAATCTCCACTCGACGACCTTAAGAAAGACTCAGAAAAGCCACATAAACCTGTAATTCCTGATAAAAGAGAAGAAAAAGGGTTAACAGAAAAACCAACTCTAACTGAAAAACAAACAAAGCCTGACAAAGACTTGATGGCTCCACTCGATGACCTTAAAGAAACTTTAGACGAAACAAAGCAACCCGTAGTATCCGATAAAAAAGAAGATAAAGCAGTACTAGATACACCTTCTGTAATTGACAAACCGCTAAAGTCTGTCATACACAGTCCAGAAGAAGATTTAACCATGTCTCCTGAAAAGGTGCACCCTATAGCATTGGATGATCAATCTCCTCTCGACGACCTTAAAAAAGACTCAGACAAGCCACATAAACCTGTAATTTCTGACAAAAGGGAAGAAAAAGGGATAACAGAAAAACCAGCTCTAACTGAAAAACAAACAAAGCCTGACAAAGATTTGATGGCTCCTCTCGATGACCTTAAAGAAACTTTAGACGAACCAAAGCAACCCGTAGTACCCGATAAAAAAGAAGATAAAGCAGTAACAGATACACCTTCTGTAATTGAGAAACAATTAAAGTCAGTCATACACAGTCTAGACAAAGATTTAACCACGTCTCCTGAAAAGGTGCACCCTATAGAATTAGGTGATCATAAATCTCCTCTCGATGACCTTAAGAAAGACTCAGAAAAGCAACATAAACCTGTAATTCCTGATAAAAGGGAAGAAAAAGGGTTAACAGAAAAACCAACTCTAACTGAAAAACAAACAAAGCCTGACAAAGATTTGATGGCTCCACTCGATGACCTTAAAGAAACTTTAGACGAAACAAAGCAACCCGTAGTATCCGATAAAAAAGAAGATAAAGCAGTACTAGATACACCTTCTGTAATTGACAAACCACTAAAGTCTGTCATACACATTCCAGAAAAAGATTTAACCATGTCTCCTGATAAGGTGCACCCTATACCATTGGGTCATCATAAATCTCCTCTCGACGACCTTAAAAAAGACTCAGACAAGCCACATAAACCTGTAATTTTTGATAAAAGGGAAGAAAAAGGGGTAACAGAAAAACCAGCTCCAACTGAAAAACAAACAAAGCCTGACAAAGACTTGATGGCTCCCCTCGATGACCTTATAGAAACTTTAGATGAACCAAACAAATCCGTACTATCCCATAAAAAAGAAGATAAAGAAGTACTAGATACACCTCCTGTAATTGAGAAACCATTAAAGTCAGTCATCCACAGTCCAGACAAAGGCTTAACCATATCTCCTGAAATGGTGCACCCTACAGAATTAGATGATCATAAATCTCCTCTCGATGACCTTAAAGAAACTTTAGACGAACCAAAGCAACCCGTAGTATCCGATAAAAAAGAAGATAAAGCAGTAATAGATACACCTTCTGTAATTGAGAAACCATTAAAGTCAGTCATCCACAGTCCAGACAAAGACTCAACCATATCTCCTGAAAAGGTGCACCCTACAGAATTAGATGATCATAAATCTCCTCTCGATGACCTTAAAGAAACTTTAGACGAACCAAAGCAACCCGTAGTATCCGATAAAAAAGAAGATAAAGCAGTAATAGATACACCTTCTGTAATTGAGAAACCATTAAAGTCAGTCATCCACAGTCCAGAAAAAGATTTAACCATGTCTCCTGAAAAGTCGCACCCTATAGTATTAGATGATCATAAATATCCTTTCGATGACCTTAAAGAAGAATCAGATAAGCCACATAAACCAGTAGTTTCTGATAAAAGGGAAGAGAAAGGGGTAACAGAAAAACCAGCTCTGTCTGAAAAACAAACAAAGCCTAACAAAGATTTGATGTCTCCTCTCGATGACCTTAAAGAAACTTTAGAGGAACCAAAGCAACCCGTAGTATTCGATAAAAAAGAAGATAAAGCAGTAATAGATACACCTTCTGTAATTGAGAAACCATTAAAGTCAGTCATCCACAGTCCAGACAAAGACTTAACCATATCTCCTGAAAAGGTGCACCCTACAGAATTAGATGATCATAAATCTCCTCTCGATGACCTTAAAGAAACTTTATACGAACCAAAGCAACCCGTAGTATCCGATAAAAAAGAAGATAAAGCAGTAATAGATACACCTTCTGTAATTGAGAAACCATTAAAGTCAGTCATCCACAGTCCAGAAAAAGATTTAACCATGTCTCCTGAAAAGTCGCACCCTGTAGTATTAGATGATCATAAATATCCTTTCGATGACCTTAAAGAAGAATCAGATAAGCCACATAAACCAGTAGTTTCTGATAAAAGGGAAGAGAAAGGGGTAACAGAAAAACCAGCTCTATTTGACAAACAAACAAAGCCTGACAAAGATTTGATGGCTTCTCTCGGTGATCTTATAAAAACTTTAGACAAACCAAAGAAACCCGTAGTATCCGATAAAAAAGAAGATAAAGCAGTACTAGATACACCTTCTGTAATTGAGAAACCACTAAAGTCAGTCATACACAGTCCAGACAAAGATTTAACCACGTCTCCTGAAAAGGTGCACCCTACAGTATTAGATGATCATAAATCTCCTCTCGATGAATTTAAGAAAGACTCAGACAAGCCGCATAAACCTGTAATTTTTGATAAAAGGGAAGAAAAAAGGGTAACAGAAAAAGCAGCTCTAACTGACAAACAAACAAAGCCTGACAAAGATTTGATGGCTTCTCTCGGTGACCTTAAAGAAACTTTAGACGAACCAAAGCAACCCGTAGTATCCGATAAAAAAGAAGATAAAGCAGTATTAGATACACCTTCTGTAATTGAAAAACCATTAAAGTCTGTCATACATAGTCCAGACAAAGATTTAACTATTTCTCCTGAAGAGGTGCACCCTACAGAATTAGAGGATCATAAATCTCCTCTCGATGACCTTAAGAAAGACTCAGACAAGCCACAAAAACCTGTAATTTTTGATAAAAGGGAAGAAAAAGGGGTAACAGAAAAACCAGCTCTAACTGAAAAACAAACAAAGCCTGACAAAGATTTGATGGCTCCTCTCGATGACTTTAAAGAAACTTTAGACGAACCAAAGCAACCCGTAGTATCTGATAAAAAAGAAGATAAAGCAGTAATAGATACACCTTCTGCAATGGGGAAACCTTTAAAGTCTGTGTTACACAGTCCGGATAAAGATTTTACCATTTCTCCTGAAAAGATGCAACCTATAGAATTAGATGATCATAAATCTGCCCTCGGTGACGTTAAAGAAGAGTCAGACAGCCCACATAAACCTGTAATTTCTGATAAAAGGGAAGAAAAAGGGATAACAGAAAAACCAGCTCTAACTGAAAAACAAACAAAGCCTGACAGAGATTTGATGGCTCCTCTCGATGACCTTAAAGAAACTTTAGACGAACCAAAGCAACCCGTACTATCCGATAAAAAAGAAGATAAAGCAGTAATAGATACACCTTCTGTAATTGACAAACCATTAAAGTCTGTCATACACAGTCCAGACAAAGATTTAACCATGTCTCCTGAAAAGGTGCACCCTATAGAATTAGATGATCATATATCTCCTTTCGACGACCTTAAAGAAGGGTCAGACAAGCCACATAAACCTGTAATTCCTGATAAAAAGGAAGAAAAAGGGGTAACAGAAAAACCAGCTCTAACTGAAAAACAAACAAAGCCTGACAAAGATTTGATGGCTCCTTTCGATGACCTTAAAGAAACTTTAGACGAACCAAAGCAACACGTATTATCCGATAAAAAGGAAGATAAAGCAGTAATAGATACATCTTCTGCAATGGGGAAACCTTTAAAGTCTGTGTTACACAGTTCAGACAAAGATTTAACTATTTCTCCTGAAAAGGTGCACCCTACAGAATTAGATGATCTTAAATCTCCTCTCGATGACCTTAAGAAAGACTCAGACAAGCCACAAAAACCTGTAATTTTTGATAAAAGGTTAGAAAAAGGGGTAACAGAAGAACCAGCTCTAACTGAAAAACAAACAAAGCCTGACAAAGATTTGATGGCTCCTCTCGATGACCTTAAAGAAACTTTAGACAAACCAAAGCAACCCGTAGTATCCGATAAGAAAGAAGATAAAGCAGTAATAGATACACCTTCTGTAATTGAGAAACCATTAAAGTCTGTCATACACAGTCCAGACAAAAATTTAACCATGTCTCCAGAAAAGGTGCACCCTATAGAATTAGATGATCATATATCTCCTTTCGACGACCTTAAAGAAGGGTCAGACAAGCCACATAAACCTGTAATTCCTGATAAAAAGGAAGAAAAAGGGGTAACAGAAAAACCAGCTCTAACTGAAAAACAAACAAAGCCTGACAAAGATTTGATGGCTCCTCTCGATGACCTTAAAGAAACTTTAGAAGAACCAAAGCAACCCGTAGTGTCCGATAAAAAAGAAGATAAAGCAGTAATAGATACACCTTCTGTAATTGAGAAACCTTTAAAGTCAGTCATACACAGTCCAGACAAAGATTTAACTATTTCTCTTGAAAAGGTGCACCCTACAGAATTAGATGATCATAAATCTCCTCTCGATGACCTTAAGAAGTACTCAGACAAGCCACATAAACCTGTAATTTTTGTTAAAAGGGAAGAAAAAGGGGTAACAGAAAAACAAGCTCCAACTGAAAAACAAACAAAGCCTCACAAAGACTTGATAACTCCCCTCGATGACCTTATAGAAACTTTAGACGAACCAAAGAAACCCGTAGTATCCCATAAAAAAGAAGATAAAGAGGTAATAGATACACCTTCTGTAATTGAGAAACCATTAAAGTCAGTCATACACAGACCAGACAAAGACTTAACCATATCTCCTGAAAAGGTGCACCCTACAGAATTAGATGATCATAAATCTCCTCTCGATGTATTTAAGAAAGACTCTCACAAACCACATAAACCTGTAATTCCTGATAAAAAGGAAGAAAAAGGGGTAACAGAAAAAGCAGCTCTAACTGACAAACAAACAAAGTCTGACAAAGATTTGATGGCTTCTCTCGGTGATCTTAAAGAAACTTTAGACGAACCAAAGCACCCCGTAGTATCCGATCAAAAAGAAGATAAAGCAGTAATAGATACACCTTCTGTAACTGAGAAACCATTAAAGTCTGTCATACACAGTCCAGACAAAGATTTGACTATTTCTCCTGAAGAGGTGCACCCTACAGAATTAGATGATCATAAATCTCCTCTCGATGACCTTAAGAAAGACTCAGACAAGCCACATAAACCTGTAATTTTTCATAAAAGGGAAGAAAAAGGGGTAACAGAAAAACCAGCTCTAACTGAAAAACAATCAACGCCTGACAAAGATTTGATGGCTCCTCTCGATGACCTTAAAGAAACTTTAGACGAACCAAAGCAACCCGTAGTTTCCGATAAAAAAGAAGATAAAGCAGTAATAGATACACCTTCTGTAATTGAGAAACCATTAAAGTCAGTCATACACAGTCCAGACAAAGATTTAACCATGTCTCCTGAAAAGGTGCACCCTATAGAATTAGATGACCATAAATCTCCCTTCGATGACCTTAAAGAAGAATCAGATAAGCCACATAAACCTGTAGTTTCTGATAAAAGGGAAGAAAAAGGGGTAACAGAAAAACCAGCTCCAACTGAAAAACAAACAAAGCCTGACAAAGACTTGATGACTCCCCTCGATGACCTTATAGAAACTTTAGACGAACCAAAGAAGCCCGTAGTATCCTATAAAAAAGAAGATAAAGAAGTAATAGATACACCTCTTGTAATTGAGAAACCATTTAAGTCAGTCATACACAGTCCAGACAAAGACTTAACCATATCTCCTGAAAAGGTGCACCCTACAGAATTAGATGATCATAAATCTCCTCTCGATGAATTTAAGAAAGACTCTGACAAGCCACATAAACCTGTAATTTTTGATAAAAGAGAAGAAAAAGGGGTAACAGAAAAACCAGCTCTAACTGACAAACAAACAAAGCCTGACAAAGATTTGATGGCTTCTCTCGGTGACCTTAAAGAAACTTTAGACGAACCAAAGCAACCCGTACTATCCGATAAGAAAGAAGATAAAGCAGTAATAGATACACCTTCTGTAATTGAGAAACCTTTAAAGTCAGTCATGCACAGTCCAGACAAAGATTTAACCATGTCTCCTGAAAAGGTGCACCCTATAGAATTAGATGATCATAAATCTCCCCTCGGTGACGTTAAAGAAGAGTCAGATAAGCCACATAAACCTGTAATTCCTGATAAAAAGGAAGAAAAAGGGGTAACAGAAAAACCAGCTCTAACTGACAAACAAACAAAGCCTGACAAAGATTTGATGGCTCCTCTCGATGACCTTAAAGAAACTTTAGACGTACCAAAGCAACCCGTAGTATCCGATAAAAAAGAAGATAAAGCAGTAATATATACACCTTCTGTAATTGAGAAACCTTTAAAGTCAGTCATGCACAGTCCAGACAAAGATTTAACCATGTCTCCTGAAAAGGTGCACCCTATAGAATTAGATGATCATAAATCTCCCCTCGTTGACGTTAAAAAAGAGTCAGACAAGCCACATAAACCTGTAATTCCTGATAAAAAGGAAGAAAAAGGGGTAACACAAAAACCAGCTCTAACTGAAAAACAAACAAAGCCTGACAAAGATTTGATGGCTCCTCTCGATGACCGTAAAGAAACTTTAGACGAACCAAAGCAACCCGTACTATCCGATAAAAAAGAAGATAAAGCAGTAATAGATACACCTTCTGTAATTGAGAAACCATTAAAGTCTGTCATACACAGTCCAGAGAAAGATTTAACCATGTCTCCTGAAAAGGTGCACCCTATAGAATTAGATGATCATATATCTCCTTTCGACGACCTTAAAGAATGGTCAGACAAGCCACATAAACCTGTAATTCCTGATAAAAAGGAAGAAAAAGGCGTAACAGAAAAACCAGCTCCAGCTGAAAAACAAACAAAGCCTGACAAAGATTTGATGGCTCCTCCCGATGACCTTAAAGAAACTTTAGACGAACCAAAGCAACCCGTAGTTTCCGATAAAAAAGAAGATAAAGCAGTAATAGATACACCTTCTGTAATTGAGAAACCATTAAAGTTTGTCATACACAGTCCAGACAAAGATTTAATCATGTCTCCTGAAAAGGTGCACCCTATAGAATTAGATGATTATATATCTCCTTTCGACGACCTTAAAGAAGGGTCAGACAAGCCACATAAACCTGTAATTCCTGATAAAAAGGAAGAAAAAGGGGTAACAGAAAAACCAGCTCTAACTGACAAACAAACAAAGCCTGACAAAGATTTGATGGCTCCTCTCGGTGACCTTAAAGAAACTTTAGACGAACCAAACCAACCCGTAGTATCCGATAAGAAAGAAGATAAAGCAGTAATAGATACACCTTCTGTAATTGAGAAACCATTAAAGTCTGTCATACACAGTCCAGACAAAGATTTAATCATGTCTCCTGAAAAGGTGCACCCTATAGAATTAGATGATTATATATCTCCTTTCGACGACCTTAAAGAAGGGTCAGACAAGCCACATAAACCTGTAATTCCTGATAAAAAGGAAGAAAAAGGGGTAACAGAAAAACCAGCTCTAACTGAAAAACAAACAAAGCCTGACAAAGATTTGATGGCTCCTCTCGATGACCTTAAAGAAACTTTAGACGAACCAAAGCAACCCGTAATATCCGATAAAAAAGAAGATAAAGCAGTAATAGATACACCTTCTGTAATTGAGAAACCATTAAAGTCTGTCATACACAGTCCAGACAAAAATTTAACCATTTCTCCTGAAAAGGTGCACCCTATAGAATTAAACGATCATATATCTCCTTTCGACGACCTTAAAGAAGGGTCAGACAAGCCACATAAACCTGTAATTCCTGATAAAAAGGAAGAAAAAGGGGTAACAGAAAAACCAGCTCCAACTGAAAAACAAACAAAGCCTGACAAAGATTTGATGGCTCCTCTCGATGACCTTAAAGAAACTTTAGACGAACCAAAGCAACCCGTAGTATCCGATAAGAAAGAAGATAAAGCAGTAATAGATGCACCTTCTGTAATTGAGAAACCATTAAAGTTTGTCATACACAGTCCAGACAAAGATTTAACCCTGTCTCCTGAAAAGGTGCACCCAATAGAATTAGATGATCATAAATCTCCCCTCGGTGACGTTAAAGAAGAGTCAGACAAGCCACATAAACCTGTAATTCCTGATAAAAAGGAAGAAAAAGGGGTAACAGAAAAACCAGCTCTAACTGACAAACAAACAAAGCCTGACAAAGATTTGATGGCTCCTCTCGATGACCTTAAAGAAACTTTAGACGAACCAAAGCAACCCGTAGTATCCGATAAGAAAGAAGATAAAGCAGTAATAGATACACCTTCTGTAATTGAGAAACCATTAAAGTCTGTCATACACAGTCCAGAGAAAGATTTAACCATGTCTCCTGAAAAGGTGCACCCTATAGAATTAGATGATCATATATCTCCTTTCGACGACCTTAAAGAAGGGTTAGACAAGCCACATAAACCTGTAATTCCTGATAAAAAGGAAGAAAAAGGGGTAACAGAAAAACCAGCTCTAACTGAAAAACAAACAAAGCCTGACAAAGATTTGATGGCTCCTCTCGATGACCTTAAAGAAACTTTAGACGAACCAAAGCAACCCGTAATATCCGATAAAAAAGAAGATAAAGCAGTAATAGATACACCTTCTGTAATTGAGAAACCATTAAAGTCTGTCATACACAGTCCAGAGAAAGATTTAACCATGTCTCCTAAAAAGGTGCACCCTATAGAATTAGATGATCATATATCTCCTTTCGACGACCTTAAAGAATGGTCAGACAAGCCACATAAACCTGTAATTCCTGATAAAAAGGAAGAAAAAGGCGTAACAGAAAAACCAGCTCCAACTGAAAAACAAACAAAGCCTGACAAAGATTTGATGGCTCCTCTCGATGACCTTAAAGAAACTTTAGACGAACCAAAGCAACCCGTAGTTTCCGATAAAAAAGAAGATAAAGCAGTAATAGATACACCTTCTGTAATTGAGAAACCATTAAAGTTTGTCATACACAGTCCAGACAAAGATTTAACCATGTCTCCTGAAAAGGTGCACCCCATGGAATTAGATGATCATAAATCTGCCCTCGGTGACGTTAAAAAAGAGTCAGACAAGCCACATAAACCTGTAATTCCTGATAAAAAGGAAAAAAAAGGGGTAACAGAAAAACCAGCTCTAACTGACAAACAAACAAAGCCTGACAAAGATTTGATGGCTCCTCTCGGTGACCTTAAAGAAACTTTAGACGAACCAAACCAACCCGTAGTATCCGATAAGAAAGAAGATAAAGCAGTAATAGATACACCTTCTGTAATTGAGAAACCATTAAAGTTTGTCATACACAGTCCAGACAAAGATTTAATCATGTCTCCTGAAAAGGTGCACCCTATAGAATTAGATGATCATATATCTCCTTTCGACGACCTTAAAGAATGGTCAGACAAGCCACATAAACCTGTAATTCCTGATAAAAAGGAAGAAAAAGGCGTAACAGAAAAACCAGCTCCAGCTGAAAAACAAACAAAGCCTGACAAAGATTTGATGGCTCCTCCCGATGACCTTAAAGAAACTTTAGACGAACCAAAGCAACCCGTAGTTTCCGATAAAAAAGAAGATAAAGCAGTAATAGATACACCTTCTGTAATTGAGAAACCATTAAAGTTTGTCATACACAGTCCAGACAAAGATTTAATCATGTCTCCTGAAAAGGTGCACCCTATAGAATTAGATGATTATATATCTCCTTTCGACGACCTTAAAGAAGGGTCAGACAAGCCACATAAACCTGTAATTCCTGATAAAAAGGAAGAAAAAGGGGTAACAGAAAAACCAGCTCTAACTGACAAACAAACAAAGCCTGACAAAGATTTGATGGCTCCTCTCGGTGACCTTAAAGAAACTTTAGACGAACCAAACCAACCCGTAGTATCCGATAAGAAAGAAGATAAAGCAGTAATAGATACACCTTCTGTAATTGAGAAACCATTAAAGTCTGTCATACACAGTCCAGACAAAGATTTAATCATGTCTCCTGAAAAGGTGCACCCTATAGAATTAGATGATTATATATCTCCTTTCGACGACCTTAAAGAAGGGTCAGACAAGCCACATAAACCTGTAATTCCTGATAAAAAGGAAGAAAAAGGGGGTAACAGAAAAACCAGCTCTAACTGAAAAACAAACAAAGCCTGACAAAGATTTGATGGCTCCTCTCGATGACCTTAAAGAAACTTTAGACGAACCAAAGCAACCCGTAATATCCGATAAAAAAGAAGATAAAGCAGTAATAGATACACCTTCTGTAATTGAGAAACCATTAAAGTCTGTCATACACAGTCCAGACAAAAATTTAACCATTTCTCCTGAAAAGGTGCACCCTATAGAATTAAACGATCATATATCTCCTTTCGACGACCTTAAAGAAGGGTCAGACAAGCCACATAAACCTGTAATTCCTGATAAAAAGGAAGAAAAAGGGGTAACAGAAAAACCAGCTCCAACTGAAAAACAAACAAAGCCTGACAAAGATTTGATGGCTCCTCTCGATGACCTTAAAGAAACTTTAGACGAACCAAAGCAACCCGTAGTATCCGATAAGAAAGAAGATAAAGCAGTAATAGATGCACCTTCTGTAATTGAGAAACCATTAAAGTTTGTCATACACAGTCCAGACAAAGATTTAACCCTGTCTCCTGAAAAGGTGCACCCAATAGAATTAGATGATCATAAATCTCCCCTCGGTGACGTTAAAGAAGAGTCAGACAAGCCACATAAACCTGTAATTCCTGATAAAAAGGAAGAAAAAGGGGTAACAGAAAAACCAGCTCTAACTGACAAACAAACAAAGCCTGACAAAGATTTGATGGCTCCTCTCGATGACCTTAAAGAAACTTTAGACGAACCAAAGCAACCCGTAGTATCCGATAAGAAAGAAGATAAAGCAGTAATAGATACACCTTCTGTAATTGAGAAACCATTAAAGTCTGTCATACACAGTCCAGAGAAAGATTTAACCATGTCTCCTGAAAAGGTGCACCCTATAGAATTAGATGATCATATATCTCCTTTCGACGACCTTAAAGAAGGGTTAGACAAGCCACATAAACCTGTAATTCCTGATAAAAAGGAAGAAAAAGGGGTAACAGAAAAACCAGCTCTAACTGAAAAACAAACAAAGCCTGACAAAGATTTGATGGCTCCTCTCGATGACCTTAAAGAAACTTTAGACGAACCAAAGCAACCCGTAATATCCGATAAAAAAGAAGATAAAGCAGTAATAGATACACCTTCTGTAATTGAGAAACCATTAAAGTCTGTCATACACAGTCCAGAGAAAGATTTAACCATGTCTCCTGAAAAGGTGCACCCTATAGAATTAGATGATCATATATCTCCTTTCGACGACCTTAAAGAATGGTCAGACAAGCCACATAAACCTGTAATTCCTGATAAAAAGGAAGAAAAAGGCGTAACAGAAAAACCAGCTCCAACTGAAAAACAAACAAAGCCTGACAAAGATTTGATGGCTCCTCTCGATGACCTTAAAGAAACTTTAGACGAACCAAAGCAACCCGTAGTTTCCGATAAAAAAGAAGATAAAGCAGTAATAGATACACCTTCTGTAATTGAGAAACCATTAAAGTTTGTCATACACAGTCCAGACAAAGATTTAACCATGTCTCCTGAAAAGGTGCACCCCATGGAATTAGATGATCATAAATCTGCCCTCGGTGACGTTAAAAAAGAGTCAGACAAGCCACATAAACCTGTAATTCCTGATAAAAAGGAAAAAAAAGGGGGTAACAGAAAAACCAGCTCTAACTGACAAACAAACAAAGCCTGACAAAGATTTGATGGCTCCTCTCGGTGACCTTAAAGAAACTTTAGACGAACCAAACCAACCCGTAGTATCCGATAAGAAAGAAGATAAAGCAGTAATAGATACACCTTCTGTAATTGAGAAACCATTAAAGTCTGTCATACACAGTCCAGACAAAGATTTAATCATGTCTCCTGAAAAGGTGCACCCTATAGAATTAGATGATTATATATCTCCTTTCGACGACCTTAAAGAAGGGTCAGACAAGCCACATAAACCTGTAATTCCTGATAAAAAGGAAGAAAAAGGGGTAACAGAAAAACCAGCTCTAACTGAAAAACAAACAAAGCCTGACAAAGATTTGATGGCTCCTCTCGATGACCTTAAAGAAACTTTAGACGAACCAAAGCAACCCGTAATATCCGATAAAAAAGAAGATAAAGCAGTAATAGATACACCTTCTGTAATTGAGAAACCATTAAAGTCTGTCATACACAGTCCAGACAAAAATTTAACCATTTCTCCTGAAAAGGTGCACCCTATAGAATTAAACGATCATATATCTCCTTTCGACGACCTTAAAGAAGGGTCAGACAAGCCACATAAACCTGTAATTCCTGATAAAAAGGAAGAAAAAGGCGTAACAGAAAAACCAGCTCCAACTGAAAAACAAACAAAGCCTGACAAAGATTTGATGGCTCCTCTCGATGACCTTAAAGAAACTTTAGACGAACCAAAGCAACCCGTAGTATCCGATAAAAAAGAAGATAAAGCAGTAATAGATGCACCTTCTGTAATTGAGAAACCATTAAAGTTTGTCATACACAGTCCAGACAAAGATTTAACCCTGTCTCCTGAAAAGGTGCACCCAATAGAATTAGATGATCATAAATCTCCCCTCGGTGACGTTAAAGAAGAGTCAGACAAGCCACATAAACCTGTAATTCCTGATAAAAAGGAAGAAAAAGGGGGTAACAGAAAAACCAACTCTAACTGACAAACAAACAAAGCCTGACAAAGATTTGATGGCTCCTCTCGATGACCTTAAAGAAACTTTAGACGAACCAAAGCAACCCGTAGTATCCGATAAAAAAGAAGATAAAGCAGTAATAGATACACCTTCTGTAATTGAGAAACCATTAAAGTCTGTCATACACAGTCCAGACAAAGATTTAACCATTTCTCCTGAAAAGGTGCACCCTATAGAATTAGATGATCATATATCTCCTTTCGACGACCTTAAAGAAGGGTCAGACAAGCCACATAAACCTGTAATTCCTGATAAAAAGGAAGAAAAAGGGGTAACAGAAAAACCAGCTCTAACTGAAAAACAAACAAAGCCTGACAAAGATTTGATGGCTCCTCTCGATGACCTTAAAGAAACTTTAGACGAACCAAAGCAACCCGTAGTATCCGATAAAAAAGAAGATAAAGCAGTAATAGATACACCTTCTGTAATTGAGAAACCATTAAAGTCTGTCATACACAGTCCAGACAAAGATTTAACCATGTCTCCTGAAAAGGTGCATCCTATAGAATTAGATGATCATAAATCTGCCCTCGTTGACGTTAAAAAAGAGTCAGACAAGCCACATAAACCTGTAATTCCTGATAAAAAGGAAGAAAAAGGGGGTAACAGAAAAACCAGCTCTAACTGACAAACAAACAAAGCCTGACAAAGATTTGATGGCTCCTCTCGGTGACCTTAAAGAAACTTTAGACGAACCAAAGCAACCCGTAGTATCCGATAAGAAAGAAGATAAAGCAGTAATAGATACACCTTCTGTAATTGAGAAACTATTAAAGTCTGTCATACACAGTCCAGACAAAGATTTAACCATGTCTCCTGAAAAGGTGCACCCTATAGAATTAGATGATCATATATCTCCTTTCGATGACCTTAAAGAAGGGTCGGACAAGCCACATAAACCTGTAATTCCTGATAAAAAGGAAGAAAAAGGGGTAACAGAAAAACCAGCTCTAACTGAAAAACAAACAAAGCCTGACAAAGATTTGATGGCTTCTCTCGATGGCCTTAAAGAAATTTTAGACGAACCAAAGCAACCCGTAGTATCCGATAAAAAAGAAGATAAAGCAGTAATAGATACACCTTCTGTAATTGAGAAACCATTAAAGTCTGTCAAACACAGTCCAGACAAAGATTTAACCATGTCTTCTGAAAAGGTGTACCCTATAGAATTGGATGATCATAAATCTCCCCTCGGTGACGTTAAAAAAGAGTCAGACAGGCCACATAAACCTGTGATTTCTGATAAAAAGGAAGAAAAAGGGGTAACAGAAAAACCAGCTCTAACTGAAAAACAAACAAAGCCTGACAAAGATTTGATGGCTTCTCTCAATGGCCTTAAAGAAATTTTAGACGAACCAAAGCAACCCGTAGTATCCGATAAAAAAGAAGATAAAGCTGTAATAGATACACCTTCTGTAATTGAGAAACCATTAAAGTCTGTCATACACAGTCCAGACAAAGATATAACCATGTCTTCTGAAAAGGTGTACCCTATAGAATTGGATGATCATAAATCTCCCCTCGGTGACCTTAAAGAAGGGTCGGACAAGCCACATAAACCTGTAATTCCTGATAAAAAGGAAGAAAAAGGGGTAACAGAAAAACCAGCTCTAACTGAAAAACAAACAAAGCCTGACAAAGATTTGATGGCTTCTCTCGATGGCCTTAAAGAAATTTTAGACGAACCAAAGCAACCCGTAGTATCCGATAAAAAAGAAGATAAAGCAGTAATAGATACACCTTCTGTAATTGAGAAACCATTAAAGTCTGTCATACACAGTCCAGACAAAGATTTAACCATGTCTTCTGAAAAGGTGTACCCTATAGAATTGGATGATCATAAATCTCCCCCCGGTGACGTTAAAAAAGAGTCAGACAGGCCACATAAACCTGTAATTCCTGATAAAAAGGAAGAAAAAGGCGTAACAGAAAAACCAGCTCCAACTGAAAAACAAACAAAGCCTGACAAAGATTTGATGGCTCCTCTCGATGACCTTAAAGAAACTTTAGACGAACCAAAGCAACCCGTAATATCCGATAAAAAAGAAGATAAAGCAGTAATAGATACACCTTCTGTAATTGAGAAACCATTAAAGTCTGTCATACACAGTCCAGACAAAGATTTAACCATTTCTCCCGAAAAGGTGCACCCTATAGAATTAGACGATCATATATCTCCTTTCGACGACCTTAAAGAAGGGTCAGACAAGCCACATAAACCTGTAATTCCTGATAAAAAGGAAGAAAAAGGCGTAACAGAAAAACCAGCTCCAACTGAAAAACAAACAAAGCCTGACAAAGAGTTGATGGCTCCTCTCGATGACCTTAAAGAAACTTTAGACGAACCAAAGCAACCCGTAGTATCCGATAAAAAAGAAGATAAAGCAGTAATAGATGCACCTTCTGTAATTGAGAAACCATTAAAGTTTGTCATACACAGTCCAGACAAAGATTTAACCCTGTCTCCTGAAAAGGTGCACCCAATAGAATTAGATGATCATAAATCTCCCCTCGGTGACGTTAAAGAAGAGTCAGACAAGCCACATAAACCTGTAATTCCTGATAAAAAGGAAGAAAAAGGCGTAACAGAAAAACCAACTCTAACTGACAAACAAACAAAGCCTGACAAAGATTTGATGGCTCCTCTCGATGACCTTAAAGAAACTTTAGACGAACCAAAGCAACCCGTAGTATCCTATAAAAAAGAAGATAAAGCAGTAATAGATACACCTTCTGTAATTGAGAAACCATTAAAGTCTGTCATACACATTCCAGACAAAGATTTAACCATGTCTCCTGAAAAGGTGCACCCTATAGAATTAGATGATCATATATCTCCTTTCGACGACCTTAAAGAAGGGTCAGACAAGCCACATAAACCTGTAATTCCTGATAAAAAGGAAGAAAAAGGGGGTAACAGAAAAACCAACTCTAACTGACAAACAAACAAAGCCTGACAAAGATTTGATGGCTCCTCTCGATGACCTTAAAGAAACTTTAGACGAACCAAAGCAACCCGTAGTATCCGATAAAAAAGAAGATAAAGCAGTAATAGATACACCTTCTGTAATTGAGAAACCATTAAAGTCTGTCATACACAGTCCAGACAAAGATTTAACCATTTCTCCAGAAAAGGTGCACCCTATAGAATTAGATGATCATATATCTCCTTTCGACGACCTTAAAGAAGGGTCAGACAAGCCACATAAACCTGTAATTCCTGATAAAAAGGAAGAAATAGGGGTAACAGAAAAACCAACTCTAACTGACAAACAAACAAAGCCTGACAAAGATTTGATGGCTCCTCTCGATGACCTTAAAGAAACTTTAGACGAACCAAAGCAACCCGTAGTATCCGATAAAAAAGAAGATAAAGCAGTAATAGATACACCTTCTGTAATTGAGAAACCATTAAAGTCTGTCATACACAGTCCAGACAAAGATTTAACCATGTCTCCTGAAAAGGTGCATCCTATAGAATTAGATGATCATAAATCTGCCCTCGTTGACGTTAAAAAAGAGTCAGACAAGCCACATAAACCTGTAATTCCTGATAAAAAGGAAGAAAAAGGGGTAACAGATAAACCAGCTCTAACTGACAAACAAACAAAGCCTGACAAAGATTTGATGGCTCCTCTCGGTGACCTTAAAGAAACTTTAGACGAACCAAAGCAACCCGTAGTATCCGATAAAAAAGAAGATAAAGCAGTAATAGATACACCTTCTGTAATTGAGAAACCATTAAAGTCTGTCATACACAGTCCAGACAAAGATTTAATAATGTCTCCTGAAAAGGTGCACCCTATAGAATTAGATGATCATATATCTCCTTTCGATGACCTTAAAGAAGGGTCGGACAAGCCACATAAACCTGTAATTCCTGATAAAAAGGAAGAAAAAGGGGTAACAGAAAAACCAGCTCTAACTGAAAAACAAACAAAGCCTGACAAAGATTTGATGGCTTCTCTCGATGACCTTAAAGAAATTTTATACGAACCAGAGCAACCCGTAGTATCCGATAAAAAAGAAGATAAAGCAGGAATAGATACACCTTCTGTAATTGAGATACCATTAAAGTCTGTCATACACAGTCCAGAAAAAGATTTAATCAAGTCTCCTGAAAAGGTGCACCCTATAGAACTAGATGCTCATAAATCTCCCCTCGGTGACGTTAAAGAAGAGTCAGACAAGCCACATAAACCTGTAATTCCTGATAAAAAGGAAGAAAAAGGGGTAACAGAAAAACCAGCTCTAACTGACAAACAAACAAAGCCTGACAAAGATTTGATGGCTCCTCTCGGTGACCTTAAAGAAACTTTAGACGAACCAAAGCAACCCGTAGTATCCGATAAAAAAGAAGATAAAGCAGTAACAGATACACCTTCTGTAATTGAGAAACCATTAAAGTCTGTCATACACAGTCCAGACAAAGATTTAACCATTTCTCCCGAAAAGGTGCACCCTATAGAATTAGACGATCATATATCTCCTTTCGACGACCTTAAAGAAGGGTCAGACAAGCCACATAAACCTGTAATTCCTGATAAAAAGGAAGAAAAAGGCGTAACAGAAAAACCAGCTCCAACTGAAAAACAAACAAAGCCTGACAAAGAGTTGATGGCTCCTCTCGATGACCTTAAAGAAACTTTAGACGAACCAAAGCAACCCGTAGTATCCGATAAAAAAGAAGATAAAGCAGTAATAGATGCACCTTCTGTAATTGAGAAACCATTAAAGTTTGTCATACACAGTCCAGACAAAGATTTAACCCTGTCTCCTGAAAAGGTGCACCCAATAGAATTAGATGATCATAAATCTCCCCTCGGTGACGTTAAAGAAGAGTCAGACAAGCCACATAAACCTGTAATTCCTGATAAAAAGGAAGAAAAAGGCGTAACAGAAAAACCAACTCTAACTGACAAACAAACAAAGCCTGACAAAGATTTGATGGCTCCTCTCGATGACCTTAAAGAAACTTTAGACGAACCAAAGCAACCCGTAGTATCCTATAAAAAAGAAGATAAAGCAGTAATAGATACACCTTCTGTAATTGAGAAACCATTAAAGTCTGTCATACACATTCCAGACAAAGATTTAACCATGTCTCCTGAAAAGGTGCACCCTATAGAATTAGATGATCATATATCTCCTTTCGACGACCTTAAAGAAGGGTCAGACAAGCCACATAAACCTGTAATTCCTGATAAAAAGGAAGAAAAAGGGGTAACAGAAAAACCAACTCTAACTGACAAACAAACAAAGCCTGACAAAGATTTGATGGCTCCTCTCGATGACCTTAAAGAAACTTTAGACGAACCAAAGCAACCCGTAATATCCGATAAAAAAGAAGATAAAGCAGTAATAGATACACCTTCTGTAATTGAGAAACCATTAAAGTCTGTCATACACAGTCCAGACAAAGATTTAACCATTTCTCCAGAAAAGGTGCACCCTATAGAATTAGATGATCATATATCTCCTTTCGACGACCTTAAAGAAGGGTCAGACAAGCCACATAAACCTGTAATTCCTGATAAAAAGGAAGAAATAGGGGTAACAGAAAAACCAACTCTAACTGACAAACAAACAAAGCCTGACAAAGATTTGATGGCTCCTCTCGATGACCTTAAAGAAACTTTAGACGAACCAAAGCAACCCGTAGTATCCGATAAAAAAGAAGATAAAGCAGTAATAGATACACCTTCTGTAATTGAGAAACCATTAAAGTCTGTCATACACAGTCCAGACAAAGATTTAACCATGTCTCCTGAAAAGGTGCATCCTATAGAATTAGATGATCATAAATCTGCCCTCGTTGACGTTAAAAAAGAGTCAGACAAGCCACATAAACCTGTAATTCCTGATAAAAAGGAAGAAAAAGGGGGTAACAGATAAACCAACACTAACTGATAAACAAACAAAGCCTGACAAAGATTTGATGGCTCCTCTCGGTGACCTTAAAGAAACTTTAGACGAACCAAAGCAACCCGTAGTATCCGATAAAAAAGAAGATAAAGCAGTAATAGATACACCTTCTGTAATTGAGAAACCATTAAAGTCTGTCATACACAGTCCAGACAAAGATTTAATAATGTCTCCTGAAAAGGTGCACCCTATAGAATTAGATGATCATATATCTCCTTTCGATGACCTTAAAGAAGGGTCGGACAAGCCACATAAACCTGTAATTCCTGATAAAAAGGAAGAAAAAGGGGTAACAGAAAAACCAGCTCTAACTGAAAAACAAACAAAGCCTGACAAAGATTTGATGGCTTCTCTCGATGACCTTAAAGAAATTTTAGACGAACCAGAGCAACCCGTAGTATCCGATAAAAAAGAAGATAAAGCAGGAATAGATACACCTTCTGTAATTGAGATACCATTAAAGTCTGTCATACACAGTCCAGAAAAAGATTTAATCAAGTCTCCTGAAAAGGTGCACCCTATAGAACTAGATGCTCATAAATCTCCCCTCGGTGACGTTAAAGAAGAGTCAGACAAGCCACATAAACCTGTAATTCCTGATAAAAAGGAAGAAAAAGGGGTAACAGAAAAACCAGCTCTAACTGACAAACAAACAAAGCCTGACAAAGATTTGATGGCTCCTCTCGGTGACCTTAAAGAAACTTTAGACGAACCAAAGCAACCCGTAGTATCCGATAAAAAAGAAGATAAAGCAGTAACAGATACACCTTCTGTAATTGAGAAACCATTAAAGTCTGTCATACACAGTCCAGACAAAGATTTAACCATTTCTCCTGAAAAGGTGCACCCTATAGAATTAGACGATCATATATCTCCTTTCGACGACCTTAAAGAAGGGTCTGACAAGCCACATAAACCTGTAATTCCTGATAAAAAGGAAGAAAAAGGCGTAACAGAAAAACCAGCTCCAACTGAAAAACAAACAAAGCCTGACAAAGATTTGATGGCTCCTCTCGATGACCTTAAAGAAACTTTAGACGAACCAAAGCAACCCGTAGTATCCGATAAAAAAGAAGATAAAGCAGTAATAGATGCACCTTCTGTAATTGAGAAACCACTAAAGTCTGTCATACACAGTCCAGAAAAAGATTTAACCATGTCTCCTGAAAAGGTGCACCCTATAGAACTAGATGCTCATAAATCTCCCCTCGGTGACGTTAAAGAAGAGTCAGACAAGCCACATAAACCTGTAATTCCTGATAAAAAGGAAGAAAAAGGGGTAACAGAAAAACCAGCTCTAACTGACAAACAAACAAAGCCTGACAAAGATTTGATGGCTCCTCTCGGTGACCTTAAAGAAACTTTAGACGAACCAAAGCAACCCGTAGTATCCGATAAAAAAGAAGATAAAGCAGTAACAGATACACCTTCTGTAATTGAGAAACCATTAAAGTCTGTCATACACAGTCCAGACAAAGATTTAACCATGTCTCCTGAAAAGGTGCACCCTATAGAATTAGACGATCATATATCTCCTTTCGACGACCTTAAAGAAGGGTCTGACAAGCCACATAAACCTGTAATTCCTGATAAAAAGGAAGAAAAAGGCGTAACAGAAAAACCAGCTCCAACTGAGAAACAAACAAAGCCTGCCAAAGATTTGATGGCACCTCTTGATGACCTTAAAGAAACTTTAGACGAACCAAAGCAACCCGTAGTATCCGATAAAAAAGAAGATAAAGCAGTAATAGATGCACCTTCTGTAATTGAGAAACCATTAAAGTTTGTCATACACAGTCCAGACAAAGATTTAACCATGTCTCCTGAAAAGGTGCACCCAATAGAATTAGATGATCATAAATCTCCCCTCGGTGACGTTAAAGAAGAGTTAGACAAGCCACATAAACCTGTAATTCCTGATAAAAAGGAAGAAAAAGGGGTAACAGAAAAACCAACTCTAACTGACAAACAAACAAAGCCTGACAAAGATTTGATGGCTCCTCTCGATGACCTTGAAGAAACTTTAGACGAACCAAAGCAACCCGTAGTATCCGATAAAAAAGAAGATAAAGCAGTAATAGATACACCTTCTGTAATTGAGAAACCATTAAAGTCTGTCATACACAGTCCAGACAAAGCTTTAACCATGTCTCCTGAAAAGGTGCACCCTATAGAATTAGATGATCATAAATCTGCCCTCGTTGACGTTAAAAAAGAGTCAGACAAGCCACATAAACCTGTAATTCCTGATAAAAAGGAAGAAAAAGGGGTAACAGAAAAACCAACTCTAACTGACAAACAAACAAAGCCTGACAAAGATTTGATGGCTCCTCTCGATGACCTTAAAGAAACTTTAGACGAACCAAAGCAACCCGTAGTATCCGATAAAAAAGAAGATAAAGCAGTAATAGATACACCTTCTGTAATTGAGAAACCATTAAAGTCTGTCATACACAGTCCAGACAAAGATTTAACCATGTCTCCAGAAAAGGTGCACCCTATAGAATTAGATGATCATATATCTCCTTTCGACGACCTTAAAGAAGGGTCAGACAAGCCACATAAACCTGTAATTCCTGATAAAAAGGAAGAAATAGGGGTAACAGAAAAACCAGCTCTAACTGACAAACAAACAAAGCCTGACAAAGATTTGATGGCTCCTCTCGATGACCTTAAAGAAACTTTAGACGAACCAAAGCAACCCGTAGTATCCGATAAAAAAGAAGATAAAGCAGTAATAGATACACCTTCTGTAATTGAGAAACCATTAAAGTCTGTCATACACAGTCCAGACAAAGATTTAACCATGTCTCCTGAAAAGGTGCATCCTATAGAATTAGATGATCATAAATCTGCCCTCGTTGACGTTAAAAAAGAGTCAGACAAGCCACATAAACCTGTAATTCCTGATAAAAAGGAAGAAAAAGGGGTAACAGAAAAACCAGCTCTAACTGACAAACAAACAAAGCCTGACAAAGATTTGATGGCTCCTCTCGGTGACCTTAAAGAAACTTTAGACGAACCAAACCAACCCGTAGTATCCTATAAGAAAGAAGATAAAGCAGTAATAGATACACCTTCTGTAATTGAGAAACTATTAAAGTCTGTCATACACAGTCCAGACAAAGATTTAATAATGTCTCCTGAAAAGGTGCACCCAATAGAATTAGATGATCATATATCTCCTTTCGATGACCTTAAAGAAGGGTCGGACAAGCCACATAAACCTGTAATTCCTGATAAAAAGGAAGAAAAAGGGGTAACAGAAAAACCAGCTCTAACTGAAAAACAAACAAAGCCTGACAAAGATTTGATGGCTTCTCTCGATGACCTTAAAGAAATTTTAGACGAACCAGAGCAACCCGTAGTATCCGATAAAAAAGAAGATAAAGCAGGAATAGATACACCTTCTGTGATTGAGATACCATTAAAGTCTGTCATACACAGTCCAGAAAAAGATTTAATCAAGTCTCCTGAAAAGATGCACCCTATAGAATTAGATGATCATATATCTCCTTTCGACGACCTTAAAGAAGGGTCAGACAAGCCACATAAACCTGTAATTTTTGATAAAAAGGAAGAAAAAGGGGTAACAGAAAAACCAGCTCTAGCTGAAAAACAAACAAAGCCTGACAAATATTTGATGGCTCCTCTCGATGACCTTAAAGAAACTTTAGACGAACCAAAGCAACCCGTAGTATCCGATAAAAAAAAAGATAAAGCAGTAATAGATACACCTTCTGTAATTGAGAAACCATTAAAGTCAGTCATACACAGTCCAGACAAAGATTTAACCATGTCTCCTGAAAAAGTGCACCCTATAGAACTAGATGCTCATAAATCTCCCCTCGGTGACGTTAAAGAAGAGTCAGACAAGCCACATAAACCTGTAATTCCTGATAAAAAGGAAGAAAAAGGGGTAACAGAAAAACCAGCTCTAACTGACAAACAAACAAAGCCTGACAAAGATTTGACGGCTCCTCTCGGTGACCTTAAAGAAACTTTAGACGAACCAAAGCAACCTGTAGTATCCGATAAAAAAGAAGATAAAGCAGTAACAGATACACCTTCTGTAATTGAGAAACCATTAAAGTCTGTCATACACAGTCCAGACAAAGATTTAACCATTTCTCCTGAAAAGGTGCACCCTATAGAATTAGACGATCATATATCTCCTTTCGACGACCTTAAAGAAGGGTCAGACAAGCCACATAAACCTGTAATTCCTGATAAAAAGGAAGAAAAAGGCGTAACAGAAAAACCAGCTCCAACTGAAAAACAAACAAAGCCTGACAAAGATTTGATGGCTCCTCTCGATGACCTTAAAGAAACTTTAGACGAACCAAAGCAACCCGTAGTATCCGATAAAAAAGAAGATAAAGCAGTAATAGATACACCTTCTGTAATTGAGAAACCATTAAAGTCTGTCATACACAGTCCAGACAAAGATTTAACCATGTCTCCTGAAAAGGTGCACCCAATAGAATTAGATGATCATAAATCTGGCCTCGTTGACGTTAAAAAAGAGTCAGACAAGCTACATAAACCTGCAATTCCTGATAAAAAGGAAGAAAAAGGGGTAACAGAAAAACCAGCTCTAACTGACAAACAAACAAAGCCTGACAAAGATTTGATGGCTCCTCTCGGTGACCTTAAAGAAACTTTAGACGAACCAAAGCAACCCGTAGTATCCGATAAGAAAGAAGATAAAGCAGTAATAGATACACCTTCTGTAATTGAGAAACCATTAAAGTCTGTCATACACAGTCCAGACAAAGATTTAACCATTTCTCCTGAAAAGGTGCACCCTATAGAATTAGACGATCATATATCTCCTTTCGACGACCTTAAAGAAGGGTCAGACAAGCCACATAAACCTGTAATTCCTGATAAAAAGGAAGAAAAAGGCGTAACAGAAAAACCAGCTCCAACTGAAAAACAAACAAAGCCTGACAAAGATTTGATGGCTCCTCTCGATGACCTTAAAGAAACTTTAGACGAACCAAAGCAACCCGTAGTATCGGATAAGAAAGAAGATAGAGCAGTAATAGATACACCTTCTGTAATTGAGAAACCATTAAAGTCTGTCATACACAGTCCAGACAAAGATTTAACCATGTCCCCTGAAAACGTGCACCCTATAGAATTAGATGATCATATATCTCCTTTCGACGACCTTAAAGAAGGGTCAGACAAGCCACATAAACCTGTAATTCCTGATAAAAAGGAAGAAAAAGGGGTAACAGAAAAACCAGCTCTAACTGACAAACAAACAAAGCCTGACAAAGATTTGATGGCTCCTCTCGGTGACCTTAAAGAAACTTTAGACGAACCAAAGCAACCCGTAGTATCGGATAAGAAAGAAGATAGAGCAGTAATAGATACACCTTCTGTAATTGAGAAACCATTAAAGTCTGTCATACACAGTCCAGACAAAGATTTAACCATGTCCCCTGAAAACGTGCACCCTATAGAATTAGATGATCATATATCTCCTTTCGACGACCTTAAAGAAGGGTCAGACAAGCCACATAAACCTGTAATTCCTGATAAAAAGGAAGAAAAAGGGGTAACCGAAAAATCAGCTCTAACTGACACACAAACAAAGCCTGACAAAGATTTGACGGCTCCTCTCGATGACCTTAAAGAAACTTTAGACGAACCAAAGCAACCCGTAGTATCCGATAAAAAAGAAGATAATGCAGTAATAGATACACCTTCTGTAATTGAGAAACCATTAAAGTCTGTCATACACAGTCCAGACAAAGATTTAACCATGTCTCCTGAAAAGGTGCACCCTATAGAATTAGATGATCATATATCTCCTTTCGACGACCTTAAAGAAGGGTCAGACAAGCCACATAAACCTGTAATTCCTGATAAAAAGGAAGAAAAAGGGGTAACAGAAAAACCAGCTCTAACTGAAAAACAAACAAAGCCTGACAAAGATTTGATGGCTTCTCTCGATGACCTTAAAGAAATTTTAGACGAACCAAAGCAACCCGTAGTATCCGATAAAAAAGAAGATAAAGCAGGAATAGATACACCTTCTGTAATTGAGAAACCATTGAAGTCTATCATACACAGTCCAGACAAAGATTTAACCATGTCTCATGAAAAGGTGCACCCTATAGAATTAGATGCTCATAAATCTCCTTTCGACGACCTTAAAGAAGGGTCAGACAAGCTACATAAACCTGTAATTCCTGATAAAAAGGAAGAAAAAGGGGTAACAGAAAAACCAGCTCTAACTGACAAACAAACAACGCCTGACAAAGATTTGATGGCTCCTCTCGGTGACCTTAAAGAAACTTTAGACGAACCAAAGCAACCCGTAGTATCCGATAAGAAAGAAGATAAAGCAGTAATAGATACACCTTCTGTAATTGAGAAACCATTAAAGTCTGTCATACACAGTCCAGAAAAAGATTTAACCATGTCTCCTGAAAAGGTGCACCCTATAGAATTAGATGATCATAAATCTGCCCTCGTTGACGTTAAAAAAGAGTCAGACAAGCCACATAAACCTGTAATTCCTGATAAAAAGGAAGAAAAAGGGGTAACAGAAAAACCAGCTCTAACTGACAAACAAACAAAGCCTGACAAAGATTTGATGGCTCCTCTCGGTGACCTTAAAGAAACTTTAGACGAACCAAAGCAACCCGTAGTATCGGATAAGAAAGAAGATAGAGCAGTAATAGATACACCTTCTGTAATTGAGAAACCATTAAAGTCTGTCATACACAGTCCAGACAAAGATTTAACCATGTCCCCTGAAAAGGTGCACCCTATAGAATTAGATGATCATATATCTCCTTTCGACGACCTTAAAGAAGGGTCAGACAAGCCACATAAACCTGTAATTCCTGATAAAAAGGAAGAAAAAGGGGTAACCGAAAAATCAGCTCTAACTGACACACAAACAAAGCCTGACAAAGATTTGACGGCTCCTCTCGATGACCTTAAAGAAACTTTAGACGAACCAAAGCAACCCGTAGTATCCGATAAAAAAGAAGATAATGCAGTAATAGATACACCTTCTGTAATTGAGAAACCATTAAAGTCTGTCATACACAGTCCAGACAAAGATTTAACCATGTCTCCTGAAAAGGTGCACCCTATAGAATTAGATGATCATATATCTCCTTTCGACGACCTTAAAGAAGGGTCAGACAAGCCACATAAACCTGTAATTCCTGATAAAAAGGAAGAAAAAGGGGTAACAGAAAAACCAGCTCTAACTGAAAAACAAACAAAGCCTGACAAAGATTTGATGGCTTCTCTCGATGACCTTAAAGAAATTTTAGACGAACCAAAGCAACCCGTAGTATCCGATAAAAAAGAAGATAAAGCAGGAATAGATACACCTTCTGTAATTGAGAAACCATTAATGTCAGTCATACACAGTCCAGACAAAGATTTAACCATGTCTCATGAAAAGGTGCACCCTATAGAATTAGATGCTCATAAATATCCTTTCGACGACCTTAAAGAAGGGTCAGACAAGCTACATAAACCTGTAATTCCTGATAAAAAGGAAGAAAAAGGGGTAACAGAAAAACCAGCTCTAACTGACAAACAAACAAAGCCTGACAAAGATTTGATGGCTCCTCTCGGTGACCTTAAAGAAACTTTAGACGAACCAAAGCAACCCGTAGTATCCGATAAGAAAGAAGATAAAGCAGTAATAGATACACCTTCTGTAATTGAGAAACCATTAAAGTCTGTCATACACAGTCCAGACAAAGATTTAACCATGTCCCCTGAAAAGGTGCACCCTATAGAATTAGATGATCATATATCTCCTTTCGACGACCTTAAAGAAGGGTCAGACAAGCCACATAAACCTGTAATTCCTGATAAAAAGGAAGAAAAAGGGGTAACCGAAAAATCAGCTCTAACTGACACACAAACAAAGCCTGACAAAGATTTGACGGCTCCTCTCGATGACCTTAAAGAAACTTTAGACGAACCAAAGCAACCCGTAGTATTCGATAAAAAAGAAGATAATGCAGTAATAGATACACCTTCTGTAATTGAGAAACCATTAAAGTCTGTCATACACAGTCCAGACAAAGATTTAACCATGTCTCCTGAAAAGGTGCACCCTATAGAATTAGATGATCATATATCTCCTTTCGACGACCTTAAAGAAGGGTCAGACAAGCCACATAAACCTGTAATTCCTGATAAAAAGGAAGAAAAAGGGGTAACAGAAAAACCAGCTCTAACTGACAAACAAACAAAGCCTGACAAAGTTTTGATGGCTCCTCTCGATGACCTTAAAGAAACTTTAGACGAACCAAAGCAACCCGTAGTATCCGATAAAAAAGAAGATAATGCAGTAATAGATACACCTTCTGTAATTGAGAAACCATTAAAGTCTGTCATACACAGTCCAGACAAAGATTTAACCATGTCTCCTGAAAAAGTGCACACTATAGAATTAGATGATCATAAATCTCCCCTCGGTGACGTTAAAGAAGAGTCAGACAAGCCACATAAACCTGTAATTCCTGATAAAAAGGAAGAAAAAGGGGTAACAGAAAAACCAGCTCTAACTGACAAACAAACAAAGCCTGACAAAGATTTGATGGCTCCTCTCGATGACCTTAAAGAAACTTTAGACGAACCAAAGCAACCCGTAGTATCCGATAAGAAAGAAGATAAAGCAGTAATAGATACACCTTCTGTAATTGAGAAGCCATTAAAGTCTGTCATACACAGTCCAGACAAAGATTTAACCATGTCTCCTGAAAAGGTGCACCCTATAGAATTAGATGATCATAAATTTCCCCTCGGTGACGTTAAAGAAGAGTCAGACAAGCCACATAAACCTGTAATTCCTGATAAAAAGGAAGAAAAAGGGGTAACAGAAAAACCAGCTCTAACTGACAAACAAACAAAGCCTGAAAAAGATTTGATGATTCCTCTCGGTGACCTTAAAGAAACTTTAGATGAACCAAAGCAACCCGTAGTATCGGATAAGAAAGAAGATAAAGCTGTAATAGATACACCTTCTGTAATTGAGAAACCATTAAAGTCTGTCATACACAGTTCAGACAAAGATTTAACCATGTCTCCTGAAAAAGTGCACCCTATAGAATTAGATGATCATAAATCTGCCCTCGGTGACGTTAAAGAAGAGTCATACAAGCCACATAAACCTGTAATTCCTGATAAAAAGGAAGAAAAAGGGGTAACAGAAAAACCAGCTCTAACTGACAAACAAACAAAGCCTGAAAAAGATTTGATGATTCCTCTCGGTGACCTTAAAGAAACTTTAGATGAACCAAAGCAACCCGTAGTATCGGATAAGAAAGAAGATAAAGCTGTAATAGATACACCTTCTGTAATTGAGAAACCATTAAAGTCTGTCATACACAGTCCAGAAAAAGATTTAACCATGTCTCCTGAAAAGGTGCACCCTATAGAATTAGATGATCATATATCTCCTTTCGACGACCTTAAAGAAGGGTCAGACAAGCCACATAAACCTGTAATTCCTGATAAAAAGGAAGAAAAAGGGGTAACAGAAAAACCAGCTCTAACTGACAAACAAACAAAGCCTGACAAAGATTTGATGGCTCCTCTCGATGACCTTAAAGAAACTTTAGACGAACCAAAGCAACCCGTAGTATCCGATAAAAAAGAAGATAAAGCAGTAATAGATACACCTTCTGTAATTGAGAAGCCATTAAAGTCTGTCATACACAGTCCAGACAAAGATTTAACCATGTCTCCTGAAAAGGTGCACCCTATAGAATTAGATGATCATAAATTTCCCCTCGGTGACGTTAAAGAAGAGTCATACAAGCCACATAAACCTGTAATTCCTGATAAAAAGGAAGAAAAAGGGGTAACAGAAAAACCAGCTCTAACTGACAAACAAACAAAGCCTGAAAAAGATTTGATGATTCCTCTCGGTGACCTTAAAGAAACTTTAGATGAACCAAAGCAACCCGTAGTATCGGATAAGAAAGAAGATAAAGCTGTAATAGATACACCTTCTGTAATTGAGAAACCATTAAAGTCTGTCATACACAGTTCAGACAAAGATTTAACCATGTCTCCTGAAAAGGTTCACCCTATAAAATTAGATGATCATATATCTCCTTTCGACGACCTTAAAGAAGGGTCAGACAAGCCACATAAACCTATAATTCCTGATAAAAAGGAAGAAAAAGGGGTAACAGAAAAACCAGCTCTAACTGAAAAACAAACAAAGCCTGACAAAGTTTTGATGGCTCCTCTCGATGACCTTAAAGAAACTTTAGACGAACCAAAGCAACCCGTAGTACCCGATAAGAAAGAAGATGAAGCAGTAATAGATGCACCTTCTGTAATTGAGAAACCATTAAAGTCTGTCATACACAGTCCAGAAAAAGATTTAACCATGTCTCCTGAAAAGGTGCACCCTATAGAATTAGATGATCATATATCTCCTTTCGACGACCTTAAAGAAGGGTCAGACAAGCCACATAAACCTGTAATTCCTGATAAAAAGGAAGAAAAAGGGGTAACAGAAAAACCAGCTCTAACTGACAAACAAACAAAGCCTGACAAAGATTTGATGGCTCCTCTCGATGACCTTAAAGAAACTTTAGACGAACCAAAGCAACCCGTAGTATCCGATAAAAAAGAAGATAAAGCAGTAATAGATACACCTTCTGTAATTGAGAAGCCATTAAAGTCTGTCATACACAGTCCAGACAAAGATTTAACCATGTCTCCTGAAAAGGTGCACCCTATAGAATTAGATGATCATAAATTTCCCCTCGGTGACGTTAAAGAAGAGTCATACAAGCCACATAAACCTGTAATTCCTGATAAAAAGGAAGAAAAAGGGGTAACAGAAAAACCAGCTCTAACTGACAAACAAACAAAGCCTGAAAAAGATTTGATGATTCCTCTCGGTGACCTTAAAGAAACTTTAGATGAACCAAAGCAACCCGTAGTATCGGATAAGAAAGAAGATAAAGCTGTAATAGATACACCTTCTGTAATTGAGAAACCATTAAAGTCTGTCATACACAGTTCAGACAAAGATTTAACCATGTCTCCTGAAAAGGTTCACCCTATAAAATTAGATGATCATATATCTCCTTTCGACGACCTTAAAGAAGGGTCAGACAAGCCACATAAACCTATAATTCCTGATAAAAAGGAAGAAAACGGGGTAACAGAAAAACCAGCTCTAACTGAAAAACAAACAAAGCCTGACAAAGTTTTGATGGCTCCTCTCGATGACCTTAAAGAAACTTTAGACGAACCAAAGCAACCCGTAGCACCCGATAAGAAAGAAGATGAAGCAGTAATAGATGCACCTTCTGTAATTGAGAAACCATTAAAGTCTGTCATACACAGTCCAGAAAAAGATTTAACCATGTCTCCTGAAAAGGTGCACCCTATAGAATTAGATGATCATATATCTCCTTTCGACGACCTTAAAGAAGGGTCAGACAAGCTACATAAACCTGTAATTCCTGATAAAAAGGAAGAAAAAGGGGTAACAGAAAAACCAGCTCTAACTGAAAAACAAACAAAGCCTGACAAAGATTTGATGGCTCCTCTCGATAACCTTAAAGAAACTTTAGACGAACCAAAGCAACCCGTAGTATCCGATAAAAAAGAAGATAAAGCAGTAATAGATACACCTTCTGTAATTGAGAAACCATTAAAGTCTGTCATACACAGTCCAGACAAAGATTTAACCATGTCTCCTGAAAAGGTTCACCCTATAAAATTAGATGATCATATATCTCCTTTCGACGACCTTAAAGAAGGGTCAGACAAGCCACATAAACCTATAATTCCTGATAAAAAGGAAGAAAAAGGGGTAACAGAAAAACCAGCTCTAACTGAAAAACAAACAAAGCCTGACAAAGTTTTGATGGCTCCTCTCGATGACCTTAAAGAAACTTTAGACGAACCAAAGCAACCCGTAGTACCCGATAAGAAAGAAGATGAAGCAGTAATAGATGCACCTTCTGTAATTGAGAAACCATTAAAGTCTGTCATACACAGTCCAGAAAAAGATTTAACCATGTCTCCTGAAAAGGTGCACACTATAGAATTAGATGATCATATATCTCCCCTCGGTGACGTTAAAGAAGGGTCAGACAAGCCACAAAAACCTGTAATTTCTGATAAAAGGGAAGAAAAAGGGGTAACAGAAAAACCAGCTCTAACTGACAAACAAACAAAGCCTGACAAAGATTTCATGATTCCTCTCGATGACGTTAAGGAAACTTTAGACGAACCAAAGCAACCCGTAGTATCCGATAAAAAAGAGGATAAAACAGTAATAGATACACCTTCTGAAATTGAGAAACCATTAAAGTTTGTCATACACAGTCCAGACAAATATTTAACCATGTCTCCTGAAAAGTTGCACCCTATAGAATTGGATTATTCTAAATCTCCTCTCGACGACCTTAAAGAAGAGACAGACAAGCCACATAAACCTGTAATATCTGATAAAAGGGAAGAAAAAGGGCTAGCAGGAAAGCCAGCTCTAACTGAAAAACAAACAAAACCTGACAAAGACTTAATGGCTCCTCTCGATGACCTTAAAGAAACTTTAGACGAACCAAAGCAACCCGTAGTATCCGATAAAAAAGAAGATAAAGCAGTAATAGATACACCTTCTGAAATTGAGAAACCACTAAAGTCAATCATACACAGTCCAGATAAAGATTTAACCACGTCCCCTGAAAAGATGCACCCTATAGAATTAGGTGATCATAAATCTCCTCTCGATTACCTTAAGAAAGACTCAGACAAGCCACATAAATCTGTAATTTCCGATAAAAGGGAAGAAAAAGGGGTAACAGAAAAACCAGCTCTAACTGAAAAACAAACAAAGCCTGACAAAGATTTGATGTCTCCTCTCGATGACCTTAAAGAAACGTTAGACGAACCAAAGCAACCCGTAGTATCCGATAAAAAAGAAGATAAAGCAGTAATAGATACACCTTCTGTAATTGAGAAACCATTGAAGTCTGTCATACACATTCCTGATAAAGTGCACCCTATACAATTGGATGATCATAAATCCCCTCTTGATGACCTCAAAGAAGAGTCAGACAAGCCACTTAAATCTGTAACTTCTGATAAAAGGGAAGAAAAATGGGTAATAGAAAATCCAGCTCTAAGCGAAAAACCAACAAAGCCTGACATGGAGAGGTCTGACAGAGACTTGACCATCTCACCTGAAAAAGTAGACCCGACAGTAGTAGGTGATTATAAAACTCCTCTCGATGACCTTACAGAAAAGTTAGATCAACAAAAGCTACCTGTAGTTTCCGATAAAAAGGAAGAAAAAGGGGTAACAGAAAAACCAGCTCTGACTGACAAACAAACAAAGCCTGACAAAGATTTGATGGCTCCTCTCGATGACCTTAAAGAAACTTTAGACGAACCAAAGCAACCCGTAGTATCCGATAAGAAAGAAGATAAAGCAGTAATAGATATACATTCTGTAATAGAAAAACCATTGAAGTCTGTCGTTTACAGTCCCGACATGAATTTAATCATTTCGCCTGAAAATGATCTTTTGATAAAAGAAAAATCTTTCGATAAAACATCCCTTATTAGAAAACCAATTAAGAGTGCTAAAGAGAGCCCTGTAATAGAACTGAAAACGTTGGACCTCACATCAAAAGTTAGCAATTTGGAAGATAAACTCTTAGACAAATCTGTAGCTATTGAAAAGTCTATAAGCTATACGGAAAATGTTATGAAGGAAACACACGGTACAACTCAGTCGAAAATCTTAAGTAAGTCTAATACAAATGATTTGAGCAAAAATCAGTTTTCAAATGCAAATATGCAAAGAACCAATCATGCTCTAAGATCTGCGAAACTAAAATCGAAATATGAAAAATCTCATTTAACAGAAAGTTCGCCAGAGGAATTAGCTATTGAGCGTAAAGACAGACCGATCAAAAAACCTTTCACGGGACTGTCTAAAAGAGTAAAAGACGGGAAGATTTCAACAAAGTTGGACAAAAACAGTAAAACCGATTATGTAATAACTAAACCTATGCCTGCTATAATGGCTAACTCAATTATCTCTGGAAAAGACGACGAATCTTTTACAACCGGATTAAAAAGTGATATTGAATCTACAGAACCAGATAGTATTGAGTCAGATAATGAAGTTGAATCAGACAATAGTCTTGACAGTTTAGAAGCTTTTCCCGCAAAATATCAAACTTTTGCTAAAGAAGAGCAAGACATCAAAAACATTTCATTAACACAAAAGAAATCATCTCATTCAGTAAGTTACTTTGTTGATTTAAAATCTGAGAAGATTAAACCGCGTACTCCTATTAAAAAATCAAAACAAGATAGAACTCAAACTAGTAAAATTGTAAGAAGAGAAACGGATCCTAAACTTGATCCTAAATTGTTAAAACCAAAGGGTGCAAATATTAATTTAATGGAGCAAAGAAGACCAATTAAAAGTCAAAAAATTAAATTAAAACCGACAAAAATTTCATCTGATAGTGATTCAGCAACGGCCGCCAAAATTGAAGACTTCAAAGATGTCGAAACTTCAGAACAAAATATACAAACGACAAAAAAGAAAACAATAAAATCATCGGCACCTTTTACACCCGTAAAAACGCACAAAACAACCAAAGTTCAAGCTTTCAACTTGTCGTTTGAACGACAGATATCTATTGAAAAGAAAACATTAGCAAAATCAAAGGACAGCAATAAATATTCTGTTGAGATATCTAAATCTAGAAAAATTTTAAAGACGCCAGGTATGGAAATTTCTAAACCAAAAGTTGTCTTAGAAAGTAAACCATATATTCCGACATCAGCGAATTCTCGTAAGTTCGGTTATATGCAATCAACAGTTTCTCGTAATGCTAAAGTTGGACTTCCAATTGAAATACCAGATTCGAACAGTAGATCAGTTTCACCGAGACCCCCATATCATTTGACTGAAGAACGTAGCATAACTCCATCAACACATCGAATTTTAAGTCAAAATCTTGAGCAAAGTTTAACTCCAACTTATCAAAAAAATTTAGAAAAACAACATAGTTTCATAAAAGAGTCAAGAAAACCGCAAGAAATTAAAAAGTATAAATCAACCAGTACAAGTAAATCTGCTTCACAAACATCTACAAATTCATCTACATCAATAGCTTCTGTTATCATTTCAACTAAAATTTCAAAAGATCAATTACAAACTAAAGATAAAGATGTGAAAATTGAAGGTCAGTCTGGTCAAACCAGAACAAAATCCCAAAAATTAACTAAAGTGGACGCTTCTACCACCAAAACAGCTGATAAAAAACCTCCGTCAAACAAGTTAGCTTTAGAAAAAAGTCAAAAAAGCCTTTTAAATTTGAGTAGACGAACACAATCATTAACAAAAACTAATAAATCAGATATAAAAATATCGACTAAGTCTGTTGATACAGCATCAAAAAATATTAAGAGTAGTAGTAGTACATTAAAAAATGTAACAAGTAAAATTGATAGTAGAAGAGAGACGACTATAAAAAAATTAGATAATAAAAATATTGTATCAGATAAATCTACAAAGAAAACTAAAGAAGTTATAAATACAAAACTTCAAGAATCAAAACCACCTCCAATACGTAGTTCTGTTGTAATACAAACAACAACACAATTTGAACCAATAGAAATAAGAAAACCATTACGTATTAAAAAACATATCGGTGATAAACAAACAAAATCCGATGATGAAAATTATACAAAAAGATGTCAATCAGCATTACAATATGCCTCAAAAGATTCAATTATGTATAATAATGAAATGACAAAACAAAAAGAACCATCTTCTCTTCCGTCCAGTCCTAATCATTTTTTACGTAAATCAAAATCAAATGGTACAAAAATTTATACAAGTGAAGTTTTTACACGAACTGTTGATCCATCAAAATCAATTGAAGTAATATTTAGGCAACCATTAACAGTAGATTATAGTGAATTAGTTAAAAAAGCAAATGAATATAAATGTGCTGATTTTGATGTTAGCCTAATTGAAACAACAACAGATTCTAGTTTATCTGATTCTATTGCATTACCATCATTTTCATCTGGTGTCGATACAGAAAAAAAATATAGTCCAACTTCACCAAAACCCACCAAAAGACCATTACAATTAATTGAAGATTTAAGAAGTCAAAAACCACAACAACAGCAACAATTACAACAACAACAACAACAACAATTAAGTTTACAACAAATGCAAATACAACAACAACATTTGCAAATGAAATCATCACAACATCAGAAACAAATTGATAATATTCAAAAAATCCATTCAATTCATTCTTCAATAGAACATAAACAAAAAACTGAATCAATAGAAATTTCAAGTTCATCATCGAATACAATTGAAACAGGAACAACAACAACATCATTATCAAATATAAAATTAGAAAATCAAATTGATATTTCTGCACAAAATAATACAATTCAACAAACCTTAACACCATCAACTCCAACAAGTACCATAAAATCAAAGGATCATATATCAAGTTCTGAATCAAGTTCATCACAAGAAACAGGTAATTATAAAAAATAATAAAAAAAAAAAATAATAGAAAACAAACAATTTGGATAAAACAATAGAAAAATATTGTACATAATATAGACTCAATAGAATTATTTTGAAAATATCCAAGTGATTTTAAATTACAAAATTGTATCCAAAATAATTAAAAACCCAAATTTAAATGATAACCAGAATTATTTAAATGTGCGTACAAAATAAATAATAAAAAAATTTCATTTTCCAATTTTTCTTCCTCAATATTTTTTTCTTTTGGTACTGCAAAGTCATTTTTAATAAATTTGCTAATTTAAAAAATAATTCAAATTTTTTGCTTATTTTTTAAAAATTAATTAAATTTTCTTACAAATCAATTTTCTAAATCCCTTTCAGCAAATCCAAGTTAAAAACAAAAAGAAAAAAACATCATTTTAATATTTTTATTATTTTTTTTTGTTTTTTTTTTATAAATCCAAACTCTAAATCTAATAAAATATAATTTTAATATTTCTTATAAATAATTGCACTTAAAATTCAAGAAAAAAAATCTAATGTGATTATTGCAAAATTTAATTAAAACACTAATATTAAACTAAAATTGAGCAAAAGTAGCTAAGCAAAACGTTGTATGATATGTTGTATATCATACGGCGTTCATACAATTTACTACAATCACTAAGATCACTAAAATTTTAATATTCAATTAGCATCAATGCTTTTGCGCTTTAACTAACTTAAATTTATTAATTACAAATTTTGAATCTTACATAATAATAGAAGAATTTTAAAAAAAAAAATTATTAATTTGCAAAATTTTCAATTAATCTACAACAAAAATTTATTTAAATCACTTTTCACACAAAATGTATGATTCAAAAACAATATTGTGAATGATTTTAAGTGATGTATGATTTAAAACAAAACATGTATGATTAAAGAAAATAAATGCAAAAATCACATTTTTATTTAATTTTGTATAAAAATTTTTTAAATCATTTCAAATTTGTTATTTTTTAATTAAATAATTTGTTCATCAAATATAAAAAACAAAAAATAAACGAGATTTATTTTTCAACGCTTTGATTTTAATTATAACAGTTTGGGAAACTTTCAATTCCTATAGAATGAAAAAATCAACTTTATAAAAACAAAAGAATATTTTTTTATTAATTTAATAACAATTTTTTTTTTAATTTAATTATATATTTCAACTTTTAAATAAATCTGCGATGCTTATGCGCTTACTTTATTATTTTATTTAATTTTTAAAATATTTATTTTCTTCACATTTTATTATTTTTCCCTCTAAAGAGTAAGTTTTTAAAATTATTAATAAAAATTTAAAATTAAAAATAAGATTTATTGCTTTTTCCTACAACTCTTAAAATAATTTGGATTTAAAAAAAAATAATATTAAGAAAAAATATTAGTTGTGATCAGCTTTCTTCGTTTAATTGTTATATTTTTTCTAAAATTTAAAAGAATTAATACAAAAAACTATAAATTTTATATGATTTTTATGTGAATGGATTTTTAACAAGTCGAACCATCTCTTATTCTTATTATAATTAAAGTCCAACATTGTATATGTTACCGTTTGGATATGTTGTTTCGAAAGAATGTAATATGATAACGGCTTAACGTAGAAAATGAAGAGCTTTAAATCTATAGACGCCGTTATTCATGACATAATGTTACATGACGGTGACGAGGACAGACCGGCTTTAACCAAGTATAAATACACTCACCTTGGGTTTCACAATCGATTTTATGTGAAATCGCAAGTTCTCGGCGACAAATTAATGGATTCATAACGTGAAATTTACTACTTACGCTTTTAATTATTATTTTTAATTAATTATTTGTTAATTATTATAAGATATTTTTCACGGTTATTGTAATTGAGTTAATTTGACATTAACAAATGTACTCGTGAAATAAATAAAGCCGGAAAAAGACTATATTTTTGCAAATTATACACAATGTGGTTGAAAAGTAATCTGTTAAAATTTATATTGCATGTAAAATTTTAAAATATTAATCTTAAAATATTGATCTTATTAAAATTTAAAACTAAACTGACTCACATTAAATATTCTTTTCCTGAATTTATGTTAGTTGAATTGCTAAAGAAAATATCTTGTGCTTAGAAATGGTGAAATTTTTGCAAATTCAAAGTGAATTTAGCTGAAATGATTGTTGTTGCTTAATAACATAAATTGACAATGCTGCTTAATTACTTAATTAATTAAATTGACCACAATTTTACGATTTGTCATCGTTGGTATAAGTACTTCTGAACACAATATATGAAATTTTTAATTTGTTTCCACTTTCTTTTATTAAAATTTTTGACAATCAAATGACATTTTGAATTTTATCCCAAAAAGAAAACTTAAAATTTTCAATTAAATTTTTTATTTTGATTAAATAAATTAAAAATAAATACTTTTATCATTTCATTTTTTACAATTATTATAAAAATGAAAAAATTAAAAATAATTTGAAAAATCAACTTTATTCACAAAACAAAAAAAAAGTCAAAACTGTAGTAAATTTAAAAAAGTAAAAAAAAATAAAATAAAAATATTCAAAATGAGTGCCGAAATACCACAAATTTCAATAACTCATGCTATTAATGGTAATGTTTCGGAGAGTTCCGAAGAAGAAAATAGCCCAGGAATATTTCCCGGGGACTTAACTGATGTTGAAGATTTTAATAGTCATGATGAAGTATCGGATGGTGAAGATTTTACAAAATTAATGAAATCAATGTATGAATCGAATAATTCAAGAAAACAATCAATGATAACTGATATTGAAGATTATGTTGATTCGGCATCAGAAGATGAAAAAAGTGAAATACCAGATATTAAAATATCATTTCGTGAATTTTTCGATAATGGTTCAATTGAAGAAGAATTACATAATGCTGATGGAATGAAAACTCGTAGTGCCGTTAAAACTGGTAAAAAAAATCTTCAAAATATATTAAAGGATGATGAAAATGGTCAAAAAACTGATAGTGAAAATTATGATACAACAGGTGATGATGTATCAGAAATTGAAGATCGTATGATAAATACAAATTTAACACCATATTTTCCTGATATCGGTAGCTTAGAAATGGCTGATAAAATTGATACCATCATTAAAAAGAAACATAAATTATTAAATAAAATTGATGTACCAGAATTATCAGATGCTTCAAGTGATAAAATCAATCAAACTCCATCAGATGATATTTCCGATGAATCAAGTAATAATGGTGATATTAATTACAGTGATAATGATATGAGTTATAGTGATGCTGATGGTGCAATCGGTGGAGCTATTTCAGAAGTTGAAGATCTTTTATGTTCAGGTGCTGAAGAAGTAATAAATATGTATGATAGTGATACATCTGATATCGATTCTGATAGTATTTATGATGATTATCCAAAAATTGATGTAAAATTTATAACAACATACACAAAAGATCGTCCTCATAAATTAAATAAACCAATTAAAAGTAAGAATAATTCAAATTGTTTAACTGTATCACTAACATCTGATGGACCATTAACTGATATAGAAAAATTAGATGATTCTCAAGCTGAAGAAGAAGAAGAAGATTCTAATAGCGATAATGAAGATGAAATAACAAAAAAAGGTATATTAATTGCCCGTGCAATTATATCACAAGAAACACAAACAGATTCTGAAGATTTTGAATTAAGTAATGATGTTTTGTCAGAATTATTAAAATTTAGACGTGTTAGTACAAAATTAATTCCACCACCAATCAGAGAATTAATTAAAGTACGTGAAAATACAAATGGTGATCCGATAACAACTGTTGAACAATTAAATGATGATATAGAAATTGGTTTACATGATTATGAAAATGAACCTTATAAAACTGATGAAGAAATATTTTCTGACAATGAAATTAATCCGTCACTATTGAAAATTGAAACAAAAGATTTACGTAGAAATTCACCAATTTTTATGGAAAATGAAATTATACAAAATTATGAAAGTGTTAAAAATTTAACTGTTAAACGTAGTGATAATATTGAAGAACCAACAACTGATATTGAAGAAATATTTATGTCTGGTACAGCAAGAAGAAAACGTTCAGTTAAATCAAAAACATCAAATCGAAATAAACCACAACGTTTATCAGCTGCTAAAAGTACTTCAAATATAAATGAAATGAAAACTGATACAGAAGAAATAAATTTAAGTGATTTTGAAAATCCAAAAAAATTAACAAAATCAATAAGTGAATATCAATTACCATCATCATCAACATCTGATGCAATAATTGAAGCAATACAAGCATTAAGTATACGTTCAATATCACCAGATCCAAAAACTGACATAGAAAATTTTACAGCTGATGAAGATGGTGGCGGTAGTTCAGTTTCAGATACTGAACAAAAATGTCCAAGTGATGCAGAATTTTTAGGACAAGAAAATTATATATCAACAATAAGTTCAAGAGATGCATTAACAGAACGTGGTCTATCTATTATACGGAAACCAAGTCCAATTTTTAAAAAATTTTTAAGAGATGAAGAATGTTTTCAATCAGAAGGTAATTCTCAATGTGTTACCGATATTGAAGATATTAATTTAACATCTGATATTGAAGAATCAACTTTTAATCAAAATATTAATGATAATTGTAATACAATAACAGCAGCTGCAAAACAATTAAATGATGTATTATTAGAAGGATGTTGTAATTCAATTGTTTATGAAAAATCTAAAAATACATTTGATGCTGAAAAAGAAAAAGAATTTATGAAAGGTAATCAATTCTCAGATGCTTATACTGATGTTGAATATATTGAAGAAGAAATAGCTAAAGAGACAACTAGTGAAGAAAATTAAATTTAATATAATATAAAATATATGGTCTTCTATGTATGTAATAAATGCATACATACAAAATGTATTAATAGAAAATGTCCAAAATGAAAATTTTCATCGAAATTTTTTAAAATGAATTAATCACCAAAAATTCAATGTAAGATTTATTAAAATACATACATATATATGTATATTTTAAGGCCTAAATATTTTAATTAATTATAAATGTTGTAAAGAAAATTTTTATTCAATTTTTAATTCATAATTATGTACATACATATATATATATACATTTAACATATTTAATTAACTTGTTCGATTATTTGATAATTTTATTATTTCTCCTTAAAATATTTAATTAACAATATTTTAAAATTAAATTTCAAATATGTAGAATGAGTAAGACTTTTTTATTCTGAAACTGTAATTAGTGGTCTCTAAGTAAAATGATGCTGTTCCTAATTTAAAAAAATTAATTTCGAAATTTCGTATTTTCGAAAAAAAAATTGTACAAATTTCAGTATTTATGTAAAGACATGCTTTAATTATTTATTAAAAATTCATTAATGCATCATACGCTGGTTTATATTCAGCTTATTGAAATAAATGCTAAATTCTTCTCGAAGACATTCTATTAATTTTATAGTTAAACAACTGGGGTTTTCGTTTATGTACACTGCACTGATAATTATTCGAAAATTAATTTCGAACGCACTTTACGCAGCGGATAATTTCCGAACGATTTATATTTTTATTGTGTGCAGCATACAATTTTCAAACGTACTCCAAATTAAAACTATTCGAGAATTGAATAAACTAAAACCCCTACAGTGTCGGACTCCTATTAAAAATTTCCAAATTAAAATAAATTTATTTATAATAAAAAATTTTCAAATATAATACAAAATATGTATATCTATGTATATATATATATATATAAATAATATGAATTTATTGTATAAATTTTCATTTCTAAATAATTAAAATGTATTTTAATAATAATAATTAAATAAAATATTAATTTAATTTAAGAGCTTTTGTTGTTTAATTTTAGTGCTATATACAAAATCAAACTTATTAATTCATATTGAAAATTAATATTAAAAAAAAAAAAAAAACAGAAAAATAATAAATGTATATTTTTATTTTTTCTTCTTATTTTATTTATTATTGTAGAATTATTGTATATTAATTATATTTATTTTTAATTTTCAATTTTAATTATTAAATAATTGTAATTTATTATTACTATATATACATATTTTATTCGCCATCCTTTTTCTTTTTCTTAACTAAAAATATGAATCTATAATGTAAAATTATTCATTTTATTTACGATATTATTATTAATAACATTAAAATCATCGTCGTTTTAATATATACGAATGTATATATATAAAAAATTTCCTTTTTCTTCATTATTATTAATTAATATATCGATCGCCTTATATATCATCATGGATCCTGGTTTTATTTTTTTCAGCTTCTATATATTATAATAATTGTGCTAATTTATATTTAAATTAACAAATGACAGTTGTGATTGAAACATAAAGAATGAAACTTTAAAATGGACAACGGAAATGTTTCCGAAATTTCGATTTTATTAAAAAAAAATTTGACAACAAAAATGACAACGAAAGCAATTTTATTTAAAAAACAAAAAAAAAAACAAAATATATACGATTATTTTTAAGAAAATTTATAATTTATTAAATGTCTATATAATGAACGTGAAATATATCGGAAATTGCGAAGCGTTCAGTAAACGCTATTTTAAATTTGAAAGCGTTCCGAAAATGCTATTATGAAAAATGACAAAATGAAAAAAAATTAAAAATAATGCGTTTACAAATTTAGATTTTTTTTTTCTTATGTTTTCTCTCTCTCTCTTTCTCTCCCTCTCTCTCTCTCTTTCATGTATTTTTCTCTTTAATTCGACAACAAAAAAAAAACCTATTTTTGTTTTTTTATTAATTCAGAACAAACAATTTATACCAAAGAAATGAGTGATGAAACAAAAGTTAAATTTAGTATTGAAGATTTTCCGAAAGGTAAGCTGAACAAGATTATTCTTATAAACCTTTTATAAATCTTTATACCAATTTTGATTATTTTTTCTTTTGAAATTTCTATTCTTGTTATATTAATTTTTTTTTTTGTATTACCTTAATTTTTCGATTTTTAGTTTTTTTTTTTTTTTGTTTCTTAGAAATAAAAGAAATTTTTTATAGAAAAATCTTTTTCTATTTTAAGTTGAAAACAGAACAAAAGCGATTTTCCTCGGCGAAATGTCAAAAATTTATATACAATATACACAATATAAGTGTCTTATAAATGGAACTGACTGGAATTACTAGAATTAAGGGAAATTATTGCTGTGAATTTAATCGCTGATGGTAAAATAGCTTAAATTCCTATTTTACCGGAGAGGTTTTTTTTTTGACATCCTTTGTTTACATGCGTGTGTGACACTATTTTAAGCTCCCCTGTTGTTCTAAGTTAGCAACTCGAAAATCGTCTGCCGTTGCCGTTCACCGCTTTGGTTCTGTTTTTATAGTTAAAAACCTATGAATTTTTTAATTAAATTTTCTAGAAATTTATTGATTTTTGTTTTATTTTTAAAATAGAATTTTTTCTTTTTAATAATATTTATATATAAAAGAATATATTTATTAATATATAAATTTAAATGTATTTATATATTCTATTTTTTTTTTATTTATTTCATCGTTTTTTTTTTCTAATCCTTTTTATTTTGATTTTAATTTATAAAATTTTTGTGAATTTCATTTTCTATTGAATTGGAATTCAAATTTTTTATTTGATTTAATTTTTTTTTTTTATTAAATTAATTTTTTCTTAAAATTTTTAATTTTTTTTTTCGATTTTATTAACTTAACTATTTCATAATATTCTAGTACACATTAAATATATTATTAATTGAACTTTTTAAGATAAGGTTAATATTGTAACATTACAAAATATAAAGATGCGTGAATAACGAAATTTACTGAAATATTATTAAAAAATCAAAAGTAGAACGTATATAGGAATGAAAAAAATTAGACTTCAGGTTAAATTTAAAATTAATTCAAAATTTTTTTTGGTTATTTTGTGTTAAATGGTTCCTAAAACCATTTATTAATTTATTATAAGATTATTGGAGGATATTATTGGAGTTTTACCACGACCATAGTTCTAAAATTAAAAAACAAATTTTAAATAAATTAAAATTTTTTTTTCAAAATGTTATTTAGCATGTAAAATCTGAACTTTCTCTTTTATTTCAACATTAAATCAATATTCACTTAATAGATACAGGGAATTTTCGCTCTCTTCTCTCTCCATTTATGCAATTTCTATAGAAATTTTATAAATTATTTCCTATTACCGAAAAATACATTATGACTTTCTGTTTTTGTTTTGCTGTTATTTAAATTTCAAATGACTCGTTAAACTAGTACAATTTCATTTTTAATTCTATTACAAATACACTTTTTTGTACAAGTAATTTCTAATACCGTTGTACAAGTATGTATTGTAAATTTATTTTCTCATAGTAATTATAAAATTATTAGCAATAAAATCGTCTCACTTAATACATTTAATACAAGTATAAACAACAAAAAAAATTTAATAAAAATTTCAAGAGTATAAGAGCACACAATAAGTAAATTAATTCAAAATTGTTATTTTTTTACTGTTATTTTCTGAAACTTTCATTTCATTTTATTAAACGAAAAAACTATTTTATGCGAACTACTCGTACGTGAATTTTTCATACTTTTAGGATGATAAATTATTTAAAATAATATCAAAATTAATAAATAAATAAATTTTATTAATAAAATCAAATTGAACCGAAAATATTGAATTTTTAATATCACTCCAATATCGGGGTAAAAATATTTTTAAAAATTTTAAATATATTTTAGGGATTGATCGTTTGTTTCGCTATTTTACTCGGAAAGTGAAAAGAAAGTCAGTAACTATCATATAATTGTATAATATAATTTTCGAATGAAAAGATTCGATATTGCATATCTCGTTTTTTTCTTAAATGCATACAAAATGCATTTATTCAATTTGTTTTTGAAAGTGAGGCGTACAATTGATATAAAGAAATGAGTAATCTTATTAGAAATGTGAAATATCCATTAGAAAATACTGAGAATTCTGATTTGAAAGTGAATGAATAGTGAGTTGAAAATGCGACATACACGATCAGCCTATAAAAATCTATTGTGAATGATCGTACTCTTTTTTGTTAAAAAATTAATAATAATTATAAAATGTGTACTAGATTTTTTTAACATTTTAATTTTTTTAGGACTCATTGGAAATCATTTTTATCATCATTGCAAAAAAAAAAAAATTATACAAAAATTAAAAAAATTAAAAAAACAAAATTCAAAAATTGAATTATTTTATAAATTAAAAAAAAAATCTTTGAAGCCAAAAAAAAAATTTTTTTTTTACATAAAAATTTATTTTAAAACAGAAAAAACTTATTTTTAATTTCATAACTACGTAACTATACTTCTTTTAAATCATGCTGTGTGTGAATAATGATGAAAATTAATTTTTAATTAAATAAAAATTAAATAATAAAAAAAAAAAAACAACTTAAAAATATTATTTTTTTATTTAATTTAAACCAAAATAAATATTTTTTATTATTTTAATTATAAATTACTTAAGTGATTAAATTTAAAAAAAGAAAAACAAAAAATGGCAAATAGAAGATTCATCATAATTTATGCAAGCAAAACAAAAATTTATTTAAAAAAAAATTATTTGAAATAAAAAAAACCAAATCTATAATTAAAAAAAAATATATAAAAAAAAAAACTATTCATATCAATCGGAAATTTTTTTTTTTTATTTTTATAAGAACTAGGTATATAAATAAGAAAAAATCTCGTCTAATTGCCCGAAGTACTCGAATAGATAAAATTTACATACTTTTTTCACATATACTGAGAAATTATTTTGAATTAATTCCAAAACCCCCCGCTTCACAACTTTAATTCGATCCAGAAAAATTTGCCGCTAAGTGAAATACCCTATATAACGAATCATTTATGTACATACTATGCAATATAAATTTATTCGTTCCAGTACATATATACAATTTTGACATTTTTGACACTTTTTTGACATTGACATTTATTCAATACCTTAATTTGCAGTTTACGAAAAAAATGGCATGTCATGAAATAAGTTATTTATTTTATGGAACTTGAATAGTGGATTAATTGAAATAGCTAACCTCAAATTTTAAAATTCAATAAAAAACACTTTTAATATCCAGGACATATGGATTGTTGCTATTTTCTGTCCTAATTATATTGCTATATAAATGACTCGCAATTCTTCTTTAGTCAGCTGTGTACCTTTAATTACAAAAAAAATAATAATTTTCCCACTTCCATTTTGATGTTCCTACCCTGTTCTTTATTCAACGCATACTGAAATTTTTATCTGCAAAAATATGCCAAGTTGACAAAAATTTCACTTGTTTTTGACATAATAGTACAAAATGAATTTAGTACATTCTTATTTTCGTTAAAAATTCAGATTGTACCAAAATTAAGAACGTCAAATCGACTGCAGATCTTTTATTTTTGTAGATGGAGTTACTCGTCTTCAGACCCCGTTACAAACACAGCTATAATTTAATAGCTTTTTAATTACCAATATGGTACTTAAATTTTATTAAATTGTACTTTAAATTTTTACGGGAAAATTTACCAATTCCGGAGAATCTAAAGGAAATCCGAAATATTTTTTACAAAAACATCTTAAGAATTTTGTCTAAGTAAGGTTGTTTTACATTTACAGTAAAATGTAATCAATATCCTTGTTATTTAAACTATACTAATTCAGGAATTATAAACTAAATTTAAAATTTAAGAAAATTTTGTTTTATTTTCACAAATATTATATATTTGAAAATTAATTATTATTGTTCGATTCAAACATTCTTTAATTTCTTATATCAACATTAATGGAATTAGAAATAAATTTTTTAGTTACATATATAGAATAAAATTATTTTTTGTAAATCCAGAATGGAATCAATATTAATTATTATTTCTCAAATATTACATTTATGTATTTTAATTTTATATAATTTTTCCTTTCTTAATTAATATTATTAAATTAAAAATTATATGTACACACAATTTTAAGATTTAATTTTATAAATCTCTTTTTCAATCACAATATTTATTTTTATTTTAACAAAAAGAAAAAAATGATTTCTTTGCATGGAATGCTAAAAACAAACATTTTTTTTCATAATTTAATTTATAAATTCAAAAAAAAAAATTTTAAATATTTTTTTAATTCTATTTTAATTCAATTTAATTGTTATAATCAATACTAGAACATAAAAATGTATTAATGATAAATTTTTAAATTTTATACTCAATTCCCTGCTCAATTATTTAATTTTTACGAATATAATTTTAAAATTTCAAATCCTTTTTAATATTTTTTAAAATAGCTCTGAGTAGCCTATGTATAATACATAAAATTAATTTTAATTTTAATTAATAAATTTAAAAAATATAACATATTATGTGATTAGAGTGTATTCGAACATAGCTTTGGCTCAAAAATTAATTTTTTAACAGGAGCGGTGCGGTATTTTAATAATTTTAATTTTTTTCTTTTAAATTAATAAAAATTAATAAAAAATAATTCTATATGATAATAACGTAGAAACCAAAAAAAAAAAAATTACGATATTTACGATATTCGATTGATATGAAAAATGCTTTACTCATTAAAAATTCATTAAAATTAATCATCATCTATTTCATTACACTAACACTATTATAACACAATTATTATGTATATTTATAAATTTTCCTATTAATATACATATATAAATATATATATATACATATATATTTAATTTTTTAATTTAAAAATTTTTAAGTTTTATTTAATTTTAAATTTTTATCAACAATTTTCATTTTAATATATTTTTTTTTAATTTTAATATTAATTTTCAATTTAATTTAATTATTATAATTTTTTTTAATTATTTATTTATTAAAACAATCGAATCTCTCTATCTTCCCCATATATGTATCTCTTTCTCTCTATCTCTCTCTCTGTTTGTGTTATCTCCCCAAAAATCCATAATCGTTTTCCGAGTAGACAACGAAACAACAACGAATAATGTGAAAAAACGAATTTTTATTAATAATGATTATCAAATAATAAATGATTATGATCAAAAATATCATGACGATGATGATGATAATGATGACTCTGATTTTAATGAAAATGATGATGCTGATGATAATAATGATAATAGTGATAATGATGATGATGATGATTCTACATCAACAACAGAATGTATACGTAAAGAAGCAATTAATTTAGTTGATCGTATACTTGATGAAAGTATAATGTTTGTAAATGCAAAACATGAATTTGAAAATGCACAACAATTACAACAACAACCATCATCATTAAATTTATGTAATTTACAAAATGATCAATCATTAAGTAATATTGAATATAATTCAGAAAGTGATAATTATGCTATAACATGTGATGTTGTTAATGGTATTGATATTGTTAAATCACCAACAATTGAATCATTATCTGGACGATCATTTGATGATAATATGAGCGATCAATATATATCTAGTATATCACCTCATGTATCATTTATAATAACAACAAATAATAGTTATAATATTGCTAGTAATAATATAACAACAACAAATATAATGCAATCCTCTATAACAAATACAACAAATATATTACGTACATCACCGACTACATCAATTCCAATACAATCAATAATTAATACTTCAATAGCAACAACAGCAACAGTTGAAACACCATCAACAATAACAACAACAACACAATTACCATCAGGAATAATGAAAAAAACTGTTAAAATAGCTGATGATAATAATTTATTAGCTAATTTTGATATTGAAGATATTAATATTGATAATGTTAAAGCAACAGATGTATTCGAAGAAATAACTTGGAGTACATCTGTTGGCTTATTAAAAAATGATAATGATGATGATAACGTTGATGATGATGATAATAATGAACATGATGAAATAAGTGATATTTCTGATAATAATAATTTTATTGAAATGAAAAAACCTACTATTACAACAATAATGACTAGTAATGTTGGTTCAACAAATTCAACTGATGAATCTGATGATTTTGCATTAAATCAATCAGATTCTGATGGTGGTATACAAACAAGTGATATATTTAAAAATGATGACAATAATATTATAAAACCAATAACAACAATAACGACAATGACAACAAAACAATCAAAACGTTATGAACGTATTGATAAAAAATTTGAAAAACTTTCATCTCAAGTTGAAAATATTGATGAATTCGCGAATAAATTTGATGCTGAATTTGATAAAATTTGTGATAAAAATGAAATACAAAATTTACAAAAAGATTTCGCTAAAATAAGTTGGGATGAAAGTGTTTCAATAACAACAACAGCAACAACTGCTGATAATACAGCTGCTGATCAAAGTACACCTGATAATGATTTACAAGATTTACCACCAGGTGAATGCAAAAAATATTAAATAATAAATTCTTATTACAACAGACATAAAAAAAAAAAAAATTTGACAATAATATAAATTAGACAGGATTTTCTGGTGAATTATTTTTTATTAACAAATCATTTCTCTTATATAATTAATAACATTATATACTTATATAATAGAAAGAATGACATTTGTTTTTCTTAAAAATTTTTCTTAAATTTTTCTATTTAGCATTTAAAAAAAAAAAAATTTTAAATGGAATGAATTTTTATTGATATTGAGAAGTTGAAGACTGACCAAACACAAAAACAAAATTTATTAATCAACAATTTAAAATAACAAGCAAAAATGTGTGACTATTGTGATCTAACTTATAAACTATTGTGACCTAAATTATGTTTGAGTTCAGTGCACACTCGAATTAATGAGCACTCACATATTTTTTTTTTAATGATTTTATTTATTATAAAATTTTAGTCTTTTACTAACAACACTGTTTTATAAATTTTTATTTTTTAAAGTCACACCGTAAAAATTTGCAATATTAAAATGCAATATTACCGTAACAAGTCCATTACACCTTTAATTTTCACAAAAAAATAAATTAAATACGGCTCATTAAAGAGCTCTTTTTAATTTAACTCATTTTAACTCATCATAAGTCACTCATTTTATATAATTTCGTCTTAATAAAATTGAGATAATTTCTCCATTTTATAAACGTACTGCTTTAATAAACTCAGTACACTTAAATTCTTGAATGACAACACGTATACTTTGTATTTACTGTAAGAATTTACAAAAACTTATTTTTGACACGAACCAAACATATGTGTTGGTTTGTAACTTTGATAATATATTTGTTTTACGGACGTTAATAAGGTACGTTATAAGAATACGTTTAAAAGAGCTTGAATGAAAATGTGCGAAATTCGACCTATGAATATGTGCGTATTCATTCTATGTATTCCATAGGTACAGCTTAAAGGAAAGATTCCAAGAAAGTTCATTCCATTTTCAGTTACAATAAAATTATTGAAATAACTTTGAGATATTTTTTTTTTTATTTTCAAAATCAAAAGAAAATATTTTTAATATTTTTAACTATAATAAAATTTATTCTTAATTAAAAAAAAAAAAGAAAATACTATACATATACCTACTTACATATATATTTATACTTAAAACATGAAATATGATTTACGAAACATAGAAATAAGTTTTTTTTTTCATTTCTTTTAAAAAAAAAAATTTGTTTACTTGCAATGCCAAAGCTATATTTGAGCTCTATTTGCTTTAAATAACACACTCCAAAAAAAAAAATATTATTAATTTTCTTATTTGGTTTATTTATCGTTGTATTTGATCTCTTAATATTTTTTGGTTTTTTATTTTTTTATATATTTTTTTTTATCTATTTTGTAAAACTTTACAAATTTTGCAATACACTATTGAAATGACATCGAAAATTGAACTCGACAATTATGAATGACAATGTGTAAATAAAATTTTCAAATTTACGAAAATTTTGTGAGGTTTGTTTTGAGTGAAAACTGACAGATTAGAAAATTGAAACGTCATAACTTTGTGCAGAAATTTACCATTTTTGCGTAAAAGACATTTCTCATTGAGTCCAACAAATTTTTCCAAAAAAAAAACCTTAACAATAACTGAAAATAAACATGAATAACGTTTTAATGTTTATTTAAAGATTAAAAATGACAGTTGCTTAGATGTATACGTCACTCAAATTTCTCTTTTTTTTCTATTTCTCTCTTTTAAAAAAAAAAAAACTTAAACTCCGAATACTTTCCAGTAAAATAGAAAAGGATTTAAAATAAACTCATTCAATTTCCGTAAAAGTGTTCTTACTAAGAGACTTCTTAGAGAACGACGGTAACACTTAATATTATATGAAGCAAATCAAATAATAAATTTTTATAGTGTATTGTTTACTTAACCTGGTATAAATTATTTTCAAAAGAATATTAATTATTTATACAAAGGTTTATTACAAAATTAAACAAAAACCAAAATTTTTAGAATTAATTATGAAAAGCAATCAATCATACATTATTTATTCTAAATTAATTATTTAAGTTTTTATTACAATATTTAAGTGAGTTAACAAAAATTTTATTTTGATGTAACACACAGCATGAAATTAAAAATTTCAATCGAAATTAAAAAAAAATTAAACTAAAAGCTGAGAAAAAAAAAATTAATTGAAATTTAAAAAAGAAAATTGTTGACAATTTACTAAAATTTTTTTTTTTTATAATATGTCAAAAATTTAATTTATAATAGGAGGAGTAATTGAAAATTAATGATTTTAATTTGTCAAACGAAATTTGCAATGAAATGATAAACAATTTTTTTCTGTTTATATTCGCAGTAGTTTACAAATATTTAATTTTTTTTTTTTTGAAATTTTGATTTTAATTAAAAATTATTCATGAATCTTTATTTACTTTCAAATAAACTTAAATTTTGTTGGAGTACATGGTGAAAATTCACGAAATGAAGCAACTCATACTACCTTTATGAATATGTCAATAATGATAAAACTTTTTCAAAATAACCCATTCTTGTTTACATACTATATTTGAATTGATCAATATTATTATTTTTGACATTAATGTCATCAACATAATTTTGACATATCGTTGACATATAATGTAAGACATATTTATATTAAATTTACAATTAGACGAATAACGATTTCCTGTTTCTGTCAAAAATTTATTAACAGAAACCAATTAAAAATTTATTGACAGAAAATTAAAGTTTCTGTCAAAAAATTCGTTGATATTATAATTGCAAAAATTACTATACGTATAAGATAATGGGCTTAAGGCAAAGATAACAGCCTAAGGCATTTATTCTTCTGCTGCTTTAACAAAACAATTCAAATTGAGATTGACAACTGCAGTATAAGAAATTTATTATAAAATTCTAAAAAGACAGAAAGAAAATTTTGTCGATTGTCTTGACATTATAATTCTTATAGTATTAAATTTTTATTGTGATCTCAGTTAATTAGAAAAAATCTCCAGAATTTCTTGAGAAAACAATAAAATTTTATAAAGTTCAGATTAAAATTTTCGTACCGTAAAAAGGAGCTTAAGGAAAATTTGATGAACTACTTATGTAATGATTTAATTTGTTGACCAAATGTAAATTGTAAGAAAAAGATCTAATACATATTTTTTTACTACATCTCAAATTTTCTGGCTGCCATTGAAAACAGAATCAATAATAGGGTAGTAATCTCGATAAGAATAGGGTGAAATTTACATGTCTTTAAAGATTTTAAACATTATTTAATTTTTTTTTTATTTTATTTGTCAGTTTTCATTTGATTGTAGTAGGAATAGATTTATTTTTTAATTTGCTCAAATGCTATTTTTGCTCTAATTTATTTTTAATAAAAATAAAAAAAAAGTTGATAGTCTTATAATAAAAAAAAAACAAAATAAACAAATAATTTTGCAGTATTAACCATTTTTTTTAATAATCAAAAATAGTGAAAACAAAATTCCAAATCTGTAATGCAAAATAAAAAAAAAAAATTGCAACGCATAATACCTGTATCTCTCTCTCTCTCTCTCTCTTACTCTCTCTATATTACAATTTTAGAATCAGGAGGTCAAACTACTATAGTTACTACCACTGTTACGTATGATACTGAAATCAAACCAAAACCAACACCTAGATTAAGTAAGACAATATCAGAAGAATCGAAAGCTGCAATTGATGCTCTAATATCTGCCACTAGTACTGTTACTACCACTACAACTACAACAGTTGATGAACATAAAGATTTAATATCAACGACAACTGCTACAACTACTGCTACTACCGAATTAAAATCAGATGATTCAACTGAACAAAAATCAGTAACAACAGAAGAAAATAATTTTAAACAAAGTAAAATTTTTTGGGAATCACTTGAATCACAAAAAACAGATAGTGAAGATGTAATACATAAATCACCGAAACCATCTGGTATACCAGTACCAAAACCAAGAACCAAAACAACTACGCCGGTTGATTCAAATAAAACAACTGAGGAATCTCTTAGTACAAAATCTACAAGTATATCATCAGATCAAAATGCAGTATACTCACAAGAAACTAGCAAAGAAACATCATCCGAAGAAGTAAAAGAAGAAGCTATTAAAGACGAACAAAAAGATATCACAAAAGAAGATGAAAAATCGGTAAGCTCATCAGTTGATGCAGAATCTAAAAGTGTTTCCGAATTAGATTCGAAAAAGCCAGGTTTTTATATTGGTGACTCAAGTGACGATATCATTAAAAGATCCATACCAGATAAACGTTCCGATTATGCTATTGATAGTGAAGCATATAGAAGTACATTAGATGATGAACAACAGGAAATTCCATATGACGAACCATCTGCTCCATCACCTGAACATGATATATCAAGTGAAGAACAGAAGAAATCACATTATGAAACAGATGAAGAACAAGATTCACATAGTTCGAAATCTGGCCCTCACAAAATTGTTAAAAAAACCGAATCGTATACTGAATCTGAAACAGATTATCGAAAAGATTGGCAAAAAATGGATAATTTTGAAGAACATACCTTAGATAGCGAAGAAAAAGATATTGCTGGAGATAGTGAAAGCCCTAAACGTTTCGCTGAAACATTAGAAAAAAAATCAAAAATCGAGACCGGCTTCGAACAAGCTGATATGGATTTAACTGCGGCCGGTTTAGCAAAAATTGAAAAAGAACAATTTGAATCAAGACTTTTCCGTCAGGGTTCAGAAACTAGAAATGATATACTTGAGTTCGAAATTGAAGGTAAATATTGTGAAGAAAGTTTTGGTTCTACAACCAAAACTGATGCCGATGCTTTCATTGAAGGCGTAATACACGATGAAGCTAGTGATACTAAATTTAAAGCCGAACAATCGATTCAGGGTGATGAAAAAGTACAAAAAATGGAATTTACTGTGGAAGGTAAAAAGCAAGATGATCCGACTACTTTTGTTAAAATTGAACGCAAAAGTCATTTAGAAAGTGCAGATCTTAAATCAAAGTCGAAAGTTGAAACCGAAGAAATAGTTCAGACTGATGTTAGTCCAATTGAAGTTAAAACGAAAGTTGAAGACTATAGCCACTCAAGTAAAGCATTTGAAACGCAACAGTCTCGACAAGAGGAGATTACAGATGACTGTAGCATTTTAAAAAGTGATGTAACATTTACAAAAACCGAAACCAAAAAAATTTCTTCAAAACGAATTGAAGAAATTCACAAAGAGATCCACCAAATAGATGTCATGGAACATATATTAGACGAGTTTAAAGCCCATGAAGAAGGATCTAAATTACCAGAAATTGAAAGCCAAAAACCATCAATTGTTCAAGAATTAGTAAAAGAAGTTATTTCAAGTGAAGATTCATCTTCTTTTCCTAGTTTACATAGCGATCATTCATTTTTAAGTGAACAAATGTATTCAGCAGAACATCATTTTCCTGAAAGAAAAAAATCAACATCAGAATTAGCACAATATTTTCAGTCTGAAATGGATAAAGAAGAAAAAGAAATTAAAGAACAATCATCTACTGATATTATGCATGAGCAAGCTGAAAACCTCGAAAAACGTATGGAAGCTATTCATCAAGAAATTCACCAAATTGACACAGTTGAACAGATGATAGAAGGCTTAAAAGAGCACGAAAAAGAAATTCACCATACTGAATTTGAAGACTATAAAAAAGCAGAAGGAAAAGAAATTTCTCATGAAACTGTAACTTCTGAAATTATAACAGAATTCCCAGCCACACACGAAACACACATAAGTTCCTTGGTTACGGAGCACACAGAACATTTTCCAACAAAAGAAGCGGCAGCTGCATTTGAATATGATGATGATGAAAAAGTTTTTGAATCGCACGAAGAGAAGATTTCTGAATGCATGCAATATCAGAGAGATGAAAAAATTCTACAAACCTTACATGATGGAAAAATTGTTGAAGACAAGACAGTATTTCAAGAAATGCGTATTGCAGATGAACCACAATTAAAAGTGGGGTCAATTGAAATTGTAAAATCACCTCTACAAGTAGCAGTTATAGAAACTGTTCCATCAGATGAAGTACTAGAAAGCGATTCAGAAAAAATCATCATGGAAATTGAGGAAGCTCCAGAAATTATTGCTCACCAAACTGAAGAGGAGACTGTTACATTTGAAAAAGCTATAGTTCAAGGAGTAATTGAGGTGGAAGAAAGGAAACCATTACATACAGCTTACATGGAAGAAAGTGATATATTTGTTGAACATATTATCGAAGAACAGCAGCCAGAAGGACTAAGTAAGGCAGTGATACAAGAATTAGAAACTTCAAAACCAGTTTATACCCCAGCTAGCGCAAAAGCGGAGGCCATTCTTACTTCTATTAAACCATTGGAAATTTTGAAAGACAAAGACACAAGAGAAGAGCACAAAGATAAAGATTTTCTTGATCCTGAAGATATATTTGAAGAGGAAGCTCTTACAGATCAACATATTGATGATAAGTACAAAGATAAGACGCACAAACCGGCTAGCATAAGTCCTAAATTTTCGGAACAAAAAGTCAAATTTGATCATAAGCTCGATTTAAATTTAGAAAAAAGTGAAACGGAAGTATCCGAAAAATATTCAAAATCATCAAAATCGGAAGAGGAATTTAAAAAATCGTTGATTACTGATCCAAGTCAGGTCGATACATCAATGGTAGTAAAGACACTCGAAGAAGTTGAAGAATCTTTGGACGCCGTACAAGAAGAATTAATTGAAGTTGTCAAAGACGGAAAATTAATAAAACAAAGCCCATCTGAATTTGAATTTAAAATATTATCGTCCCACCACATGCAAAAATATGCCGCAGAGCCAATTCATGAATCTTTTCATGAAGAATCGAGCACAACTGGATCTTCAAGTGAACAACAATTAAAAGACAAACCCGAATCTCAAAAGACAGAAACAACCTCAGATTCTTTGAAAACTGACGACTTTGCCTCATTATCCTCAACAGAAGATTCATCACATCGGTTGGATGTTGTGCATCGAATTAAAAAAGATACTCAAGTTGATTCACTGAATCGATTATCTGGATTAGAACAAGATCACTCTAGTTCGAGTGATAGTCATTACCGTAGTTTAGATAAAACAGAAAGTAGTAGACCTGCTTCTTCTGACTTAGATAATTTGATTACATATGGCAATTCTTCGGAATATCAAACCGCACTTGATGCGTCTTTATTACCAGAGTCTGCAGAATATGTAAGCGCTATAAGTTCATTTGATTCAAGTGGAAAAACTATTAGCTCGCAAGAGAGTATGAAAAGCTTAGACTCTGAATTATCAAATTTAGGAAGCGTTGAAATTTCTGAAGCCTCTGAAACTTTAATTGGCTCTATTGGAGAAGGCGATCTTGATCGAGAAATACAAGAAGTTGATGACATCGAGTTCGAAGTTGATGACAAGCTCTGTGGGGTTCTAATGGAAGAAGCTCCACCAGTTTGCCAAATGAAACGCTCTCAAGAAATGATTTTTACTCAAGACGATTTCAAAAAATCTGATGAATCACCAGAAAAAAAAGACGAAGATAAATTAAGCAGTAGTGTTGAAGATACCACGGGTAGAACATTCAGAGAATCTACAGAAAAATTAAGTAGTAGTATGGATGAGGCATCTCGTTTATTAGAAGAATCCAAATTTAGCCTCGAAGAAGGCAGTCTACTCTCTATGAGCTTATCGAGCGCCTCCGCAGTTGATACTGTTGTAGAAAATATAGACGATTTAGCCAGTTCTCTTGGTGCTTCTTCTTTAACCGGATTTGAAATGCAATCACTAATACGTGATGATTTTACTGGAACGTCCTTTGAAGAACCGTCTAAAATTGAGAAAATTGATAGTATGACAATGACAATATCATCAGGTAAAGATGAAGATACCAATTTTGCTAACACTCAAATAACTACTATAGTCGCTTCATCTTCGGTTGAATCTTCTGACTCTGAACCTAAACGCAAAGGTCACAAGCGTAGTGAAAGCACTGCTTTTGGTACGACGGACTTTCTAAAAGGAATTTCGAAAGATTCATCATCGCTTGAGGAAGAGGAAGAAGAGAAAGAAGAAATATTGGAAGAAATATTTCCAGTAAAAACATCGCCTTCACATGACGAAACTGCAACTACCTTCCCAAAGTCGGCTGCAGTTGCTGCTGGATTAGGTGACGAAACTAAAAAAGGTAGTGAATCAGAGTCTGATACGGATCCTTACGAATCTGAATACGCTAGAGCTTTTAGATCACCAACTGTTCAAAAAAAGAAAAGCCGCAAATCGGTAGAAGAAATTTTTGAAAAAGATCAAGAGCCAGAAAAACGTCCTTTTACTCCCTCTCAGCTAGTTAGTGAGGTTATTGAAGAAGACGCTACTGAAGAATTAGAGTCAATTAAAACGGCTGAAGAACTGGAAAGAAGACCATCTCAAAATATGCAAGATTATTCCAATATCCCCAATATTACTATAACGGAAGATAGACAACGTCAACTAGATGAAGAAGATGACGAAATTGAAAAATTCATTAGAGAACAAGACAGTGACTATAAAGACGACGAACAAGAAAAAGTTTTATATAAAATGAAAACACAAGATGAATTAAATAAGGCGGCTGATGTACCTTTGAAATTTGCTAAAGAAAAAGAATGCTCAATGACTGATGAACAATTAAATGAATTAATTCAGCAACAATATCAAAGAAAATTAGCAGAAATTGAAGGTCGTGCATTATCAGAGGAAGATAAAGCACCAGATTCACCGGATTCTTTTGAAATGCTTGAACAGCCAGATATTTCTGATGAATTTGTAATAATTGAAGAAGTAGCGAAAGAAGCGGATGAATTTGATATGGAAGGTAAAAGTGTTAGCATCAAACCAGTAAAATATGAGAAAAAACATGATGAAGAAGTTGAAAAAATTCTTGTTAGTTCAGCACCCGCCGATCCTCATCAAGGTTCTATAATGTACAGGGAAGGACTTAATTTCGAATTTGAGGAAAGTCCTCCAACGGAGCAAACTCAAGAAGAAGCTGAAGCAGCTGATTTAGCTGCAGCAAACAAAAGATGGGTAGAAATGCAAATGTCTGATAATGGCCAAATGAGATACCCGTACGAGGTTGGTGGAACAGTTCTAGAAGATATAAAAGAAGAAGATGGGGAACTAGAAGTTGGTAGTAGCAGAATAAGTAGTTTTAAAGATTCATTTTCTAGTACGCCAGAATATGACGTATTAGCTGGGCGAAAATATTTTACAAAAGAACATGATGATATTTCAATGAGTAGCCTGCAAGAATTCGAAAACTTAGAACAAGCAATTTCTTTAGAAAACAGAAAATTACACCAACATCAACACCAAGGATCGCAAGATTCGTTAAGCAACGGTAGTTTTACACGTCGTTATATGGCACGAAATCAACAAGGTGATGATGTATCACTATCAAGTTTAAAAGAATTTGAAGGATTAGAAAATGCTTGCTTAGAAGCACATCTAATAGAAATCAAAGCCAAAGAAGAAGCAGCCTTACTCTTATCAAGATCAGATGAATCAAACAAATCTGGAAGTGGTAAAGATGAGGTAAAGGGAACAAATGGAACTTCAATCACTACGACAAGCAGTTCAACTATAACACAGTCTTTGATTACGTCTTCAACAAACGGAAACGCATCAAAGTTAAACCAGCAACAAATTGAAGCACTTATTAAATCAAAATTAGAAGAATGTGAAGAGGAACCCTCCAATTTAATGGAGGTTTCAACAGATAGTTTAGACCTAGCTAAAAAATCAAAATCAACTAATAATGAAGAGAAAAAGAGTGAATTAGGTAGTAGCGATAGTTTAGAAATTAATAGAAGCGGGGATATTATGACGAGTAGTATTGATTCATTTGAAATATCTAAGGATGCCACAGCACGATCGTCTCGATCAGAGGGAGACTCATTAGAACAACAATTAATTCAAGAAGGAAGACGTGATAGTATTGATTCCATTGAATTAGAACAAGCCGCTTTGCAACTAGTTACATCTGGTGGTCCTGAAAAACAAATAACAATATCAGAATTTGAACAAATTGCACCAGATGGCAGTCGTCAAACAATTACTAAAACAACAACAATTATGCAAGGACCAACACAAGTTCTATCAAAAACTGTAACATCGACTGTAACATCAAGTAGTATAACATCAGAACATTCTGATACAGGAACAATACAGGATCCAATAAAAATTATTAAAAATATTTCAAGTGATTCATTAAATTTAACTGGTCAAACTGATCCAGATCTATTATTAACTAGTACAGAAAGTTTAGATCGTACAAGTTCAGCTGGTACAAATGCTACATATCAAAATGAAAATGAATCAATAATGACAAGTAGCGTTACTAGTTGTGCATCTAGTACTCTTATGGAAAATTTAGAAAGTACATCATTTCCAACTGAATTATATCAATCAATGTCAACATCAGCGATGACAAGTAGTGGTATATTTCCTTCATCTGGTCAATTTACATATGAAGAGATGATACCAACAGCAGTTGCTAGTGTATTACCAACAACAGCGACTGGAACATTTAGTACAATTAAAACTACAACAACAACAGCAACGACACAAGTTGTAACAAAAAGTGGTAGTGGACATAAGATTGATGAACATAAGTTGTTATATGAACATTCCGATTTATCCTTTGAAAAAGACTTTGAAAAACTAGATACAGCTTCTATACAAAAACCAGGTAGGATAATATAACAATAATAACAGTAATAATAAAACAAAATAATTTAAAAAAAAAAGCATAAAATAAGCGTAAACAAATTTTTGTTTGAGTATAAGAAAAAAATCCAAAAATACAAAAATATTATTTTTGTTTTTCTTGTATCTTTTTTCTTCAATTATTATTGTTTTGTTTTTTTTTTTTTTTATTTATTCCAATTGTGCAAAATAACATAGTTCTATTTGTATTCATTAGGGTTACCAGATATTTTAATAGTTTTAAGATTTCAAGTTCAGAAATATTTAATCAGTGTTGTGTAGCTCTCAAAATTTCAAAGTCTACTCTAAAATTAAGAATAAAATACTTGAAAATTTCGTTGTTCTTTATATGTTTAATAAAAAAATGTACAATATTATTTAAAATACACTGTAATGTAATCAATCCAAATCAAAATCACCTGTAAATCAAGCAACAAGAGCAAGAAATATTTTCTACTAGAAAATTTTTAAGAAAAAATCATGTTTAAAGGCTCAGACAGTTTAATGTAAATTTTAGTTTTGCAATCTTAATTGTAAAATCGTTGTGTGCTCATTTAAGTAATTAAACTGTTGCGTTAGTCTAAATCGATTGCGTTAACTAAAAAATGCAATCAATTTGTAAAAAATTATAAAATTTTTGATTGTTTAAATAAAATCGATTGCGTTAAGTAAAAAATGCAATCAGCTTGTAAAAAATTACAAACTATTTGATAATTTAATTTCATGCGATCACACAGTTGCTTGTGTGGTCGCATGAAAATAAACGCAAACTAAAAATTGCATATCTGCCTGAGCGCTTATATAACAAAATCTCTAAAATAATTTTTATTTATTTAAAAATATTTAAGGTTAAACAATATTTTTTTAAATTATTGAAAAATTGGTAACCCTAACACATTTTATTAATACAAAACTAATTTTTAATTTTCTTTTTCGTTTTTATTATAAATAATTATTATTATTAAAAAAAAATTAAGCAATATAATAGTTATAACAGATTATATAACAGATTAAAATAGTAAAATTATAATTTATTCAAAAATTTTATATACTTACATATATATATATATAAAATTACAAAATTAATTTAAAATTTTAGAAAATTATTATTATACAAGTACATATTATTCATTTATAGATTATAATTAATTTACCTATATATGTACATATAGTTTAAAAAAAATATAACAGAATACCTACATAATTATTTTATATTATATTATATTATAAAATATAATATATTAAAATATTTAACAAAAATTAATTTAGACATTGAAAAAAAGGCAGCAATAGAGCTCAAAAAAATTTTGATTTTTTTTCTCATTATTTTGTTTAAATTATTTAGAAAAAAATTTATGATTAAATTTCAAAAAAAAATTTTATATACAATTTCTATATAATAATAATTAATTATATAATATTTAAATTATAAAAACAAAAAATTATTTATATTTGCTTGTCTTTTGAACATTCTTTTTTTGAAAAAAAAATAAAAAACAAATGAAGATTTATTTGCACGAATATGAAATAAAAAAATTATTCTTGAAAACTGTAGAAAAGTGAAAAATATAACAAAAATCCTTTATAAAATCTTACAAATAATTTTTCTAATAATTAATATTAAAATTAATATAATAGGCTTCTTCATAAATGCAGTATATTGCGATATATAGCGAATACTGTTCTATGTATGTGTGCATAAACAATATTGTTGCTAATCTAATTTGTTCATAAACATTGCTAATATTTTCGCAATATAACAAAATTAATATAATCACTGTTATTCTATTGATTTTATAGAATAATATTAAAAATATATTGAAAATTCATCATGTTATGTTTTTTTCTTGCAATATTGCATTTCCCAGTTATTGTTTTGCAGTATTGCGATTTATGAAGATTTTCATTATGTCAGAAAAAGATTGGACAACATGAATTTTAAATGATGAACTCTTAATATCGTTTTATTATTTTAATTAAATGAAATTTACATATTATTTTTTCATATCAAATTGCAAAGCGTTGTTTTTGATACGGCAAACTCGTTCTGTTGCTTTTCAATAAATTTTATCAAATTAAATCAAATCCATTAACGTTTATAAAACCCTAATTTACATAAAATCAAAATATATATGTTAGTTCCTCGATTGAACACAGCAATGCATTTGTCGTAAAGAAAATCGTTTAAAGAAAAATTATATCGTAAGTCGAATCGTTGATAAACGAGGCTTTTTTTTTGAAAAAGTATATACGTATACATATTAATTGACAATACTGTACATAACAACCAGTTTTGTCGCATAAAATTATAGTTGTATATTGAAAAGAAAACACATTGTCAAAAACAAATTATGAGTGCCATATACATTTTGTTTTTTTATTACTTTGTTTAAAAGCGTCATAACTGCAAATAAATGTCATTTTTTCCGAATTAATAAATTTTAAAACAAAGACGTGGTAACTCCATAATCGTCGTATATTAGGTACTGCGTAATTCGAAAATCTAGTAATAACATGGAAATTACTATAATATTAAGGCAAAATGTAAACAACTTAAAAAATTGATATCATAATGTCAAATTTATTAATTATATTATAAATTTTTTATTAAATCAAAGATATTTTCTTATTTAATAATAATTTTTATAATTTTCTATCTGGAAAATTTTAAATCTTTAATCAAAACACATAAAATTACAAATTAATTTAAATAAACGATTTTAAATCGGAATTGCTTTCATTAAGAAATTTTCTTATAGAATCGATTCTTAACAATCAATTATTTAATTCTAAAAATAATATATAAAAAATCTATTTTTATAATATCGTTCCAATATGTATGTAATTTAATTTGTCTATTTTAAAATGAATGTTTTCTAACCGTGAAATCAAATAAAATTTTAAATTTCATTACAATTTTTTTAAATATGTACATAATATGTACTTTTAATTTTAATATTATAAAATCAATAAGAGATTTTAAATAAATATTACATTTATACGATTTAAATCCAATTACAATATTAGAATATATGTATATATAGATTAGCAATTTATTGTATGTAACTTTGAAATTTAAGCAATATAATAATAATATAATATAACAATAAATGGTGCTTTCAATTTAAATTTAACAAAAAGAAGATTAAAATGATATTAAATAGGATCATTTAAAACCGCAATTTAAAATTAAAAATAAATTCATTTAACAAAAAAAAAATTATAAATATTTTAAAATAATCCTGCTCGATTTCCACATTCTCTTGCATAAAATATAAAATCTATTTAATTTAGATTATTTTAAAAATATCCACTCATTTGCTACAATTAAGTGACATAACCTAAAAAAGAACTTATTTCTGAGCTATTTATAAAGAGATAAATTTATTTTTTTGCACAAGAAAACCATTTTTGTAACCTGATAATCCATTCTAGTTAAATTGAACACTTTAAAATTATCGATTTTCTAAAATGCGGAAAATTTGACTTATGTCATTTTATGAGTTATATTTTGAGTTATGTTTTGAGTTATGTAATATATTCCAAATTTTACTTGTACTTACATATAAAATTTTATTACTCATTTAAAAAATTAAATATATTAATAAATTACAAAAATATTAAAATTTAATAAAAATTTTGTAAAGGATTTTTCAGTTCAAATTTTTCTTTCAGCAGTTTTCAAATTATATTTTTATTATAAATTTCTTCTTACATATTTACAACAGTGTAATATAAAAAAAAATTGTGTTTTTAAAAACAAAATATATTCTTATAATTTTATTCTTAAATGGCATAATTATATTACCCATATTGTCTTAGTCACATTAATTGGGTTATTATTCAAAAAACTTGTAATTTTCTAGGTAATATTAATTTCAAAATTTGAAATTTTATACCGGAAATTAAGAATTTTCTAATAAAATCCCATCATCTCAAATGTTACGACTAAGAGAATAAGGGTGAATAATTTATATATTAAAGTGCAGTTGAACACGCTTATATACACAAAAATTTCGGGCAGAATTTTTTTGCTCATTATATTCGTATTGTGCATATTAAGGAATTGCAAATAGGAGATGGATATACGCGTATTTGAAATAAGCATGTTCGATTGTATATAACAAAATGATCTCATCCTTTGTAATACTTTGTTCTACAAAATATCACATCACTATAACACTCTACTTCTCTATTTATACATTTTATATCACAAAGTATGCTAAAGCTATAATAAAGCTATATATATATTTTAGCATACCAATTATAATAGTATATTTTTTAGAAATTTTTGCTCTAATACGATATTCTTCTTAAATTATTTTGAAAAATGATTTTATAATTATTCTAAATTGGATTCCAATAGAACAATATATTAAGTAATACAAAATGTTTTATAAGTTTGTAGCATGGTAATAAAAATTAAAGGAAACAGATAATTGCATGAAATTTTATTTTTCCTTAATAAAATTTTAATTATATTTAATCAAGTAGTTTACAATTAAATAATTTTGTTATTTTTTTGTTTTAGATAATAATGGGGTCGATTCTGAGTATCGAATCGAGTAATATTTATCGCAAAACTTTTAAACACTTGTAATCATTTGTATCGAATTTTTTACAATAATATTATTACTATCACTTAGTGATTCAAAACTCAGAATAAGCCCCTAATAAATTAATCAATATTTTATTTGTGTTAAAAATAATTGTGCAATTTCATGAAGTTCAAAAAAAAATTTAAATATTATTTGAATAACAAATTGTTGTGAATAAAAATCTCGACTTAAGCAGATAACTCGTACATAGAAAAGTGTCACTTGCTGAGATTCTGGGGTATTATCAAAAAAAAAATGCATTATTTTCAAAATAAATTTTTAGTCCTATATTATTCAATCAGTCTTATTCTATAAGACTGCCCATAAAAAATGTTTGAGGTGACAGATTTGCTATTTTACTAGACGCCCTCAACTCACTATTTGTATAAGAGAATATTATTCCAGAATATTATCTTCCAGAATATTATTCTACTAAATGCATTTTTAAACAATGTGTAAATGCACATAAAAATTTAAATTGCTTATAAATTAATCGAAGATTAGGTATATGAATAATTGCACAGTTAATTATAAATATTGATTAATTTATTTAATATTATATTTTTCTTATCTTATAATTTTTAAAAGCTATTATGCTAAATGCTTATATATATATATATATTTTTTTTTTTAATTTAGGATACTTTAAACCCACATTTATTTATATTGACTTTACATTTATTATAGTACAAACAAAAAACAAAAATTTATACATAAAATTAATAATAATAACACAAAAAACACAAAATTTGCATGCCACTGTATTTAAAAACTAACTTAGCAACTAACTAACTAACTAACTTATTTATTTCTATATTAACAATCTAATGAGTAGGATAATAATAAAAATATGTAGTTGTAATATACAATAGAGAGATTAATATTTAAATTATATAAAAATTTTATTTAAAAATGATATTAATATATATTTTTTTTTTATTTTTATATTTTTTTGTTTCTCTAAAATTAAAACAAAAAAATGTTTTTACAATAAAAAAAAAAAAATATTTAAAATAACTTTAGGTGGTGAAGAAGAACAAATAATTAAATCAGAGTCAAAAAAATCAACAGAAGAGCCGGTAAGAATTCAAAAGATTTAAATTGAATTTTTTTTTTAGGAAATAAATGAATTTGAAAGAAGCTGCACTGAAGGTTCTACATTTCTATATATTTATATAAGCATTGAATAGCATGCAAAAAACTTTAGCTAAATTTTTAAGGTTTTGCTGCAACGAAAAAATTTAAACAAGATGTCCGATGTTCAGCAATGTTTAATTTTAAAAAATTTCAACTGAATGCGATACATTTCTAGCATTTCTTTATTATAGAATGAATCTTCAAACATGTTAATGTTAAGCGTATAATTTCTAAATGATCTATATTTTCAATATGTGCAGCATACAATTTCTGAAAGTGCTTCAAGTTAGAACTATACTTGAACTGCGAATTAACCAAAATCCTAAAATGTTAAAATCAATATAAAAATTAAATAATAATTAATTAATTATTCTATACAAATTTTATTTCTAATTTTTTTGAAAATTATTAATCTTTATATTTTATTTTTTTTTTTTTAATTTTAGAAAAAGTAAATATTTATAAATTCGAAATCATTCCAAAGCCAAAATAAACAAATTGAAAATCAACAATAAATTCATTTAATGAACTATCCTCTAAGTTGTCAAAAAAATTAAATAATAACAAGAAGAAAGCTCAATAGAAGAAAGAGATAGATCCCGCATTATGGACAAAACGATTTCCTTATATTATATGTGACCAATTTTAATTATATTATTTCATCTATAACAATATTATGACATAAAATAGATGATTACCATCTATAAATTTAATTTACAAAATTAAACAAAAACAAAAACCAAAATTAATACTATAATTCTTCAAATTAACAACCAAAACAAAAAAAATTATATGTTAATTATATTTATTATAAATTCATTGTCTATGTCATGCAATTTTTCTATACAAAACAAAAAACAAATTTATATTCAATGTATTTTCAAATTTAATTTATTTTCAATGTATTTTAAAAAATTCAATATTGAAAAAAAAAATCGAAAAAAAAAAATGTATTTATAATATTAATTACATTATTAATTAAATGTGTCCTGTATAACTAGCAGCAAATAAATTCAATAATTATTCATGCATAATAATTGCATATATGAAAAATAAAAATAAATATTTATGTAAAATATAAATTAAATAAATAATTAAATAAAATTTTTTGGTTAAATTTGTTATTCTTGCTTAAATATTGAAAATGATAATACAAAATTATTACTAAAGATAAAAAATTCCATTATCAAAAATTAAAAATGATTAATTATAATTGTATAATTACAAGAAAATTAAAATTTTATTACAAAGAAATTGTAAATTTACAATAAAATTAAAGCAAAAATAACAAAAACCATATTTTATATTGAATTTGGGAAAAAAATTTAAAGAGCAAATAATATTTTCAAAATATTAAAAATATAAAAAGATTTACAAAATATTTGATGAAACACAAAAAATTCCAAAATAATATTTTTAAGTTTATTATATACATACATTTTTTTTTTTTGCTCTAAATCTATTTTTATTATTATAAAATAAATATTTTATAAATAAATTTAATTTACGAATTCATAATATTAAATTATATTAATTAATTTATTTTATATTTTATAAATTTCTCTTTCTATATTATAATCTTTATAAGCAAAAAATAAATACCATAACGAATTTATATTTTAAAAATTTAATTAATAAGAAAAATGCATTTTTTTTTTTCCAAATTTTAATTTACATTTTTAAAAAAAATATATTTATACTCTCTTACTATTAATAATATTAAAATTATATTATTATATAAAATATATTTTTGTTATTAAAAAATTTATTTGTAAATACATTTATATATTTTAATTATAATTATAACATACTCTAAAATTCTATTTTATTGCCATATTTATTATTAATTAATTGATTTTTAAACAAAAAACAAACAAAGTAAATATTATTGTATAAGATTTTGATTTTTTTTTATTCCATTATTTAATTTATTAAATAATTAATAATTACAAAAAAAAATGAAAAATTTTTTATTATATGCAAAATGTTATTTCCAAAATTAATTATGATTTAATTTATTAATTCTGAAAAAAGGTTAAAAAAATTAAAAATTTTTTATCAAAAAAAAAAAAAAATATTGAGATAGATGTAAAAAATTAGTTTAACAAAATGGCAAAGAAAAATAAATTAGAAATGAATTTTACATTTAATTTATAATTAAATTAAGAAAATATTTAAAATATAATAAATAATATTTAATAATAATTACATATATTTAATAAATTATTAAATTATTTATAAGTTAAATATATAAACAATATTATTGTGTAGATTTGTTAATAATATCAAAACGATAGCCCACATTCCATTTAATCTTATTGTATATATACATAATTTTTAATTAATTTAAATTTAAATTCCGTATAATTCTTTTACGTTTTCTTAGTAAATATAATATCAAATATTGAATTGAAAAATTTTCTTAAATTTTAATATTAAGCACATCATAAAGTGAAACATTAACAAAACAAAAAAAAAAATAAACATGTTAAAGAACAAAACAATTTAAAATTTCAGATAAATCCAATTGAGAAATTCCATTAGAGCAATAATTATATTATTATTCCAAAAAATAAAAAATTATTTTTTTCTTAACTAGTATTGGAACTAAATGCATAACACCAAAACAATTAATTAGTTTCAGTCAATTCCATTTTGAGAGAAATTCCAAAATCTAAAATTAAAATTGTATTGTATTAGAAATTAATTTATATTAATTAATAATATATAACACTTACGATTAATAATATCGTGTACGATCCAATATCTTGTTTCATGTACGATGTATTTGACATATACAAAGATGATTTAAGTTCTCTTTACGATTAAAAATGATTACTGTATAATATTGAAAATAATTCCAACTTACACGTCCTTTTTTTTTTTTTTTTAACTTAATAATTTTTGCTGAAATAATAATTTTTAAGAATAATTATTAGTAAATTTTTAAATTATTATTCATAAAGATTAATGTATTATTAATAAAAATTAAATATATTTTTTATATATTTCAACATTTAAGAAATAAAAATAATATTATCTATTCTAGAATAATGTATAATTACTTTCTTAATTTAAATTATTAATGTCTTTAATATACACAAAATATAAATAATTTATTTATATTAATTTAAATAATATTCAAATATATTATATAACCTAATTATTATATATAAAAAATAATTAAAATTGTTTATTAACTCTTAATAAATATGAAATGAATTTAATTGAAATATTAAAAATAAGAAAAAAAAATTTTTTTCAGAAAAAATAAATTAAATCATAAAAATTTCATTTAAATTATTAAATATACTCTTAATTTATATATAAATGTATTAATATACAATATAATAGTTTTACATGTTTTTTGTTATACAAATATTTTTAATTATAATCATAATATATTATACAGGTATTTTATAACAATTTTCGATAATTTTCTTCCCCCTCGATTATGCCTTCTCACATTTAAATTTCGTTTTTAATTTTATTCATTTTATTTTAATATTAAATATTAAAATAAAATTTTTCAAATTTTATAATAACAATATAATAAATATTGAAAAATAAAAACAAAAATATCTATATAAGTATTTCTATATACTTATAGAACATGCTAAATCCATGAATGGCATTTTGTTTTCAAAAAAAAAACAAAAATATTAAAATGGTGTTTTTGAAAATATCAATGAGCATACAAAAAAAAAAAACTTAATTCTTATAACATTTTCTTGCATATTATACGATCAACAAAACACCTTTTTTCATAAATAACAGTAATTTAACAATAATTACTGTTAACAGTAATTGAAATTATAATATTGAGTATTAAAAATGTATATTATTATCGCCGCCATATTTAACAACTTATAATATACATTTTCTATACACATATTATACAAAAATACTATTAAACAAAACAAAATCAACAATAATACAAAAAAAAAACATTCAAAAAACAAACAACATACCAGGCAAACAATGAAATCAGATGAAAATAATATTTATATAACTGTTAGATGTTTTATATTTAAAAAAAAAAAAAATAGAAAAAAATATAAAAAAAAATGGAAAAAAATTATTAAATTTAATCTTTTAAAAATTAAATTAATCTTTTTGTATTTCTCTACTGATTATTTAAATTTCTAATTGATTATGTATTTTAAAAGTACCTACCTTTGAGGGAGACTTGTTAAACAACATAATTGTACTACAATACTTTAAGTATTTTAAACAATACGTACTAGAATTCTCTCATCATAAAACTATATCCAGTTATAATTACTCACATTATAATCCGTTCCTGTTCCAAAATAATTTTTTTGTTCTCTTCAATCAAAATATGAACAATAATCTATTATTGTTTCTAATATTGAAATAACTTGTAACAATAAAACATGAGACTCTCAATTTAATAAAGAAAACTCAATATTTTTAATTAATTGAGAAAATAATATTAAACTATGAGACTCTCAATTTAATACAAAACTTATTATGCATAGCTAATTGAGAAAAGAGTAACATACTTATTACTGTTTTAACAGTAATTTATTTAAATTATAATATTACTCAAAAATGTTTTTATTACTCCAAAATTATAATAAACAAAAAAATAATATAATCCCCTCTCCTAAATAATAAAATTAATCAATGCGATAGTTTTTGCCTGCATATTATAAGAATAACAGAAATACAAAAAAAAATAATATAAAAAAATAATTATAAAAAAGTTCCCTAATTATTTTTAAAAATATTTATATATATATATGAATTCATAAAATATTTAAGAACAAACTAAAATAACAAAAATGAACAGCATTTATTCAATAACAATAAATTCTTCTATCTACTAATATTAAAAACATGATTTTTAAAATTGAAATTTTTTTAAATAAAAACTGAAGGAGATTTTAAACTTAAAATAAAAAAAAAACAACAAAATAAATTAAAAAATTCAAATAATCAGTAGTGAATATACAAAATAATATTTTATTTAATAATACTAATAAATAATAACTTTACAAAAAAAAAAAAAGAAATTTTATTATTAGAAACAAGAGAAAAACAAAACAATGAAATAAATATTATTATACAATTTAAAAACACACACAACATTCTAATGTTAATTTTTAACAAAACAAAAAATATACATTTTAATAAATAAAAATAAAAAATTTCATGTTATTATTAAAAAAAAAACTCATATAATATTTGCGCTAATATTTTCAAAAAATCACACTCACACACACCATATTATACAACTTTATAATTAATAATATTATAAAAAAAAAATAAAAAACAAAACTAATAAAAGATTTGTAGGCATTTATTAAAAAAAACAAATAAAACCTATTAAAAATATTTTCCAAAACAAATAAATTTAATAATAAAACTAAAATAAATAAACATTGCCTGTCAACAAAATAAATAAAAAAAAAATTCACACAGTTTTTAAAAACCAAAAAAAAAAAAAAAATTTATTATTAAAATAAAATTTAAAATATTAAATTGCGAAGAGAAAACAAAACACTTACAGCAAATACCAAAAAATAATTTAAAATATAAAAATATTAAATTTTTTATAATAAAATAAAAAAAAAAAAATTTAAATAAAAAAAAAAATCCATTACTTATTGAAAAAAATTAAATTTTTAGCAAATTTTTTTAATAAAAAAAAAATAAATAAAATTATATAAAAAAAAAATAATATTTAAAATATGAATGACTTTTTTTTTTAAAAGAAAAAACAACAAAAGAATAAAACAAAACTCAAAAAACCATAATAATGATAAATTACACTCACACAACACACATAAAAAAACACACACAAAACACATTAAAAAAACAGCTAAATTAAATGAACTGATTGATTTTTAATAAATTGAGAGAGATTTTGTGAGCGCGCGAGATTGTTTTATGATAATTTATTGCAAAAGAATTAACGATTTCAAGTTAATTGCAAAAAAAAAAAATAATAAGAAATTTTAAACATAATAAAAAAAAAATAAAATGTTAGAATAAAATAATTAAAAAAATTATAAAAAAAAATAATTAAATTGCTATTTGTATTTGTATCAATTTTACTATATTATAAATGAAAAAAGAAAAACAAAAATAATGAGAATTGTTTGTATTTAATTTAAAAAAAAAAAGAAAAATTAAATAAAATAATTCTAAAGAAAAGAAGAAAAAAAAAAATAAAATAAATAAATAAAAATTATTATTATTATAATATTAAAAAAAAAAATAGAAAAAAAAAATTAAAAAAAAAAAAAAATAAAAAAAAAATTGATAATTTAATGTACTAATGCTATATTATATATAAATATTAATTATGCAATTATATATTATTAAAAATAAAGTGCTTAGATAAAAATTTAAAAATTATTAATGTTTCCTTTTCTTTTTTTTTTTCCTATACAGGTGTTAAAATATATCGACAGACAAAAATAGACGGACTAAAATCGACTGATCTAGTCGCACTTTCAAAACTAGTCAAATTGACTAAACATTATATTTGCTTTATCATGTTTTTGTGTCTACATTCAGGAAAAATCGAGTGGTCTCGTTCGTCTCAGTCTTTCTGTCCTATACCTCTCATCACCTCTCATCTACCTCTCATCTTATAAGTCTAGAGGTCCTTAATATTCATATGCTATTCCAAATGTACTCAGCATTTCATGCAACATTTCCTAATTCATTCTTCAATTACTTCGAGGACACACAAATCCCTATGAATGTCACTATTACGTATATATCATTTACGGGGGCCACTGACCACCATATTAAAAAGCACCTCATCCTGGAATGTTTGTTTTTGCTTGATATATGTTTGGTTGGGATATCCTCATAGCTGCAAACAATATATCCACATTGGCTTTATTATTTTATATTTATTATTATAGTATGTATGCAATTTACACCCACGACCTAGGAATCAATAGTTTTCTCTTTATTTGTGTTCTAATTCTAAATATTTTTAATTCTTATAGGACCTTAATAAAATGTTATATATTCTAATACATGTGATTTAATGAGAAGCTCATTTTTCAGCCCGAATAAAATTAGCAGAACACAAATACAAATTAATAACATTAAAGTTATTTTGAAGTAAAAACTAACAATCAAAATTTAAAATATAATTGCAATTAAGACATATTTTGAAATTTGACCTTATTAGAATTTAAAATACGCTTGATATAATTCACTTTTAAATTTTATTTACCAACACATCACAATTAAACTAACACAAATATTATTTTAAAAAATTATGAAAATTATTTTGCATTTGTAATACAATAAATTTAAATATTTTAAATTACAACAATAAACAAATATTTCAGCACTTATTTAATTTATTTATTTTTTTTTTCAAATTTAAGTACGAGGTTTAAGAGTTGTTGTACTTGTTGTTATATTTCCCAACATAACACTTATACCAGATGGACTTGGTGATGTTGTTAAAGCTGTTGTTGTAATATTTGTTAGAAATTCTGTTGTTGTTGTTGATATTGCAACATCATTTGATGTTTTTTGTGTTTGACTTTGTTTACCAGCCAAATTAAATTGTATTAATATTATTAAATAACTTGTTATTGCACCAGTAACAGCATATAATGTTGTCATATCCAAATTAAAGAAACCACATGCAGTAAAATCAATTGCATGATTCATTAATTTTAATGAAATATGATTAACCTTTAAATATTTGAAAAAAAAACAAAAATTAAAAAGATTTCTATACGAAAAGGTGAATATAATTTTTAATTTTACAATTTCATAAATATTATTATCATCAACTGCTAAAGCACATTTATGTACGCATACACCAGTACGTCGTGCTTCAATTCTTGTTTGCCAACTTAAAAATATTACATAAACACATTTCATTGCAACATATATTACAAATATACAAGAAAGCCATAAATTTTCCGATGATATAAATAATTGTGGAACCGACTAAAATTAATAATAATATAAAGTATTAGAATTAGTGAATATTTTATTTAAATTGTACAATTCACCTGTTTTGTTATGGAACAATATAAGAAATAAAATTGTGCTGTAATACTCATAAAACCATATGCCATTAATAATAGCATTTGAATACTCCACATTCCATTAATATTTTTACCCATTTCACACATTTCATCATGTAATCGACATAAATTATTTAATTTATCTTCTAAATTTTCTAAATCATTTAATATATTCTCTTTTGATTGTAATATTGTTAATTTATTTGCTTTACGAATTTTCGGTTCATCTGATGGAATTCGTTCTAAAAATGTAATTACAAAGAGAATCTCAAAATTTAGATATTATAATACATGTATTATGAATTTTTTTACCATTCCATGGAATTACAGGTATTATTGGTTTATCATTTCTTCCATAAATATAATTTTTATCTGTTCCTATAGTACCAGCATGTATTGTTGTTGCTCCTGCTCGTGCTCCCGATCCAATTCCTGCACCAATTCCTACTCCTGTTGCTGGTATTGTTGTCGGATATATTTTATTATTATTATTACCAAATGCAATATTTCTTGTTAAAATCTCTTTATGTAAATAACCAAAATTTTTCATTTCATTATTAAAACCTTCAATATTCTCTTTAATTTTTCTTAATTTATTATATTCTTCAACTGTTTGATCAATATAATTATTTAATGATGAAAATCTTTCTCTTAATGCCAATAATAATGATGAAAACCATATTTTATCTAATGCACTCAAAAATGTTGGAAAAAATGATATAAAATATGATATTGTTAATGCATCAAATATGTAATATGTTAAAAATGTTATTGTTACTTCACTAATAAATGTGAAACCAATCAATATTAATATTCTTAAACGCATTTTATTATTATTAACTGTAATACCCTGCTTAAATAAATTAATATCCATTAAATTAAATTCATCAAATAAATCAATAATTTTTTGTCGATTATAAACCCATGCAAATAAATCAATAGCCATCATTATTGGACTTATATAATTTAATACTAAACCAATGACAATTGTTAAAGAATCTAAAAAAGAATAAAAAAAATAATTAATTTTTTCAAATTGCAAAATTATTAAATTAATTAAATAGAAAAACTTACTTGAAGAAGTTTTATCATCTGTACCCTTAGTATTCATCATCATAATTAAATAATGTGATCCAGCAAATAATAAAACAACAACAATTATAGTAATAAAAATTCCAATATTTGAACTAATTAATCTTTTAGAACGATGATATTCCGAAAATGAATGTGGTATAATGCCAAAAATTTTACAAACATAAAATAATGATGCAAAATTAATTAAAATAAGCTGTGGATATTCTTTGAAAGTCATTTTTCCAGAAAAAAAAAAAATATATTCGAAACTCCAGGAAACTGTTATAGGACAAATTGTATGACCTGAAATTGCAATTGTCTATTGCAATCCAATCTTACAAGCAGTAAATTAAATACTAATATTTTTAAGAATATTAACTTTAAATTTAGCCAACAGAATGTTTAAACCATTAAGGGTTAAAACTTATATTAAACTAATCATGTTAACAAATTATAAAAGTTAATGTGTTTATTACTATGATTATTTTAATCTGAATAATAGAATATACACAAACAATAAAACATATATGTAAGTTCATTATATAATTTCAATAATAAACGAAAGCAATTTATTGAATTAATTTTTTTAATAATTTATAAATGTAACACATTATAATAAAAATTAAAATTATATTTTTTGTTAGTACACTGATGAATTTACTCAACTCTCCAATCTTTTGTAATAGTATACAAAATGAATTAATATGAAATCTATGATTTCATTGAAAAAATAATATTCTCATATAAATTTTACATCAAATACCCAAATTAACAATTCCATAACAATTATATTAATAAATCTGGATTTTGTCAGAAAAAATCAGACACATGAAAAATATGTTATGAGCATAATGTCGAGCTTAAAGTTTTTCATTACCCAAAAAGTCTGTTATGAGCTCATCACTTGCTTATAATTTCAAGAAAAGAGCTTGAAAGTAACAACCTTCTTAGACATCCTGAAACAGAATGGACTTTAGAGAATTTATACAGTTGTTGAAAAGCTAAACCAGACAAATACTAAATTCAAAATAATCTCTACAATCTAACTAAACGCACATAAAATTCACACTAGATTATCATGCCAGAATTATAATTTTAACAAAATAAAATAAAAGGACTAAAACAGGAGGAGAAAAAACCATACCACTAATAGTAGATTAGATTCTATCAATACCATGAAAAGAAAAAGTAATTTTTTAACGCTCTATAAACATTTTGTAAAATAAGGATATTCTTGTTTATGATTATATTTTAATTAATTAATGAAAATAAACACCTGTTGATATTACTTTAATAAAATAAAGGCTCAAAATATACATATACCTACGAGTACATAATTGTACGCACATGTGCAATTTAAAGGTAACATTGCTTCATTTCATATTTGTATAATACTACAAATTCTAAGTTAATTTAATTTTTATTTAAAAGTTTTTTCTAATTGTTGGTAGAAAATTGTTGATTCTTGTTATTGAATTCGTTAGTAGAAAAGTTTTGTACCTTTACCCAAGAAAAATCTTAGTTTTCTTGCTATAAAAAAAGATCCAAAACTTCGAAATATCAGAATATTTTTAAAAGAAATTTCATTGTATATTAAAAAAAACAGAATTCGATTAAAACAAAATGAAACTCGCACAGGAACCAAAACATGTGGCCAAAATTAATTATTCATTAACGCATATTTAGTATATTTCACATACAGACGATTAGTTAATTTCGGATTTTTTGTGAGAGATTCATGCGAAATAATGAAAATTATGAAGCAAAATATACCCATTTTAATTTATGTAGGTATTTAATTACTACACCAATTTTTTTATAATTCAACCTTAGTTTTTTAATATTAACATGTAAGTAACTTCTATTCTTACTTCTCTTTTGTACTGTTTATAACATTTTAAAATTATTTCAGTTTAGATTCAGCTCTAAAAACAAAATTCAACTTACCGATTTTGGAATAAACTTTCTGCAATAAATTTCATTTTTCAAATGGAATTTCATTCTTAAAACAATTTGCTTTTTTAACAAAAATTCTTTAATTACAAAAATTTAATTCATATATTCCATTTCATCAGTACACTTCCTAATATTTTGATAAAACTTTGAATTTTTTTTTGTTAAGAAAAATAAATTCAATTATCTTCTACTATTTCATTATAAACAAATTTTTCATCGTTTAACAATTCCAAATAATTTTGTCGTTCTATTATTAAACATTTTAATAATTCATTATAAATATCTTGTGCACCATCGTAACTAATTATTCCAAGGCAATAAACAGGTACTTTAATATATAAACAATAAGCAATTTGACGAGCACGTAATGAAAATAAGTATGGTACTTCATTTTCATTACATTTATCTTTTATCCAGTCTATAGTTTCTTGAATACCATCTAAAATTGTATTTAAAAACAAGAAATTTACCCAATTTTATTAAATTATGTATGTAATTTAATTTGAAATTTCTTACCAGTATTATCACATTGTTCACAATCAGGAGCAATAATAACTAATTTTACTTTTCCGATACTTAAACCACGTTTTGTTTCTTTAAATCCCATTACGTATCTTCGATGTGCTTTTGCTTTTATTTCATTTTTTTGATATGCCCTCTTTTGAAATACATAAATTTTTCTAATTAAATCTTCGGTTAATTTACGTAGTACCGATGAAGTTAAATTGTCACAGTAACTTAAAGTATATAAAAAAAAGGGAAAAAAATTATTAATTTAATCATAAAATTTAATAATTTTTAATAAAATGAACCTTCTAAATTTTCTTGAATGAATTGTTTTTCTTAAATTCTTCCGATCATCTACTTTAAGTTCATCTAATTTAATAATGACATTTTCTAAATTTGAACTCATATGACCATTTTCTTCATTATTTATAATTGATTCTTGATCTGGCAAGCTTTCTTTGCATTCCATTATTGAAATTTTTCCACCTTCTACAATTTCTTCATTTTTAGATTGTTTTCTTAGTAATCTAGCTCTTATAATTGCCTTTTTCAAACGACTTCTAGCAGTTTTAATTTTTTTTTCTCGCTTCTTCCCACTTTTTATTTGAAATTTTGGTAATCGATTATTGGTATTATTATTAAAAGTTTTATGTCTCCTCTTAACATTTTTTGTTACAATATAATCTAAAATGTTAAACGTATGTAATTTTTTATATTTTGGTTTTTGCTGGACGTTTTGATTTGCTTGAATTTTTTCGAAATCCTCATGAATTAATGTTTTAATTTTTTCAGATTTTTTTAATTTTTCTTCTAAAAGTTTGCTTTCACGTTCTATTGCTTTTGCATCTTTTTTCGCTTTGTTACGCTCTTTCCGTTTTCTTATCACTTCTTCTCTACTTGGAACCATAAAATCTTGATTATTTTGGTCTGTTGTTTGGGAAAATTCTTCCTTTAATATCTTTGAATTTTTAATTCCTTCTTTATGTGCCATAGAGCACAAATTATTTATTGAATCTGACATCACTTTAAAATAAAATTTCTAAGAGAGAATTTTGTTTAATAATTTTTAATTTTAGTATTGTTTACAACTTTTTATCACAAACAAACAAATAATTTCAATTAATGTGACAGTAACGTCAAAATAATTCCCAACAAACAAATCACAAATGAAAACTCAAAAAATGTACCAATTTCGAACAAAAAAATACTTTTCAAAATTTATTTACGAATTTTTTTTCAATAACAGATGGTGCTGATTGCAAATTGTTGACTTTTCATTTTAATAAAAAATTTTTTGTATTTTGAAAACAAATAACAAAATTTGAAATATTAAAATTTTTTTTGAATGACATTTGTTTTTTGAACACTAAATTTTATAACAGGTCTTTATTTTATTAATTAAAAGTAATCTCTCCATTGTGGACAATCTCATTTATATATGTGTAATCTATATAAATTTTGACATTTCCTCGTGAAAGAAAACAAAAAATATTAGTCTTACTTCACAAAACGACACTGACGTAAAGATTTTTTCCTTTCTTTTCTACCAAACGAATGTTAATGTAAAAAATCATGTAAAAAATCACCCAAAAAAAAATAATATCAGTGAAAAAGTACATTTTCCAAAATGCACTACTGAAAATGTGAAGTTTATTATTATTTTTTTTTTTCTTTGAAATGACAGTCACAAATAGTATACAAAATAACAAAATATACACATTTCATAAGTCGCAAATCGCAAATATAATTTTTCCCCTTCGTTTTTATCATAACATAATTCCATTTCATCCATTATCAATGCTAATATTTGGTCAGCATAATTTCAAATACTAGAATAATAACAACAATAACAACAACGACCCAACAAAAACTTTATCGTAAAATATGCAAAATATCGTATTTTTATCTAACTAATGAATGTGTGTGTGTGTTTGTGTGTGCATGTTATTTTAACCGTTTATATATTTTTTAAGTTTCGTTATAAAAAAAATGTTATACACATATTACACTATTTATATTATTATTTCTCAAATACACAATCAAACTTACGTACAATATTAAAAAGCGCACATTATATTTGACTAGCGCTCTCTGGCTGGATAAAAATTAAAACAAAAACAAAAGTATTTTTTTATTTTTTTTTCCATATTTTTGCTTCTTACCGTTTTACGAGCTTCTCCTTTTTCATCGCAGCAACAAAAATTTTTCTTTCTTTTTAGTTTGTATTTTAAACTCGAACCGTTTAGACATTTTTTAAAGAAAAGTACGCGCGGAATGTAAAATTAAAAAAAAATAAAAATTTTTTTTTTTAAAATCATGTCTTGAGTGAAAAAAAAAATTAATTCTTATTATTATTTTTCTTGTTATAACAGTTTTTTAATTTCGAAAAAAAAAATTATTAAAAATTTTTTTTTGAATCTTCACTGCAAGTACAATTTAAAAAAAAAAGAAAAGAAAAACAGCAAATAAAAAAAAAATTTTTTTCTTTAATTTTTTTTTTTTTTTTTCATGTGTTTAAAATTGTAATTAATTATAAAAAAAAGTGGTTTACTGTTATTTACACAAATAAATATAAATTTTTTTTTTGTCAAAAAAAAAATTAAAAAAATTTAAAAAAAAAATTATATTTAAAGTAAAAAGCAAAAATAATTCATTTAAAAAAAATTATAAATTGTGAAATATTTTAAAATTCAATTAAAAAAATAATTTATAAATAAAAAAAATATTGGCTTAAATTTTCAATAATATATAGAACAAGTATGTGTATTTAAAATATACATACATACAATCACCCTAATAAACGGTACATCCATATACAAAGAGAAAATAGAAAAAACAAAAATTAATTTTTTCCCCCAAAAATTTTATACCAAAATATATGTATATACATTCATCATAGGTACAAATACATAATTATATAAGTAGATATTATATATGTATGGTTGTGCTCTATATATACATATTAAAAATAATATTAATAAATAATATTTAAAGGATCCCCGTTTTCGTATAATGCATATATATTACGATATATGTGTACATATAACATATATACATACATATTTTTATAATATGTAACTACATTACTATGTATAATAATTAAAATTTTCGCACAGTAAATTTTTTAATATTTTAAGAGAGAAAAATATTAATAAAAATATTATTAAAGAAAAAACTCTGTAAGTGCAATATAGATTTTTCAATGACACCGAATTGGGGCAAAAGGACATCACCCCATCGGGCCACTGTAACCATTCGAGATTTAATGAAGCCTCCCCATACTCTCACTTACAAAGTCCATGTTCCATTGCATGAAGATATTCATAAAATAATTGGACAACAGTTCCAATATGAGAACTTTTTTTGTTAATAAAAGTTTATTATAGTGATTTTGAAACTTGGTACAACGGAAACTTTGTAAACTTTTAAAATTATAAATTATTATACATAATGTAATTGATTAAAAGCAAAATTTAAAAATTTATTGGTGGGCAATAGGGTCCTAAATTTTGTGTTAATTGTGATTATTTATAATAATATTTTAAATCTTTTTTTCCTAAATGATTTAAAAATTTAGAATATAAATGGTTTTTTCCCACAACTCCTCAATATACTTAAAATTTATAAAAGTATATAACAGATATATGTTTGCATTTATATGCCTTTGTAGTATTATAAGGGAGAGATTTTAGAGGACACTTTTGTATACATACTTACATGAAATATAAAAAATATATGTTACAAATTATATAAATTATTATATATATAAAAATTTATATATCGGTTCAGAAACTATATTAAATATATTCCATATATAAAAATGTATATTAATTTAAGTATAAAAGTACGTGTATAAAAAGAAAAATAAATAAAAAAAAAATCATTTTTACATATTTTTGTTTAACTCGCACAAATATTTTAATACTTTTTCTTCTTAAATCTCGTATTTGTGTTATACATAAGTATAATGCTATTAGAAATGCTCCATTCGGAAAATTTTCTTCCGCTCTAAAATGAGTTTTCCTTTTCTCTCCAATAAAAAAATCCTTCGTTTTTTTCATTTAAATATTGAATTTTACTTTGCTTTTTAAATTTTTGGCTTAGTTTTTTGATAAAACAATAACATATGTAACTTAAGCAATACTGTTATATATGTAACAATAATATTATTTATTAATTTTACAATTATTTTAAAAATATGTTTGAACTTACTATACTTAATATTATACACATATACGGGAATATACATATAAATAATATATTATATAACATATAGACAAATAACTTTGATTAGTGTATCATAAATTAATAATATATTTTCAGTTAATTAAATATGTTCCTAATTATGTTATACTTAGTTATGTACTGAAATATAGTGCAACCCCCCTGTAGTAATAATTTCTGTAATATGAAATCCTCCTTAATACAAATTATTAGTTTTGTTGCATTTAACTTCAATATAGATTTGTTCTTTTGTTCAACACGAATTCTCTTTTACAGTTTTCTTATTTAAATTATACTCTAATTTGTTATAATTGATTATTTTCACTAAATTGATTTTATTAGTTATATTAGGAGATATTGAAGTTATCCCTATAATTTTTTTTTAATTTTATACATTTATAATTTGTATTATACTGCATGAGGTATACTGAAAATTTGGGTGCCTTCATTCAAGGCAATATAACTATTTCTTATAAAATTCTTAATTTATTTTTATTGGAATAACTGTAATACTTATCATTATTAATCTGAAATTAATATTTAATTAATTTAATATTATACTTAAAAGTTATATCTATATTCATATTCCCTTCTTATTTTAGAAATTTATTACATTCATAAATAACGAGGATAATCAAAAAAAATTAATTCTGGATAAAATCATATTTGCTTATATAATATATATAGTTAGAATACGTGATTAGAATTTACGATATATGTGCTATAATGTATGATGTTATTATTTGCATAATAGAAGGTACCTACTTTTTTTTATTAAAAAAAAGCAACTTAAATACGTGCGGTAATCTAAGTAGTCCGAACCAGTAAGCGGTTCGGAGTACTTAGATGGCATTTCGCCGTGTAGATAGCTTTGATGGTAGGGCTTTGTATTATCTAATGTAGATGGTAGATGGCTTTGTATTATTAAATGTTAAATTTTCTATATTTAAATTTTATGTTACTTTTTCTTTAACTCCGATATAATAGAATTTTGATAGAAAATAGTCGTGCATTTACCATATACATACTTATATACGCTTAACAACTCCGGAATATTTAGGAGCTTTATGTTCCTAAATATAATGATGAATATTTATGTTGCCATTTATATGAAAACTGAAAGACATTTTAGTTATTTTTCTTAATACCATGTGCACATGTATAAATATATACATATATTTAAACATAATGTAACAATGTTACTCATATTAACAAAAAAAAATATAGGATAACTCAAAGAACAAACAAAAAAGGCAACATTTAAAGAATTTTATTTCAATATTGCAAAAAACAAAAGAAATAAAAAAACAGTTTGTGACAACAACAACAAAATTGTGACATTAATAAAAAAGAAAACAATAATAAAAATAACTGGCACGTCTCCATTATGTACGATAAGTAACCCTACATTATAGGAGTATTATTGCTGTTGTTATTGTTACATATATAAATGTATGAATGTGTATAACAGTATAACAATAATAGCAACAACACAATATTAAACTATACCAGCTGTATCGATTTTATTAGTGTTAAATTTCCTTTGTGAAAGTAAACTATGAAAAAGGATACAAAAAAGGATATTTACTTAATATGTATATAAAATATTGTTTTTATACCTACTTTACACATATATTTATATATATTATTTATAACTATTATACTTATAATTATAAATTACGAGAGAAAAGGAAAATTCATAAAAATTATTTTACATTTTCAATATTTTAGGCATATTGAATTAAAAATAGTGAATAAAAAAAAAAAAAAAACCATTTATCGTAAATTTAAGATCGTAAGATTTTATATCTTTTCCTAAATTTTAATTATATTTTAAAGAAAAAGTAATATTACAAGATTTTTCGTCTTTATTTATTTATTATTTTTTTTTATATTGTTTCTCTCTCTTTCTCTCATTCTGTGTATATTTTTTTATAAGTATACATATTTTCAAATTTATTATTATTTTTTGTTGTATATTGTATAACATATACTTTTCGTCACATACGTGTCTCCCCTTTAAACCCCCTGTACAAAGATATTATACGCATATTCTATATAAAAAATATTAAACGCAATAAATTCTATATATTTTTTTTAATTTTGTATAATCGTATAATTTAAATATCCAAATTTGAGTTAATATTTAAATTAATAAAAATTAATATGAAATAAAATATAATTATATTACTTATAAATATTTTTTTCCATTGTTATTAATCACCAATTTTATGATACTTACTCAATTTAATTATGCATATAAGTATAACTATACACACATGTATATTGTGTAGCACAATACACTTATATTTATACATATGCATGTACTTTTGCAACAAAAAAAAATTTTTAAATTTAAATCATTTAGGGAACTACTTATTTAATTACTTAAAATACAAAAATGAAAGAAAGAAAAAAATTAATTTTTGTATAACAGTTATTTAAAACTCGATTTTTTATTAATAAAAATTAATATTTAATAACAAATAATTGAAAAAAATTAAAATTAAAGTTTTTCTTTTCATTTAAGTTAAAACAACAATAAACGAAAATAAAAAAAGCAGTAATATTTATATGCATACATATGTATAACAAAAACAAAATCGTCATGTATTAAGTAATATTATAATATGTGCGATAATAAAAATAATAAAAAAATAAAATGTATAAATATATAAAACAAAATTATAAAAATCAATAAATAACAAATGGTATATAACACTTAAAATATGAAATTTCGAATATTTCGAATTGGTATTTCGAAATTTTAAACTGTATAACACTAATATAAATTGTATTGTGCATGAAAATTAAATTAAAATTGCATGAATTAAATAATTAATAAAAATTAATAAGTAATATAATAAAAATTTAAGAAGAAAAATATTAATTAAAAAAATTTTAATTTTTTAAAATAAAAATTAAGGATTTCTCTAAGAAGAGAATGAATATATGAAAGAGAAGGAAATAAATTTAACTTCTTGTTCTAAAATAATATTTAATAATTAATAAATAATAACAATAATAAATAAATAGCAACAACTCAAATAATCAAATCAAAACTGCAAATTTACTTGTTTATAGTTAAAAATCGCAGTAACCATAAATTTACTTAAATTTATATACATATATGTGTACATACATCTATACAAATTCATATAAATATATACATATACCTATTACCTATTTGCATGCAGAAGAGAGAAAAGTAAATAACATAATAACAATTTATTAGCGGAGTAATATCAGCAGGTAAACTAGTTAACCTTGGATTTTAAAATAATAATAAAAAAAAAAAACTTAAAGAAATAAATATTATACCTGTACACATACTTATTTACTTACATATACTTATAGGTTATAGTCAAATTTTATTTTCTATCAAAGCATTTATGGTACTTATTACTTATAAGTTATAAAATACTCGCACAAAAAGTATACTTTATTTATTATTATATATATGTAAATATGTATATTTATTTACATATAAATGCCATACAAATTAAAATTATTAAACTTATACCTCTGAATATTTTTTCACTTCTTTACTTCAGAAAAATTCTTGCACATACAACTTGGGGGTAAATGCATAAGTAATATGCAATGCATATTTGTTAATTATAAATATATGCAGTAAATATATTATTATGTATACTTCTCCAAATGATTTATATTATACTTAGTTGTTTACCGTGCATATTCGAGCTATGAATATAAAATATACTATCTTTGTATGTAACTGTTTACTTTTAACTCTTATTTTTGTTTTAATTTATTTGTTTATTTATTTCTTTTCTTTTTATCAATAATCCCGTTCTTTTATACTAGTATAACTTACATATACAATCTTATACCCACATTTAGAATATACATTTAAAAAAGAATGTATACCATACATACATGGGATGTGTGCATGCATCCAATTATGAATTTTTGAGTTGACATACATGTGTACATCAGAATTTCAAATTTAAAATGATATTAGATCCCAATTTTTAATATCAGTATTATTACATAAATATTAAATTAATATGAAAATAAATGAATAAAAAAGGAAATACACTTATTTGATAGAATTGAAAATTTCGTATTACACTTTTTATTTTCTTAAGTTTTGTCAAAATTTGATGAGGTACATATGATCACTGTAATACAGTCAACTGGTGAATCTTAGTATTTGCACACGAAACAACGAAATGTGGAACAGAGGCACGCAGTTGCCCGCTGGACCCCATGAGTTTTAAGCTAACAAATATACTTGCTGTTTTATTCCGTTCCAGATAAAGTAAACATAATATGTCACTAATTATCTCGAAAATTCTTTTCTAATGAACCGGTATATCATAGAGTGTCCGGTATGTAAACCAATAAACCATTTATTGTAAATAATCTAAAGTAAGTCATTTCTTACGATCGCTGAATTTGAAGCTTATAAATTTATAAGGTATAAATTATTATTCTTAAATGCATAAAATAATTATTTAATTTATAATAGTTCTTATATCGTTTTTCGTAATACATACATATGGGTACATAGAACACATATGAATATTACAACTAAATAAATAAATGAGCATAATAAAATGAAATGCAGTATTAATACGCAAGTACATATTTAATGTGCTATACATGCGGATATTATAAAGTGAGTACCTACAATATACGAACATAGGTACTAACATGTAAAATGTAGATAGATAAAATATTAATAATTGACCAACATAGAATTGTATATTGTACATTATTTATACAAAATGTTATAATATATAACATACATATACTTATATGTTCATGTAAATATAAAAATTTGAAACTCAAGCAATTTCAATTGTATACTTGCATACATACGTACTCGTGTATTTTGTTTTTGTTTAACATAAGTAATGTGGGAAAATTTGTTTTTTTTTTTGGTTTGGTTTTTCATAATATTGCAATTATGCGGTATTATAGATATATATGTATGTATACATATACAATAATTTATGAATAAAATTTATATTTAATTCTAGGTGTGTTATACTTATAATATATTTGAGTAATTAATATTTTTGATAATTATTATTAAATGAATTTATACAAATAGCATTTTTAATTTTAAAAATTCAAAAAAAAACAAACAATTTACATGTGCATATCTAAAACATTAATTGTTCTAAAATATTATTTAAAATTTTAATTATATAGAAATTTGAAATTGATATTAAAGTAATTATGAAATTATAATTAAATTATATTTCGTTCGACTACAACAATAACATGACATGAATGAATGCAAAGAAGTATACGATAGTTATTAAGAAATTCTTGACAGGCAAAACTTTGGGAAAACATCCGATTTTATGCCAGTAAGGTAAAAGTGCTACTATACGTACCAAGAATTAAATTTTCGCAGTCCATTTTGATTATTAACTAAAATTAGGTAAGACTTGTGCTAAGTATTACGTATTTTGACAGAATATGAAACGTATATCATTATAGTAAATTGTTAAATAAAATGAAAAGTCCTGTATTACGTGCCTTTAAAATCATAAATATGCGCTATACGATAACTCACGGGTTACTCTATTTCTTATAATGTTACCACACTTGAAATTTTTTAAATAATTATTACAATTTTTATTTTAATTCCCTATATACTTACATAGAACTATAAAATTTTTTTAAAATTTACAAAATTTTTATTACTGATCGCATTTTATCAATTATTCATGGTTATTTATTGTATATAATACACACTCTAATTAAGTACATTTAAATTATATTTTTAAATTAATTAATATACTATTAAATTTCAAAAATAATAAATTCATAACATTATAAGAAAACATACTTTATTTAACCTAAATTACAAAATATTCATCATCATATTATAGAGCAATTTATAGTTACATACATATATAGAGCATTAAGTGTGTGAAAATATTTACAGGAAATTAGAAAATGAAAAACAAAACTGAAAAAAAAATAAAACATTGAAATATTGCGGCTTGAGGTTAAAATGATAAAAAAAAAATTCTATAACCCTATAAGTAACAGCAATATTTTGATTAGAATTCTCACGATGATTTATGCCATTTTTAGTACAATTTCAATTCATTTACGTATAAGTACATATATACACATCCATATACAAGTATTTTGTATTTAATGTCATCAAAATTAATCAATCATATCATTTTGACACATATTTCCCCTATTTTAATTTATTTATTATAGTAATTAGTTGATTTTATGTTATTGAAAAATTTTTCTTAATACTTAATAATTGCAAATTGAAAATTAATTATAAGATACTTATAGGCTAGGTGGCATTTCTCTGATAATAAGAACAAAATTGTTTAAGTTGAATTTGATAGTTTTTAATTTTGGAAATATGGAAACTATAAAATTCATGAGCACAGAAAACTTACCAAATGATTTTGTTAACAATTTGAAAACAGGAAAATTTTGTTGCCATGGTAGTCATTATTATGATAGTAAAAATTACTCTTTTATTATATGAATCGTTTATTCTCTTTTTAATTGATTTAAATATGATGGAAATATGATTTTGACAGCGCGCTCTTTTATTGATTTGTGAATTTATTGACTTGTATGCTCACATTCTGTTTGTTTATTCTCCGTACTTAATACCAAAAACTGTTATTATTCTCAAATTTCTAAATTTAGCATTTAAGTATATTATAAAAACTTATTACTCCTACTTACAATTTTAATTTACAATATTTTATTTTCTATTCACATTTTAATAGAAACTCTCATAAAAAATTTTTGCAATAAAAATCATTTATTTTAATTAACACCTACTTACTTACTAAAAAAAAATCAAACAGATTTTTATTTTAAAAATTTTGCAATTACTTACTTACTTATTATGTTATTAAATATTTAAAGTCAATATATATACATGTAGACATGGCTGTAATCATATACATGACAATCATATTCCGTTACTTAAGAAAAAAACCAGTTTCTGCAGTATTATATTTAACGTTTTGCTCTGATTCAATTTTAATTAAATTTTGCCAATACACGAATTGACTTATCAATTTAAAATCATTTTAAAGGGAAGTTTTCATATTTATTTTGATTATACGTATACATATATCGTTTACGAGTAGGTTGATTTGACATTTTATAAAAATTTATGAAATTATTCAATCGCTTGTCATCTACATACATATATGTATGTAAAACAACCATCACTTCTAATAATTACGCAATATTAAATCATAATCTCTGTTTAATAAATAAATGTAGCACATTAAAGTAGCACATTTCCCTAATAACAAAAATAATCTACCATGACTTCAAGATTGCGAACAAAGCCTCAAAATTATGTTCTTTCTATTTAAATGTTGCAGTGTAAAGATTTTATTGAAGACTTGATGAGCGTAAAGATTTTATTAAAGACTTGAGATGATTTTAATCTTTGACATATCTCAAATTTTACCAACTTACGGAGAAAATACTTAAAAAAAAATACTGATTATCGAATTAGCGCATATTTTATTTTAATATTGTATCTTACTATAAAAATATTTAAAATACATAATTATTTTAAATATAATACCAATATAATAATAATATTTTCAAGTCTATCTTCTCAATATAATAATAAATTTACTTGAATTATTTTTGACAGTAGCTGCCAGTAGCAAGAAAATAATATTGCAACAAACTATAAAATTTAAATACACTCTCACCACTCCTCAGTTCCTAATTACACCTACTAAGAAAAGCAGAAAAAATTTTATGTACGTAAACTTTTCAATAATTACATACCTTATATACTTGCATAAACAATATTTTTCAGTAATTTAGTATGCAAAATCTTGAAATAAAAGTACCGTAACCAGTTAAATCTTAAACAAAATATAAAAAAGTAGACTAACTTAAGTGTATATTACATACTTATTTTAAAAATGATTAAATTTCATTGTTTACTGAAATTATATATGCTTTTTTTTTTAACTTACCTTATTATTACCTCTTTAGTAAAATATTAAAAAAAAAACGGAGTGTAATTTAAAGGCAATATAAGATCATTTTAAAGTACATCTAACGCATAAATAATTATGAAAATTAAAAAAAAAATAAAATATAAAATTTTAAAAATCATTAAATAAGTAAATTTCCATTTATTTTTGGTTAAAAAGAGTTTAAAACTCAAAGAGACAAAATATTTGTTGTGTTATTTTGTGAGAAAAGGCACTTTAACGTAACATTAACTGCTTTAAAATCGCTTATTT